GTATTTCAATGTAATCCTGGAGGATCTATCTAAAATAAAGAAATGTATTTACACATCCCTTATGAATCGTTGAGTATTAATTTCTCTGTTTAATGCAAATGTCTCTTTTTTTTTTCTGTCAGTTACTATTGACAGTATCTGAATTCAAAATTTTTTTTTTCACCATTTTAGAGACATATTTCGTGAAATTAAGCACAAAACAGTATCAATACGAAACTCTGTTTCATTTTGTTTTATTGTTTCAGTCAGTCTTTTAATAGCAGTATATAAATGTTATTTTTTTTACCATTCTAAAGGTATCATGCGTCGTGAAATTTCAAACGAACCGTGTCAATACGAAATCTGTTTTTTTTTAATTTTTTGTTTCTGTCAGTTTTCTTATGACAGTATGCGAATGTAATATGCTTTTAAAAGGCATCATTTTACGTGAACTTTCAAACGAACCGTGTCACTAAGAAACTCATTTCTTTATTAATTTTTTCTGTCAGTTTTCTGAAGACAGTATGTGAATGCAATATTTATGTTATCGCTGTTCCGAAGCAAAATATTTTTAAAAAATTCGATCCAAGCGCAAAGTGAAATTAGTAGAAAGTCTAATAGGTCACCGTTCCCTTTATCTGCAAACCAAATTTTTTTTTTATTGTGGCACGATAAAGTTACCTAATAAGACAGACCCCCAAATGTTATTCGTTCATGTACACTTTTGAACCAAACCTGATTTCACTTTCTTTCTGGAAATGATTAATATCATTCCACATTTTAATTTCTTAAAAGACAAACCGAACTTTTAAGGTAATCTTAAATTATCATTTCAGATAATGAGAAAAACAACGGTAACACGCGTGATTCTATTCACAACAGAATAGTGAAAAGTATTTTTAAAAAATCAGAACAGTAAAAGTAATTAATTAATGAAAACATAAAAATTGAATAACTGAAATGCAGAAGAAAGATTTTGACAATTTATAGATGATCTTCCCATATGTAAATCATTGTGAGCCATTTATACAGGAACACAGAAACGCAATGAAGGGGATTTGGAGCATTTGAAGAATAGTTGAGGAATAACAGATACCCAGACCATCCTCCATCCCTCTCCGCAATCTTTCTCAAAATAGCTTTTATTAAACATGAAGCTTGACTAAGTGTTTAATTTGAAGTGTGCTCTTTTGTGATCCACCAAATTAAAGGAAAAATTATATATATGTATATATATATATATATATATATATATAATGTTTCTGGCAGCTGTAATGGAATCACAACATGGTCAATATGCTGCAAAAACACTGCTGTCCTATGATTAGCAATAGAGCTTTATCATGTGGTGACATCGAGTCTTCAGGGTATGTGCAAGCAGAATTACATGTTGTGGTCATAAAAGAACATGTCCTTTTAATGATTTATATTACAGCGAGAAGCATTACTTAGGCAGCATTCTATAAAAAACTTAACACAGGCAGTAATTGCGAGCAGAATTAGTCAATAACTATGCAAGTTCAATACTACTTTCTAGGTGGAAGAAATTTCGAAATTTCCCGCTTAAGTAACCTAACATTCTTAGTGCAAACAACTGATAAAGAAATGCTTATCACATACTTGATGGGCTTACTCTCAGATACCAATGAGTCGCCTGCGGTATACTCGGCAAATCGTCGGTCACCCTCGTAATCTTCCATATCAGTGCGGAACAACATGTTGGCAGATGCAGTGAGACGGTGAAGGTAGTCATTCCCGAGCCAAACCTCGCCCTCCAGATTTCCGAAGCCTTTTTTGTATGATTCCCAGTCGACATAAAAGTCAACAGAGCCATCCATGCGCCTCTGAAAGGTGGTCCAGCCTCCGCCGTCAGTTGTAATGTCACACAGAACTTGAAATGGTTCTTCTTCATCAGGGTAAACCCAGTACACACCGTTGGTTTTGGAACCATTTTGATAATAGTCAAGACAGTTCTTGGGGCAGCCTACAATGGGAATCCATGAATATCAAATTGTCCACGGTACTCCAGTGGCTTTAAGATATCCATTAATTCGTAAAAACCTACGTCCTATGCTCCTAGAGTCGGAATTTTCCTTATTTCTAAACTACTTAGTTGGGGGACTATGATTGAAGGAGAAAGCTAGCTGTAATAGAGTCTTCCAGATCTTTTACTTCCCATTTGAATTTTGTGACATTGGCATAAAATGTACATCAGCTACACAAAAAGCTGCTGACTTTTTAAAGGGGATCTGAACCTACCTATGACACACTTGCAGAAATGAGTATCTGCCCTGTGGTCAGCTACACATATTTCATCGTCTTTGCAGGGTGTATAAAACGTATACAACAGGACAACTTCGAATAAAGACTGTATTCCAGAATAACAATATACAAGACAGCTTTCACGCATTCCTTTTCATTTTCCTTTTTAGAGTTTTCATCAAGAGTTCAAAGTTCAATTCGTGGGGGGTAAGAAACATACAAAAATCCACGTGACACTCTCGGTCCAGTTTTCAACACAGGGATACTTATCCTCGCAGGTGCCCTTGTGATGAGAAAACAAAACATCCATTTTACAGTTTTTTTCCCATATTTGATGCTCCCTAATGTCCCCGATGGAAACTCTTTATTGTGATTAATCAGATAAGGTAAATAAAAAAAATAACTCTTAAAGTTAGACATGAAAATTTTCGAAAATTCAATGAAGAGTCAGATATCAGCATTTTACGTAGACATCACTTCTGTTTAGATTTACTTTTTCGAAACGAAATCCTTTCTGTAGTTGAGACATTTTAAGCACACTTTTGGTGTTAATGCTAATTCACAGTTTAAGTCTTTTTCTCAGCGAGAGAATTTAAACAACCAGTGTATGTTTTATCCTCCCTTGCTTAAGACTAGCGACGTTGAGAGCGTCAGCGCGAGCAAAATTGTCCATAAGAATGCTGAGATCACATCATTTTCCGGTTTTTCCTCAATCAGTATTTCCATATCCGCCATTGAATCCAAGAACAGCCTAGTCAAAACCAATTAACGAATTCTCTAACTTCTGCTTTATTTAAGAGAATGTTTTCAATTTAAGCAGAACCGAACGATAAATCACGGCATTTGGGTTCCATCAAATTCTCTTCGTCTCAGCCCTAGAGTACGAATCTTTATTTCAAAAGAAAGTTGTGTTCTGCCCAAATGGAGTTTACGCTTCTTTTTTTCTTGGACTCGCCTCACGACCTTGCAATGTGATGATAACAACCGTGAAAGTGTTCTTATGGTAACCCTCAATGAGCGCAATCAAAATATCACCATAACATTTCGTCCTAATTCATTGTGTACGTAAATTAATCTTATAACCTCTTAGGGAATTCTTATAAATAAACCGTAGGCCTGGTGTTGTCATTATAATTCCCACGCAATCGTAATTGGGACGAATTAACAGTCTTGTGAGATTTACCCGATTAGAACTGGTCTCATGGCGACCTCAATAACGCTGACTCAAATTATTACTAATGTTTTGTCCTTACGGAGAAAGTAAATTTGATTTGCAGCCCTCCTAAGAAACCTTGCTAAATAATTCATGCCTCTATCCCATTAGATTCGCCAAGTACGTATATCAATAAGTTTAATTTACGTCTTGTGATTTGGTATAGTTTTCCTTTTTGATACTGTTTTCACACTCATAGCAATGAAATCAGTGTAAGATCAGTTGTAGCCTGGGAACAGGCTTGTTGGTACATACCTCATAGGAGAACAGCATATCACTTATTAGATAGTTAGCAACGCCAGTGGGCATAGTAAAGCGAATCCTGTGTTCTCATTGAGTACCCGAACGAGTCAGATGGCCCCATCTTGTCCGCTCGGGATTGCCCGCTTTGATTCCACGCAAGAAAAAATTTTATGTTTAGCGGACTTAAGTAGTTCGTAGTTTTTGGACAATGCCGCGTTGGAGTGTAAAAAGCGGTAGAAGGAAGTCAAACAGAGAAAGCATAAACAATTCTCAGGAGTTTATTCGGTGCTCTAATTACAGTTGGCTTTTTTTTCTTCGCCCTTATATTCTTGATTCGTGTTAAAGCGAAATATTTTCGCTACAAAGTAAAACCCTCTGTTGACCAAGCTTTTCCGGTCAAGATGGCTGGATAGTAGCCTCGTTCTTTGATTCGTAAACGCAAACCAAAAAATTTCGGCCAATATCTAGCCATCTTGACCTCACGCCTCGTCAAACTCGTATTTTTTATTTCATGTATATTAACTCGTCTATGAGCACATTCTAACACTTAACTAATATTGTGTCCAGAAGTTACAACTGTCTACGTTGTCTATGGTAGATGCAGCTATCGACAGTGGTCGACACTGTCCACAGTGATGAGATACAGTTATCTGCATTATAGACAATGGACACAGAAGATACAACCATCTTCGTTGTCCACTGCGAAGCCAGTCAATTGCTCTGTCTACAGTATATAGATCGATCCACAACATCTACTCTTTACGTTTAAATTTTTCTGGGTAATTTCTTTGTTAAAAACATGTTCTGTATTGTTTTCTTCAGACATAGCGAGCTAGTCAGCTGATTTCCACCTTTGGCCGAAATCACATGTGCTTCACATGATATTTTAAGCATCGCACACGTTCTGTTCGCTCTGAATCTCACATTCATCATGTGTTAAGCGGTCAATTGTCATGGTAAAAGCCACTTTTTTACCTGATTACCGTCAAAATCGCACAATAATAATAGTCTTAAATGGTTTAAATTTCCTTTTCCGATTAGTGCAAGGCAGGGCTCATAGGGTAGGGGCACATTTAATCTATGATAACAAACCTGCCTGTGGGAAAGAGGTCACTTGTGTGGTAACAAAATGTGCAGTAATATATAAAGAAATTGCAGCTTGTATCTCAACGAGCATGCGATAAATGCTAACGAGTGCACTACTTTAACGGCCTCAAGAAGGGAAGGGTCTGAATCTCCCAGAACTCTGAGCGCGCGTGTTCTTTCCCACGATGCACCGTGAGCAGGTACCGGCCGGTGTCGAACTTCTGACCTGCTTAGTAGGATTCTGTTGTAGGATTCTCTCGTAGAGGAACTTTAATTCATTATGGTTCAAGTTCAAAAGAATGTCTGCTTAATTGTTATCGACGGCTGGGGCATCTCTGAAAACAAAGAAGGTACCAGCTGTTTTCATGTCGGCAAAACATATATTTTTGTGGACTTCATTTCAGCAATTTGTAGTGCGATCGATTGATAAATTCTGTATGTACTGTACATGTTTGGAACATATGTCTTCACTTTCATTGATCCGGCGATGTTGATACTGAGAAATGTTTATTTAAGAAATTTGTTGCTTTTGTTCATGAACATAAACATGGTCTTGAAAAATTTATGTAATTTTTTAGTGTGCGAACTTGACAGAATTGTCACGTCATGCTCTGACTCTCATTAATCTATTTTTATGTCAATATTTGAATATCGCCATGTTCCTGATTTTTACACAACTTGCTAATGTTTAATGTGTGTAGTAAAACGTTTACAGACAATCAAATTCTCATAGATTGCGAACCGAAGCATTTTGTGCGCACAGTAGTTCTCCGAATCCAGACTCGTTGTTGCGTGACATCTCGAGTGTATTAGTAACGAATGTTTGGTAAGAATTCAGCGTTCAGTGTTTGAAAATGTCAAAATGTTTAGCAACGTGAAAACTTTTGGCTTCCATTCTTAAACCTGTAGGGTTGAAGACTGGAGACCATAAGTGTAACATTTCTGAAATTGTGAACCAGAGAATGATTTTTACATAGATTTATAGATTTAAACTTGGTTTTGCCATGATTTTTACATTTCTTTAACCCTTTAACTCCCAAGATCTAAATGGTAATTCTCCTTTTAGTCTGTCATACAGTACTTGTGATGTTAGTTTGGAGAATTTGGGATTGGATCAACTTATAATCCCCTAATTGATGTTTTTCTTTATTCTCATCACTTATCTGCTTGATATTGTATTTACATTGTAGGGAGAAATTCTGTTTTGGTCACTCATGGACATTAAAGGGTTAAAATTAATAATACATGTTTGAAAATTTATACCCCAGTCATATCTAAGCCTTTGGGTGCTGTATCTTATCAATATCCTACACTCAAATTTGATGTTGTTTGTAGGTTCTATTTTTTCAGAGATAAATAACTGTACTCAATAAACAACCAAGTGGAAAAAGGAAATAAATCAGTGATGCTAAAACTTAAATAATGTCAGAGTGTGAAGCAATCTCATTTGCTTATCTGCCTTCATACAGGAAATGCCATTGCTAATGCTACGGTACCAGTCATGGATGCATTTTGCACTGGACAAAACAATGCTTACACCACCCTAGATGCTTCTGGTTTGTCAGTTGGCTTACCTGCAGGACTTATGGGTAACAGTGAAGTAGGACATCTGAATATTGGAGCTGGAAGAGTTTTGTACCAGGTGTGAAATATAGGAAACTATGCCATCATATCTTGATTATCCGTATAATCAAAGCTATAATAAGATTCTCAAACATGATTGGTTATGACCAGTCAGATTTGAGTACTTATTGGACAGCATATGCATCATGCTTTTAATTAGACAGAGCAAGTGTCATGGCTATCTAATTGGATCGTAGGCATCATGTGTGTGCACTGCTGTTATGATGCATTTTGCAGAATTAACTGTATCTTACAGAGTTGTAATGAATGGCTAGTTTGTTTCTCAAATTTTGTCACAGTTTTGATGAATTGGCAATAGGACTTTGAGTTGCCCAATATTGTCTTTAATTATACTCATAATGAACATGTTGGACTCCTGTTTGGTGGTCATCCCATTTTGTTAATCACTCAGATTACACACCAAATTGGATTTTACTGAGTTCCATTACCATTACCAGTGATCCTTTATAATCAGTAGCAGAGTTTAGGGAAGGAGGGGGAATGGGGTGAGAGATTTGTGATCCCTAAAAAAATAGACCCATGTTGCCATGTGTTTATTCAATGTTATAACACATTAGACTTACTATAGAAATTCTGATTGGTTGAGAGCATGCAGTCAATAGTATGTGATGTTGACATGATAACCCAACATCTGTAACAGATATTGGGTTATCATGTCAAGTTCAAAGTTTGGCTAGTTTCCAAGCCCTTCATCCATGCACATGTAGTATTCTCAAAATTTTTCGAACTCAGAGAAGTGTCTGACTTCTGCAGATTGTTTAGCAAATTTACAATAGAAAAAAAATATTTGATTCACCAAGTTTTTATCAAACCTCACATCTGCGTTATCTACCTCAGCCTTCTCCTTTGGTAGATAACTCAGATCTTGGCACTGATATTTCATGATATCATGCTCAACCTCAGCCAGTAATTGCTTAATCAATCACAAATGATGCCAAATGCGGTTACAACAAAAAAGAGGCACACAAGGCACAGTGTGTCACTGATGTTCTTATCACACTTTGGTGTTACATTATTACTTATGTACAAAGTCATGCCACCCTGGAATCTCTTTGTCTTTTTGGAAAAGAAGCATAAAATTATTATGGAGGTGTCATCTATATGTCTGTCTTCCAATGAATCAAAATTAAGAGCCAATCAAAATACAAAAATAACTCTGAGCTCATTATAATTATAATCATGTATGATGCATGAAAGTTAAATATCTGATTCAGGTTATTCTCCTAGACAATGACAAGACACTGTTTTAGGACCCTTAATTGTTAAAAAAAAACTGCCAAATGAATTTGATTCAGATTTATGAGCTGCAAAAAAAATTGGATCATGAAATAACACTCAATCAAACTACCACAGCCAGTTAAGGTTTTGAAGCACAGTGATTTGGATGGAGATTCAAAGTGTTCTGTAGACACATCCTTTAATAATCTGTCTAAAAACATCATTGTAGAAAGGAGATGGTCCTTCTTAATAAGTCCATGGAGATTGGGTATGTTTAAGCCAGTGACATAGTAAGGGTCCATATCAATCTGTACACTTATAAAATTTGTTTATTACATTTGTAATTAAAATTATGGCTACTCTTAATCACTCATGCCTTACATTATTGCTTGTCCTTTTTTTCGGTAGGATATTGTTAGAATTAACATGACCTCTGACAAGAAGGAGTTTTCAAAAAATGAAGTTTTTGCTGAAGCAGCAGAAAAAGCTAAGGCTTCTAATGGAAGGTTTCATTTATTGGGTTTGGTGAGTAACCATGTCTTAGTAAGATCATTTTCATATGTCTGAATTATATACTAATAATCAACAATTAACTCTTTAACTCCCAAGATCTTAATAGTAATTCTCCTTACTGTCTGCCATATAGTTGCTGCAATGTTAGTTTGGAGAATTTGATATTGGATCAACATATAATCCCCTAATTAATCTTTTCCTTTACTCTCATAACTTTTCTGCTTGATATTGTATTGATATTGTAAAGAGAAATTCTGTCTTGATCACTCATAGGAGTTAAAGGGTTAAGTTGTTAATCAAGTGAAGTAATCTTGATCTAGATCTCACAGGACAAATATTTAACTTGAATAAAGAGGTCATTCATTTTTCAAGAGAGTGAGATAAGGAAAATTGGGAAATTTTGGTAGGATGCACAATGATGTGAAAATGTCCTTCAATTCTTGGATAATATTGATTAAATAATATTGGTTTTATTTTAGGCTCAGTAAGGAGGTATTGTGTTTATTATCCTTCTAATATTTTGCCATGCACATGAAAAATGTTTACAAACAACTTACCGTAAGCAGGGTGGGAAGTGTTCTTTGGAGTGTTCTCTACAGGTACAAACTTCATGAAAAAAATGATATCTTCCTTCTTCTGCAACAACCACAAACACTCCCTTATCTAATTAAATAATTTGAAGGCTTACATTGTATCATGATGGATTCAAGGTTTGAACATTGGGGAATTTCATTTGGCTGATATTCTTGGATGTCACCTAGTTTTAGCTGGGGGATATTCAGGCATGTGTTGTATTTAGACCAGTTGCATATGAGCAAAAAGATTTGATGGATCATAATTTCAATTATCCAGACTGTTCAGCCCAGTCTGCACAAACCCAGAAGATAGAGGTGGGACTGTACTTGCACACTTGATGTGAAAGTATACATTACGGACAATTTTTTTTTCTACAGGTCAGTGATGGTGGTGTCCATGCCCACATCAATCATTTAGAGTCAATGATTGATGCAGCTAAGGAGCTTGGTGTTCCCAAGTGTTATGTTCAGTTTTTTGCTGATGGAAGAGACACATCTCCAACCAGTGGAGGTACAAAATATATTGAAGGAAGCTACTTCACCACCAGGCTATCCAATAGTAATTAATTGTAATAATAATAATGATAATAACTAGTGTCATAAATTAAGTGCCAATCAATTTGAGGCTTCAACATCCCCACCCCACCCCCCTCTCCCCTTTTCTGGGCAACCCATGGGTGTTTTGACCATCATCTGTGTTAAAGTGTCATGTCTTTTCAGAAGAATACAAGTGTATCTTTAAATAAGGAGGTGTTTAAAGGTAAAGAGTTCATTCAGGTCTGCAAGGTCTCATTTGTGAAAGCCTGGTCAATGAGTAGAAAGTCAGGGTCACTGATTAATTGCCCCTAAAAATAAAAATATAAAACTGACCATTTAATCCAACACTTGGTTAATTCAAACACAATTTTGCTCCCAGCAGGGATAGGAATTAGAACAAATCAATCTTCAAATACTCAAATACTGGGTTGGGGGAGGAATGTTGAAGCTTTGAATTGATTATTAACAATTAGATCTCGGGAGTAAAACCCATCAATGGAAGAAGTAACAAAATCCCTACTTTAACATTTTTTTAAGTGACATATGTGGAACAAGTCTTGAAGAAGCTGAAGGACATCAATTATGGCTCACTAGCCACAGTTGTGGGCCGTTATTATGCAATGGACAGAGACAAGCGTTGGGAGAGAATCCAGATTGCTTATGAAGCTTTGGTGCAAGGAAAGGGTGAAGAAACTACCCCAGATAAAGTTATTGAGGTAAAGACAGACAGTTGACTGATTAGACTTTGCAAGGTGTATCACTGGCTCAAAGATCCTTTACTTAAGCATGCAATTCCTCCACCTGCTGTTTATAAATTGTCTTTGTTTATATTATGTTTGAGTTTGCTTTTTTTTTTTTTTTTTTATTTAAGGTTTTCAAAGGTCGCTATGAAGCAAAAGGAGACAAAAGTGAAACAGATGAGTTCCTAAAACCCATTATTGTGGACCCTGAAGGAAGAATAAGAGGTTTGTGTTGAGTTTTTAAAACTGATGAGAAAGTAATTGAGTATTAATAGTATATATTTGATTTTTTTCACCATAAGATGCAAGAACACAGTTTGCTATAAATCACATGGTACAAACTTTTAATTAACAAATTGTATTTTTTTTATCTTGTAGTAAAAAGTATTGCTTTCCTCATTAAAGTATTACTGCAATATCTTTTACTAAAAAAGCTTAGTTACTTTTATCAGTTAAATGCTTATGATATCCATCATGAATTATTTTGGCTATTTATTTCTCTTCAGATGGAGATGTCCTTTGTTTTATTGACTTCCGTTCTGACAGGATGAGGCAAATCAATGAAGCTTTTGGAATAAAGCCACCTTTTGAAACAAATGTTATTCCTTCTAATCTTGTAAGTATAATATCTTGTTATTTGAAGAAAGAGGAACGAAATAATATTTCAGTAGGTCAGGAGTAATGTAATGGTTAGATACTTAAAAAGGACAACTGTTATGGGACACTAGGATCCAAATTTGGACTCTAGCATGTCCAAAATCAGCTGACATTGTCCAAAATCTAACGCATGTGTTAAAAATCAGACATGAAATGTGTCTAAAATCTGAAAATACATGTAGTTTCTAAGATTGGGCAGTAGTAACTGAAATCCAACACTTGTGTCCAAAATTGGATCCTAGTGTTAAAAGTAAGACACATGCCCAAAATGGGACATCAGTGTCCAAAATCAGGATGTAAGTATTCAAAACTGGATGTTAGTTTGTAAAATTGGATGCTAGCATCTGAAATTGGGTACTGATGTTTTAAATTGGATACTAGTATCTAATATTGGATCCCAGTATCCAATAACTATTTCATTCAGTTGTCACTTTCCAGTATCTAACCATTACATTGCTCCTGACCTACTGAAACATTTTTTCACTAGTGTCCAAAATTGGACACTAGTGCCAAAATCTTACCTCGCCTATTGTCTAAAATAGGACATTTGTGTCTAGAATTGGACAATAGTGTCTAGTATAGCCCTCTAGGGTCCAAAATCAAGCAATGGTGCCCAAAATCAAATACCTGTGTCCAAGGTTGGACCTCTTTTAATTGCATACTGCGGTATATAGAATTGGATGCCAGTTACTAAAATCACTTAGCAATTATTTCCAAAACTGGACACTAGCATACAAAATTTGACATCGATGTCTAAAAATGGACACTAGAGTTGAGGGTGCATTTATGTTTTCACTGATCAAATTTTAATTTATCTTTAATTTCAGCATCAAATTACCATGACACAATACAAAAAAGAATTTCCCTTCCCAGTCATGTTTCCTCCTTTTACTCCAAAGAATGTCTTAGCAGAATGGTTATCTGTTCACAATGTTCCTCAGTTTCACACTGCTGGTAGGTACTTGACTAAAATTAACCCTTTAATTCCCTTGAATAATCAAGACAGAATTTCTCTTTACAATGTCAATATAGTGCCTAGCAGACAAGTGATGAGATTAAAGAAAAATATCAGTTGGATTATTAGTCAATCAAATTCCAAATTCTCCAAACTAACATTATAAGAATTGTATGGCAGACCATAATGGGAACTTTTCTTATTGCAAATGAGATCTAGGAATCGAAAGGGTTAAGATCACATCTCAGGTTTTTGTTATAAATCTGGAATTAATTTAATTTATAAAATGCTTGTCAGGTTGTGATCATTGCATTGACTGCAGTTGAAAAGAGTAACACAGCCAGGTATTTCCTGGTGCAGTGGGCTGGGATCATTAGTTTTGATTTCCTTGGGTAGAAGACAGTTAAGTTTTAAACATAGTAATGTCTGTGCCTGTCCAGGAATAAATTAAGGCCATAGAAAGTGAGGGGTAGGGAATGATTTTTAATGGACCATACCTCCCTGTCATGGGTCAGTGCCAATAAGACAAGTAGCTTAGTAGATTATGAGCATGGTTGAGCATCAGTACCCAAAGTTTATGCCTGTCTTTGCAGTTGGGTTGTTCTTTCTTACATCCAGGCATTTCATTTACATTAAAAAATATGCAAGGCAGTTCTTTTTTTTTCCTCTGATGGTTTTGTTGCATCCATAGAAACTGAGAAATATGCACATGTAACTTTCTTTTTCAATGGTGGTGTGGAGAAACAGTTTGAGGGAGAAACAAGATCAATGGTTCCTTCACCAAAAGTGGCCACATATGATTTGAAACCAGAGATGAATGCTGCTGGAGTTGGAGAAGAGGTAAAAATAAAGACCAAAAAAAATCTTTGATGTTGTTTCTTAGTTTGTAAATGTGAAAGTCTCTCTAGCAGCTTCTCTGTGGTATTTCAGGTGTTGCTCCACCTTAAAGGAGTGGCACCATGTCCTGGGTAAATTCAAAGTAGACAAGTCAACTGCATGACCTCGACAATGCCAGCTACTACGAGCAGTCCCTCCCTTTTAGCCAAAGTCCGTGGTGTGAGTTAAAAGAAAATCAGTGAAGAAATGTTAGTGTGCTGTGTGGGGCTCACACAACAGACTTTGCCAAAAAGGAGGGACTGCCTACAGTTTAGGCTACCAAAAGTCAAAATAATTTATTTAATAATATGTAGTTTAGCAGGAAGGACCCAAGCTTCCATGCTGAATGTTTTTGATATTTCTATTAACAGGTGTGTAACGCTGTTAAAAGTGGCAAGTACCCATTTGTAATGTGCAACTTTGCTCCGCCTGACATGGTTGGTCACACTGGCAAATATGAGCCTGCAATCAAGGGTTGTGAGGCAACTGGTGAGTCAACAGTGTTGTACAATCAGTTACAACACTATGATGGTTACACCTTTGAAATTTGCCGAGATGAAAAAGCAAGTGTTTTTTTTTGGACACAGATAAAGCAATTGGTGAGATTGCCAAAGCATGTGAAGAGACAGGCTATGTGTTGATGATAACAGCAGATCACGGTAATGCAGAGCAGATGATGAGTGAGAAAGGTGGTCCTCATACTGCGCACACTACAAACAGAGGTTAGTTGTCCACTTTGTAAACTAGTGAACACTTAATGTGAAAGCAGCAATTTTAAGTCTATTCAGGGAAATGATTGGTGATGGTAACCTGTAAGTCTATACTGCGCAGGAGGTGCTCATTGGAAAAAAATCTTCACAAAGTCTTGAGTACAGCTTGAGGCCTATTATATTTGATGATGATGTATTTAAGATTCCAGCCCACTGAGATTCTTTAGAGGAATAGAATTAGACATATTACAGCAAAAAAAAAGGGGGGGGGGGGCGAAAGGGGTGGTACTTGGGATGGATAGGCCCTAACCTTCCCCCCTTTAGAAAAAGTTTCCAGTTTCTTAAGGCCAGTTAGAGGTGGATATGCTCACTTACAAAAGTCAGTCACCTGGTTGGTAATGATTTGCTCTTGGCTTTAATTTTCTTTCAGTTCCTTTTATTATGACTGGTGGACTTAAGTTTAAAGAAACTACCCACAATGCTGCTTTGTGTGATGTTGCTACCACTGTATTAGATGTGATGGGTCTCCCTATTCCAGCAGAGATGGGTGGACAGTCGCTACTGGCTAAATAGGGTGTGGCTTCCTTCAGTAATCATGGGTAGTCATCTGCTTTGCAACTTTAAAGAAAACTTAAGATGTGGATTTCCTTAAAGTAACTGTTAGTAATCACAGAAGTTTATATATTTTAGTTTTTTTCTTGATAGACAAAAAGTGTGAGATGTGTTTTAAAATGACTAATGATAAGCGCAGTGAAATATTCCTTCTTATAAAGGGCAACTGAATTCTTAACCCTTTAACTCCCAAGATCTCATAGGTAAGTCTCCTTACTGTCTGCCATACAGTTCTTGTGATGTTAATCTGGAGAATTTAGTATTGTATCAACTTATAATCCCCTAATTGATATTTTTCTTTATTCTCATCACTTTCCTACTTGATATTGTATTAAAATTGTAAGGAGAAATTCTGTCTTGGTCACTGGGAGTTAAAGGGTTGAAAAAATAAAAAGGTAAGTGACAAGGCAATAAAACAATAAAGATGATCTTCAACTGGAATCATACTATAAGGGCTGGGGTTGCAGATATTTATTTTGAATTTTAGCCAATGAAGTCTTACTCCCAGCAAATCAACATGAAATTATATACGAATGCTATAAAATTGCCTTTTATTGATAGCTTAACTATATGTTATAACTTATTTTTCCCAATTAATTTTGTCAACTTAGTGGTAATCAACTGAATGAGTATAATTAAGGCCTGAGTATTATCAGATTAAAATGAGAATGAAATCTTTCTGGAAATCACTTTTCCTTATGTAAAAGGATACATAACCATTATTTGCCACCACAGACCTTCTTCTAATTCTTAACACTACCTGCCTCACTGCAACTCTACATGCAGTTTTTTCAAAGGAAGGGGTTGGGTCCTCCTCAGAATACTTTGAAGGTGTTCCACCTAGTACTCTGCATTAGTGTCAAAGTCAAGAATTGCAAAGAGTGGAATTATACATCTTTTTCGTTGATGCTGTGCCTTTCCATTTTTTATCAGAAGTTGAAAGGATCAAATAAATATGTTAAAACACTTTAGTGGGTTCCTCAATACCCAAAAAGACCACGATGAACAGATCTAGACCTGTTTTCAGACCCTCAAGCTGGAGAACCAACTATACCTTTGGGGCTGATAAATACTTAAATTGCCTATATAGGAAATTATGCATTTCCTTCCCTCCTATACCACTTCAGAACTAAGGATAAGTGTCAACCTCCTTACTCAGCAATTGGGTGATAATAATATTACACTGTTTAGTCTACTACTGACAATAACTTGATTCAAAGTGGTTGACATATCTTTATAGTCCAGTTCACCACTTGTAGCGATCTGGAATGTTGTTCAGAAATTCTTCTTCTGCTGGTGTGTTCTCTCTTCCCAAAGATCTGTTCCTCTGGGGATACCTCCCAAACTTGTCAATAACTTCCTGTTATTAAAAAAATATATTACGTGTACATTGAGTGAACTATTGTGACTTATTTCAACTAATAATAAGTGTCCTGTTTGTTAAAGCACAACTTTATAAAACAACCATGTAGCACATATCAGTGTTTGATTTAAAGTGTATATTTAAAGAGTGATCTTTTTTTTCTGGCTCTGTGTTCATACAAAATCCTCTTCTTCCTGAGGAAAGCTTCAATCTATGTTTGTCTGATTAGCCTGTTCCAGGCCCCCAGTCAGGATATTTTAAGCAAAGAAGCAGATGAGCAACAAATGGCACTTGTTTGTCAAGGAAACAGCCACCTGATCCCTTCCATTTTGTGTTTACCCACTCTTTCACTTATGAGCTTAGCACAGGTTATTTTTTAATGCCTTAGCTAAGACACATTTGGGGATAAATACAATGGTTACACTGCACTTAAAATTGTATCATTTGGGACAAGTAATTGTTTATCACCTAGGAGGGAGTGGGAGGGTTTGCAGGAATTTGGGGAACTTGCATGGTTTTCAGGTAAAAGGTAGGGGGGATAAATCATTGCTACAGAGTATAGAGATGGGTACTACAGAAAATTGACTGCCAGCAAGGGAGGGGGGAGGGTCACAAGAAGGAGGGAATCAGGTAACTTTGGTTGTGACACAACCAAAATCCCCAATCACCTCCTTCCTCCAGGCAATAACCAGTCCTTTAGATAAAGTGTTTAGGCTGCTTATGTCTTTAAGCAGTCCATTTCATCATAAATAACAGGCCCAGGGTCTTTCCAGAGAGTTGGGAAACTCTGAGTTGTTGAGTTAGATTGAATTGCTAATACAGCAGGTTCCTACAGCCCCTGATTAAGGGCAAGGCCAATAGACATGCATTACCTTGTGTCTTGTAGCAAATTCAATGTAACCTTTAGCCATTTCTTCATGCTGTGTACCTTTAAAGTCTTCAGCTAATTTAGACATTAAACTCACTGATAACTCCTGTTAATAAAAAATAAATGAAACCTGTGATTTAAGTCCTAAGTGGGTGTTTCAACAATTATGCCTGCATGTCCCCAATGTAATTTTTAAGTTTATACTCTCAGGTCTCAAAAAAAAAAAAAGAAAAAAAAAGAAAAACCAACTGAACACTAAATATAGGCAAGCAAGATAAGTTTTACAAAACAGATTTAAAAGTGACTAAAGAAAACTAAGGCATGTTGAGAGTCCATGTTTTTTAGGCCAAGACAGGACTTGTATTAATCAACAAAAATTGGAAATTGTAAAACTTCCTAGTTTATGCCTGATCATGGAGTGCCTGATCAGGCATTATAAAAAGGTGAAAATATGCTTCATAATCTGTATTGACATAGGATCTTGGACTAGGAAACCTGCAATAGACAGGGAACCCACTCACCTGATCTTCCTTGCTTTCACTGTGTTCAAATGGCAAATATATGAAGCCTCTCTCAGCAAAATGAAATTCCAAGTGGTTGTGAGTTTTACCATCAATAAACTGTAAATCAAAGTAATCAGATATGATGAATTCTGAGGTTAAATCTTTCCCATCAAACCACCCTGTTGATCTGAAGGTATTGCAACCTCATAGTTTATATTTCATGTTTTTTGTTATTGAAAATTATTAACAGTCTCTCTCTCTCTCTCTTTCCTTGTCCTTGTCCTTTTCCAGCTGTCCACATTCTGAAACAGTCTGGTATTAATAAAGAAAAAAATCATGGAAACAAATTAAAAGTTTACATTCAAAAGCCATATGCCATGAAATGATGTCAGTGCCATGTTTTAGATTCCTCACACACTCTCGAAATTACAGCAAATGAGGTTAACTAAGACTATGACATGAGCAGAATGACTCTCACCTTCCTGGCAATTTCCCTAGCTCGGGTGTCACCTGAAAAAGCCTTGGCACTATTCTGTTCAAAAGAACAGAAAAACATGTTATAGCTATTATTGTTTGTATCTTTGCCATGATCTCCTGAACAATTTTGGTATATGAAAAGTATGTTTTGAAAGCTCGATCAACGAGGGAAATATTTTAGGGTTTCCGTCAAAGCCCCTTAACTGAATTAGATAGTTTACATCAAAAAGAGAATTGCAAAAATAATCAATCTATAGGTGCAGTAACTGGTGAGTCTCTTTCGGGATTCTTCTCCTAATCACTACACTAATTAACTCTTGAAAAAAAACTTGGAAACACCTCAGGCATGACAAGAACAACTATTATACATTAGACTTACAAATGAAAATTCTGATAGGTCAAGTGCATTTTCAGTCAATATACAACGGCATGTGAACTCCATAGATAAACCTGCAATATCTGCAACAGATATTGGGTTATCATGTCAAGTTCAGAGTGTGTCTAGTTTCCAAGCCCCTCATCTGTGTAGTCTTCTAAAACTTTTGCAAACTCAGAGAAAAGTGCCTTCTTTTGCAGATTGTTCAGAAGATGTATAATAAAACAGTTGTTGAATTTGGTTGTGTCTGTGTTACCTGCTACAGCCTTTGGCTTCTGCAGATAACTCAGTCCTTGGCATTCATAACTCACGATATCATGCTCAACCTCATCCAATAATTGCTCATTACAACCCTAACGCCTAAAGTGCTGCTGTTAATTGAATTAAGTGGAATAGTTTGTTATTTAACCTACCCTGAAAATACTCCTAGTAAACTGGTCAGTGAGGATGATCAGTGCCAGTGATGGCTTGGGCTCAGTTTCCCACTCTTTCAGTTCTCCTTGCACAGCTTTTCCAACCTGTAACAAGACAACTACCATTATATGTCACTTTAAATAAAGTGATTGTCAAAACATGTATGCTCAGATCTCTCAGCTTTTCCAAGAGCCAAGGGCGTGGTTGTAAATGGGTAGGGGAGATCAAAGGGTGGGGGAGGAGAGAGACTGGAATATATTAGGACTGCCAAGAAAAATTAAAGAGCCATAAAGAATAAAACAGCCTTAAACATGTCCCTTCAGAGCCCAGTTCTTTGAAAACCATGCTCTTCCCCCATCCATGCAGGAATGTAACCAATTGCCACCTCTTGTTGTTTCTGATCATTGTTTTCACTTACCAAAGATGAAAATTTTTGTCTGATTTCTTCATCCACTTGAGCTCCACCGTGAAACCACTTTTTTTCAGCTCCAGGGCTGAACCAATAGTCAAGGACATTTTTCCAATGGTCTGAGTCATTACCAGAACATAAAGACCTAGTAATGACTCTCACAACTGTTCCACGTTTTGTCCTATCCGACCAAGAAAAATTTCATAAAGCAAGTTTAAATATCAGAGAAAATCTTTCGTGGTCCTGAACCTTCACTACAGAACAGCTGTATATTTAGTTCCTATGAGTGCCCTGATTGGTCAAAAACCCACCGTTTTATACACTGGTAGACCCATAGAATTTTATTTTTTTGTTGTTTTAAGTTTATTTCATGAAAGCAATAGATATATCGATTATAGATTTACACCGGTTTACAAGCGTACCGGAGGCGAGTGATGTACAAACGTGCGAGTGTTCTCCTAACATCTGGAGTGGGTTACTTCGCTGCTAAACCGATATAAAGTGTGTTCTGTTATTCAATTAATCCACTACAAAGTAAAGATCATTGAGTTGCACGGATAACTTAAATGTGCAGACGCGCTTTTTGTGGGCACCACTCAGTCTTTCGAGATTTGCCAATTATTATCTCAATAATTAAACATGTGGTGCAAAGTGACAAAGCTGACACCTTCAGCAATAAGAAAAAGTTTGTTGAAAACTTACAACTCGGTTGGTGTACTTAAGAGTACACCAACTTACCATGTTACCATAACTTACCATGTTTTAAGTCTCACTGGGCTAAAAGTCTTGGTAAACACTGCACTAGTGACAAAAATAGCGGCCATCTTTTTCGTCGCGAGTGTCACAAAATTGCGTGACAGTCAAGGAACCTATCGCGCTCGGCTAAAAATACAACCCGTTGATAATCCGTTAAGCTTGTCGCAGAAGAGCTCGTAACAGCCTAGTAATTCGAGGTGTAAGAGAGTTTTGAGAATAACTGAAGATCTCCAAGACACGGTAAGTTCCTGAAAAATTCTATGAAAATACGATGGTGAATTTGCCATCGTTAAAAATCGAAAACGGAATGCTTTAGTTACCTGCGCCCAACAGCTGGTTCTTTCATGCACACTCAGACAGCGTTTGTCTTTGTCTTCTGACATATCATAGAAAGCCCCGTTTATGTTAAGTGTTTTGAAACCATGAACTGTTCAACTTCTTCCTGGGCTTTCTTTATATTTGTGGAAGCTCATACAAACCACACGAATGGTCAACTTTTCCTGGTTTTACAAGATGTCGTTTCGATCAGGTGTAAATGCAAATTCGTGTACTTCAATCCTGATGGAAAAAAAAAATGAGAGCCTCGCTCAGTTATATGTCTTCTGTTTAGCATAATCGGTTCTCATTCTGAGCACTTTTTTCTCTAAAAAGAAAAACGATTTGAATCACATAAAAAATAATTTGCAAATGATTTGGCTTGCATTACTCCGCGACATAAAAAATATTCATTTCCTTTCTTTAGACAGAGCACCCAATTCCTGAAACTTCCGTAAACAACATTCGTATAGCGTATAGCTATGATTTTTTTGTCCTTTGCTTTTTATTTTGATTTTCTATCCTTTTCAGCTACAAATGATGTTTCGTTTCATATGGCGAGCTTGGTTCGACTGAGATTTACATATACATGTTTAGTCGATTAAAATTCAGTCTGCGCGTTATGTCACGCAGGGTGTTTTGGTGGCACGGGTGGTCACGCTTTTAACGCAAAGGTTTGTGTTCCTGTTTGTTTTCCTCGTCAGCAAAAAGACCATGTTTAACAGTCAATATAAGGAAGCTAATGATGTGTTGAATTACTGGTTCGGAGGAGGGGACCGTTCCAAGCGACCAAAATGGTTCGGAGGCGGAGAAGAAGCTGCTAAGGAAGTAAGAGACAAGTTCGGACCGCTGGTAAGTTGAAAATGTCGTTTCATCAAGCATCAAGTAGTCTACTTTAATCGATGCACAGGGTGCTTACCATTAAGCCGAAAAGTCTTTAAATTTCAGTTTTATGGCAAGTGACAATGTAATTTTTCCAGAAATCTTGTTGGGAAATTGTAGAATACCTACAGATGTATTTCTCTTTTTCATTCGGAACGGAACGGCAGAAAATTCCATATCAATTGAATTAGTCCTCCGTTTCCAGGCTAGAGAGGGACGAAACGGCTGATAGATTATTAATGGTGCGCGCAATCTTATCCGCTGGGTCAAATTGGGAAAAACCATAACAAGGAAAATGTGCCAGAGAGGTCAAGTCACGATTGGTTTTATTTTCACTTTTGCTGACTGATTGAGACTGAGGGTAGCAGAGTGAACAAGACCACAGACGAAGTTTAATCAGGGTAAACAGGAATAAACCTCGTCCTGTTATTCTCTTTAGGTAGTGAAGTGATGCACAATTGACTCAGATAAAATACTATCCTATCGCTTGTAAACAGAATAATTGAGAGATGGTAAGTTTTGAGCTCGGTAACTGATATAAATATAGGTGTTTTTCGTCTTTCTCTATTTCTTTGCCGAGCTCAAAACTCACCATCTCTCTTAATTATTCTGTTTACAAGCATGATGCTATCAACATTTCTGATCCTAGCAACATGTAGGACGCGTGTCACGGGGAGTGCGGAATCCGAAGGTCTGAGGTTCGGTTCCTCGTGGCAACTCAGAATTTTTCTTTGTCCCATGCTCGTGAAAAGACAGAAAACATCTTTCTCTACCCTATCTTTTTTTTCAATCTCACAATAATGATGATGAGAAAAGTCTCTCTTCTCTTACAAGTGATTCACGTGAATGTGTTTAAAGCGAGAGGAGACACTTTTTCTTTGAACCTTTTCTCTCTCAGGTGGAGAAAGCCAGAAATGACGAGTTGAAGCACTGGGAAAATGATCCTAAAGCCTCATTAGCGTTGATCATATTACAGGACCAGTTCCTACGAAGTCTTTTCAAGGTTTGTATAACTACACGCTTATATCCGATTGACCGACGGACCGAAAGATGGCACGTCAGACCGACCAGTCGGCCGACCTATTCAACCGAGCGATCGACCTATCGAACGACCGAAAAAGGAATGAAACACGGATAAACCAACCAGCCGAAAAATAGATCAGGCAAAGGACTTTGTCGCGTAATTTTGTACAATTTCGTTACGAAATAAGAAAACATGCTACTGAGATTGACATTTTGAAGGCGCGTCGGCCTTCGACATTTTTTTGTAAGGCGTGTCGCTTAGATGTGATTTTTCATTAAGCATTACGACAAAAATAGATATATCTTACACTAGAGAAGAAGTTAATCGAGACAAAAAGTAAAAGCGAAGTGGTCTTCAGTCAGAATAATTATGTAAGCGAGAGAGCGTTTGTCAGTTGTTCTAATTGAATCAGTTTACGACAGACTTATTGGCTGAACATTACAGTCACAGCCGAGAAATCGAGTTATCTTGTAAATTTGACACTTTGGTATTGTCAACCGAGTTAATCATGTAAATTGACCATTGTAAAGAGTTTCTAAGCTAACCTTCTTTTAAGCGTTAGCCCTTCGTCAAAGCGAATAACGAAGGGCTAAGTTTCGAAACATCAGCTTAGAAACTCTTTACGGCGGCCAATTTACAATATCAACTCAGTTGAAAACACCAAATATCTTGTTATACTACCCCACCGACGCTGGACCACAGTAACCGAAAGGCTTTATTCATTTATCGAGTGGGTGAACCCGATTTTACGAGAAAAGAAAGAAGGGTGGGGGAAGGAGGTCGAAAGTCGAGGACAATCTCTCGGATGTTAAATTTGAAAGTGCGCCTCTAAGTCGAAGATTAGTAGCTCAGCTGAAAGCTGATGGATGACGCTTACTTTAGAAAATTTCGGGCAAATTAATGTCCATGCATATCATGGAATACCCATCTTAAGATAGAAGGTATTTTTTCCAAATTGTTTCGTTCGGTTATTTCAGGGCAGTCCCACGGCTTTCTCAAGAGATACATATTGTGAAGAACTGGCCAAAAAGGTAAATAAAGTTTCCTCTTCTTCTTACCAGCATATTACCAGCATTTTTACCTCTTTTTAAAATTTATTTCTCACCTTTCATTTCTTGGTGTTAAAAGTTTATACAACGCGAGACACACGATCATCTAAAGTTCAGCGCCGCTGCGAGAGTTTTCATTTATCTTCCACTGGAACACAGCGAGAACAGAGAGACTCAGGTGAGTCAGCGGCAATAAAATTTCTGGCCGTGCGTATTAATATATACAAGGAAATATTTGTCATTCTCGTCCAGTCACAGTGCCATAATTTGCTTTTCGCCTGTCCCTGCAAGTGCCGTAAACCACGTTTCGGGAATGCATGAACACTTCTAGACCGAGGAGTTGGGCCAACAGCGACTACTGTGACCACAATATTCCAAGTTTAAGTTACGAGTTGTTTGAAATGTTAAAGTGGAGACTTCAAGTCAAATTGACTTTTGCGCACGCACAAGCATAATCTCGCTTCATTTTGACCCAACCGTTTACTTTTTCGTTGTAGGAAATGAACGTGCAGCTGTTCGCTCAGTTAGAGAAAGACTGCAAAGGGGGCGAAGACGAGTCAAGTGGAAACATTTGGTACAAGTTTGCTTGTCTTCACAAGGTGAGAATACTGGTTGGTTTACCGGTGGGAGTTGACAATTATTTTACGCGACGTGGGAAGCAAAGATTGCAGACCGATTTTCGACAAAATGCAACCGACAGGAACGCAGAATATTAAATAAAGATAACAAATTTTAAAAAGAAATTGACGAAAGAGAGAAGGAGAGAGAAGGCTAACTTGCCAAGTGATGGTTTGAATTTGCGTGCAATGCGCACCATCTGCGCCAGTGATCATATTTTGAAAACGCTCCAAATCCGCGAAAGCCGAACCAAAGCCAAATTGTATTCCCTGACCGCATGGAAGCCTTCAATAAAGCGGGCAAAGAGCTCAGAACAAAATCCCAGCACTACAATGAATCCATTCCTTCTTTTGTATTCAGGAGGTAGTGGATCAGTTTGGGCGTTTTCCACAGCGCAACAAAGTTCTTGGCAGAGAGAATACTCCAGAAGAGGACGAATGGCTGAATAATCTTCCCGACCGTTTTAAATGGTGAAGACGACAGACAGCAGAGTGATAACAAACCAGCAGTCTAGATGATATCTAAGATATACACCCTGTAGATAAAATGCGTCGATTAGATCACAGCTTTAGTCCGGATCCCACCTTCACGTCTTGGAAGGAGCCTTGATTCTCCATTTCTTATCAGCCTTTTAATCCGACTAATAGAGTTTGTTCTCGACATTTTTGTTTTTAAATCAAAAAAAATTCTTTGACTTAAATCTAGAAGTCGATTTACATTTGTAATCAAAACCTGTAAGAGCACGACCAAAATTCAAACTTTGAACATTAAAAGATGTCGCACACTACCCTAGCTGTGTTTTGCAGAAAGCTTCCATTTCCTAGGGCTGCTTAAAGTTCAGTAAACGTTCGAGAAAATTTTAATTTATTATCTTGCTATTAAACAATTGTTCCGCGGGCGCGTTAGATATGAGATGATACTCAGATAGCCGTAGGGCCGATTTGGCTTAAATCATTTCATATCCAACAAATTCAACAAGCGCGGGTGGAATCATCGTCTTACAGTTACACAGTAGGATCTGAGTACGAGATTATTCGCTGGGTTCATGGGGCAAAAATGTTAATTGAGCACTTTGTCACCCACTTCAGTCCCTATTTTGAGCTACACAAAGTTGTTGTCGTCTTTATTTAAAGAAAAAAATCGTAGCTGATCAAAAACAACTACATGCAAAAGCACAAAATTCGACAAGTATAGTCTGGGACAAAATATATCGAATTTAAGACTCTTAACCCGCCATTCTTCCATTTCAATGATGGGATTCTATCGCGTCAGCGGCCTCTATAAGGCTTCGTTTATGATTTTAGAATTTATGTCACCTTTATTTCTGTCCAAGATTATTGGCATACTCTTCATATAGAGAGAGAGGATGTCATGAATTTCCAGAATAAGATTAGAATTGGCTTCTTGTGTTAGCAAACTTTTATCTTAACACCGACAGTAATTCTTCACGCTATATCAAATCACTTCAAGTATTGTCACATATTGTGATTGTTGTATTTATTCTTGATATACGCCAAATACTAAGACCACAGCAAACAGAGAGTTGTTAATAAAGCTACATTCCGCAAAGTTGTCGGCTTTCTCGTCCCAACAGCACAAACTTCCGATCCGAATCGATTGGCCCATCTTCGGACCAATGTGCGTCACACACACGATCTTGTATCGATCGAAGCCGAGCAGTTTGACTTGAGATTTTACTTCTTCCGAGATTTGCAGTGTTAAATCCCGACACAAATTCGGATCGTAGCTCACATTTGCGAGTCTATTGGCCAACACTTCTTCTGCAATTCTCTTAGCAGCAACTGTGAAGGAATCGTAGAGGTGGATAAATAAAACTGAGATATACAACTTTACAGTTTAAGACCAACAAGAAATTAAAACGTACTGTATGTGACAGGAAGAGATCATCATAAAGTGAGCTCAATTTCAATTTTCTGATGATTAAAACTAATCTGTTATCAGCTGTTTCAATTGCACTTATTTTCATAAGTATTTCATTTATATAAAACCATTATATTTATTCATATCAAGATGCATTTTGGGATTTTGAACATGGCATTAATGTTTTGTCTTAAGAGGGTGATGAGTAAAAAACTCATATTTAGATTTTATTTGAGACCTTTCCGCTGTTTACAATGCTAAAAATATACCATCTCCATACGCTCTTTAAAGTAACATCGTGAGAAGAGATAAGGAGAGTTTTCTCTATTGGATTAAATTTACTACTGCCGAGACAACGTTGATAAAAATTATTAATCACAACTTTCTTTTCCAATTTTAATTTATACTTTTATCTAACTTTTCCATGTTTTTTTTTTCTTCATGGATTTTAAAGTCTATTTCACATTTTCGTCTTTCGCAGAATATTTTTGCTTAAAGAATCCATCCTGAGAGTGCCCTGTATTTTTAAAATCCACAAAAATCATCAGGGTTATATTGTTTTTTTAGGCAAAGTGGGGCCACGTGATCTCTTCCCATTGTCAGTCAACGTGGTTGTTCCTTCTTACAGGAGAGAGGAACGGAAAGATGTGTTATAATGAGGAAGTTGTGCACAAGACCAATATCACTTCCCTGGCATCACGCCACAGAAAGTTAACATAAATAATCTTAATAAAAAAGACAAAATAAGATTGCATCACCACGCTTATACTTAAATTAAACAAGACTAGACCATAAATGATAACGTTTACCGGGAGAGAATTTCTTCGCCGGGTCGGGTCCCACACGATATGTGTTATCCAATTTAACAATTTCCGCTTGGCTGTTTTGTTTGAGCTCTGCTTCTTCTGAAAACTCTTCGTCCCGAATTGTACTGCCACTTCTCAGTCTAAGACTGTCATATCCTGACTGCTGATTTAAGGGAGCTTGGGGTGGTTTCTTGACGAAAAAGCTTCGGGTCGAAGTAAGTCCAAGGCTAGCTTTTCTAGATTTTGTTTTGCTCGGTTGACCCTGGAGCGCGTCCGCCATGTTTGAAGCTTCCAGTGCAGTCATGTTAATTCGTTACTAACGTAAGGCAGTCGATGCCAAAATTTCTTTCGCAATCTTTCTTACTCGCCGGACGTAAAAATGATAGAAAAATCAATGATAACAAAAACGAACTGAAAGCTAAGTTTTGCTTGCATAGGCTTTTTCTCGAAGACTAAATGATGCGTAAACTCGCGTACCCTTTGTTTGCATTAAGAAAACATGCCGTCAGAAGTGATGATTAATGTTCCATAATTGTCCCCTGGGAAATTAACTTCCGAAAGTCGGCATCTAGTAAAGACCCGGAAAAATTGCGGTAATTATAACTTCTTAATTTTTTCGCCGCAAGCCATTGGGCTTAGCAATTATTAAACTAGTAAATTCTAAATGGACTGAATAACACCGTGAAAAAATAATTAGATTACCCGTCAAGAAACAAAAGTAGGCAAAATTTTAAGAACAATAGGATGTCTTCTGCCTTGAATAAGTTGCCGGCTCTGAAAAGAATCATTAGATATGAATTAGATATGAGAAAGCCGCGTTCTTCGAGGCTTTCCCCCAGAACTTGTGCCAATAAAGTTTGAGAAGTCACCAAAGCAAATTAAAAGGTAAAATCTTGTTCTGATAATCAAACCTGTGAAGATGCGAATATCGCTAAAACGGTTACCTGCGTTGGGGGTTTGGGTGAGGAGAGGCGGTATGGACATGACAAAGGACAGTAAGAGACAATGATACAACACCTCAGGTCAATAAGCATTGATTTTATCATCGTTACAGTTATCTTTTTATAACAGCTTTCCGATTTATTTCAAACCATATATCAGTATCGTGTGCTCAGTGACAAAATTGACCATCAGATAACAAGTAATCTTGACAACCTTTAGTGACAATCTTGACGTTTTGCTTGAAAAAAAAAAATACTAACCTCAACTCAAAGGAAGAGACCTAAAAAAGCACAAAACAGTTTGATTCACCATCATCTGACAAGATCAAATATGGTAACCGATAAATTCACCCCATTACAGGTTCGCCTCCAATCAACCTTTTAATGTAGGGGGCGAGCTTGTCTTACGTTAGGGGGCGAACTTGCAATGAGGAGAATTAACCATTAACCACAAAATACCCATCTTCATCACAGTTTTGAATATGGAGTTTGAGTCAAGCACTTATGTCAAATTATGTCACTGCGCATAAGAAACTTATTATAGGTATGATTTTCAGATTGACTGTCTGCAGAATAGATCCAGTCTTCCTTTAAATCTATACAGCAGTAATAAAAAAATCTCCTTTCTTTTCTCTCCATTCATTACATTTATTATTATACGGCGAATATTATGATGTGCTGAAAGAAATGCTGCACAAGAATATCCTTGGCGTCTGATTGGATGAGAGGGTGACGCCAGTTCTTTAGACCAATCACAGAGCGAAGTAAAGCAAGGCCAAAGCGACTCAGAATTACTTTCGTTTAAATTCCTCTATGAGTAAACGCATGTCCAAATACCTTTGGCAATTGTAAGCTTTTCCTCCATCTTGATTAGTTTGGTTTGAACAGGAAAACATCAAATTCCGAAATAAATCCATCTGACATCATTTTTAGACTCAAGCTTTCCAGTCCTCCGGGAGTAATGTCACATGTACCTCACATGTAGCTGAAAATGTTTTGGACGAACAATGCGTTCTCTTTGCATTGGTGGATGCGATTCCTCGAGGATTGGTTGTTCTTTCGATCAAATTTGCACTTTCACCGAATTTTTATACAATGGATTACACCAGTAATTTTTTGTGTTTCTCTCAAGGTTTCTAAGGTTTATGAATTGTTAGCAACAACTACTTCTAAATTAGCTTAGCTTCTCCAACTAACCAACAATGGTCTCCCTGAGTTTCAAGCTAAAACAGATATTACAGAAATAATTTTTCTTACGTGTACGATCCTACCGTTAAGAGCCTTTTTTGGTCACAATTTCGTATCATAATTGTTATTATCAAATATGAAAGCTATACAATTATTCTTACGGATTAAATAGTTCAAAACATTTTCCTGTTGCTATAAGTGCCAACGACAGAGAATTTCTTAAATGTATAAACCCGCGTTTTTACAATACAATAATAATGTGAATAAACAGATCAGTTGAGAAATACTTATCGTCATTTTCGTCCACTTCCAAATGCACCCAAATTTAGAGTTGCCGCGAGAACTTTGTTAAAAAGAAAAAAGCTTTACATCAATGGCAATGAGATAGTTACGGAAAAAAAAGTCCAAAGTCTTTTGATTTTTTTTATCAAATTTTGATTAGTTTTCCAATTGCAAAGATGGCTTTCATGAAGATGATGCTATAATATATTCGGTCGTACAAGTTTCACCGGCATCGTGGAACCAGATAATGCTGTTAAATATCCTGCATTGCCACCCTTAACGAGGCAGCACGGCAATGTAACTGTCTTGATTTTACAAGAATTTCAAAAGTTGTCCACGTTCATCTTTAGAATTGCCAGAATGTGAATTCAGCTTCTCACATTTTTTTAGGGGAAGATTTCAAATACCAAACCAAAACATCACATTTTTTGTCTGGGTTCGTAGTTGAAATCTCTTCTAAAAAATATCATTTATCATTATCAGTTTCTTTTTTAATACAATACTATCATCGATTATATGATGAGACATGAATAGTTATATCAATTTCCCATAAATTGAATCATACTGAATATTATGTCAGTCGTTAATTTTTCCAAAACTAACAAAGTCCCTGTATATGTGCTTGTCACTTATTGTGGTACTTGTATTTGGTAAATAGCACCATTGCCAGAAGATCCAAATATTCGACCAATGTCAGGAGACTGGCGCCGAGAAAGAGACCAATTTGACCTCCCACGTCACCTGAAAAATGATGTTAACTCGTATGTTAAGATTGAGGACGACTTCTGGCCTTAGTATTCTCAGTGACCGAGGAAACACTGTGAGTTGACCCTGTTGTAAAGTACTGGACTCTGGGTCGAGAGGTCTGGGTTAGAACCATGACCAGGTAATTTGTTTTCGGGCAACACTTACAAGGCCCTTCCCCAGTCAGGAGTATACCTGGGTTCAAGTAGCCAGTCAGAGATACAAGCATCTCATTGTAAGGATTATATCGTAAGTGGTGCATTGTAAGTAATGTGTCGTAAGAGAGTTTGTGTATTTTAAGTAATGTATGGTGCCGTAAGTAATGATAAAAAAAAGCGAAAAATGATAGTAATCAAAAAAATGATACCCACCTAACAAATTGTACAGATCGTAACTGGGAACCTGTTTCACATCAGAGTAAGTTAGAGATTCGAAATAAATCCTCAACTCCAGAAGGTTATCTCTGAAATGTAAGTAAAAAAATTCAAAACATAAGAAGTAACTTATACGCGAACCAGAGATAGAAACTTTTATTCTTCAATCGACGACTTAATTATTGAAATATTGACCTTTTAAACCCACTTGTTACTTTCATTTTATCCCTTTGCCCTTGTTAAGTTAACCTACTCGCTCCCTCCCCCCCCAGGAAAATGCTGTTTCGTGATTCCATTGATTGATTCATTGATTCCAACATTGAATGGGGGAGGGGGGAGACGGGGGTCTTCTCAATAATTTAGAGTGTGGTAGACACAGGAGTGTTCTAGTATACATATAAAGGACTCTTCAAGTATGATGTGTCCACTAATTTTGACGCTGATTGTAGTTTCATAGGTTCAAACACAAATACTTCAGAAAAATAGCTCTCAGTGGTACATAGGTTATCAAGAATGATTCAAACATCTAAAATGTAGACGTTTTTATTCAAAAACGTATATAGTATGAAGACTCAATAAAGTGACGCCTTTCGATGTCACACTACCTGAGGAATCGTCTGTTTTCTTCGGGTGTTCCCGTCAAATTTTTCCGCTTGGACAGAAGCAAATCAGCATAAGCATTGGCTGGATAGCGAGAGTACGACAACTGAGCTGAAAACTCCACGCTCTCACATGCCACAGGACACCTATCCAACTTCTTGTCTTCGAAATGCACTGAAAGTTTTCATACAGAAAGAAATTGCACAAAGGAACCTATTTCTTAAGAATCTGAAAAGGTAAGATTTCCATTTAGATCATGTTTCATGATAAATTGCAACGGCTATGAAGCCTGACTGATTCCTTTGTTTTGATGTTTGTTTAGGCTTTGGAATTGGCATGAACAATTTTTTGATAATCCGCGGAACAGGCCTTTATAATTAACGCTGCAGGGAGCACGTTTTTCCTTCCGCAGAGATAGCTGGGACTAGTCGAGAAGAGGCCGAGCTCTGACACTCATTATCATCACCAGACCCCTTACAGACCTCACCTCAGCTCACTTAGTCACAACGCGTTCAAGAACACATGCGAAAAACCAAACCGCCAGAAACAAAAGGTTCTGCACTGTCGGTTTGCTTAACAACAAACTTTCACCAATGATTTTAACATCTATGACAATAATTCGTCTCTACTAACTATGATTTAAGCCTTTGTTACATGAAAACCTGGTGCAGTCTAAAGTTTGAAGCATAATCTTTTCTTACAGACAACATTTCGAACTAAAATCTAACGTCCTTGTCTAAATCATAAATTTTTTTCCTACTCCCAGAGTCAAGAATCATCTTTGACTTGACAGCAATGGCTCTATTACACAAACGTATCTTACCCCAAGCCGGCCACATGCACTTTTCGCTCGTAACGAGATCGCAGACAGGAATTCCTTCATCAGCTCCTGTAGAAACATTATTGGTGAGGTCATCAGCGGAACACTCACTCACTCACTCGCAGGGAAATTGATAATAATAATAATAATAATAATAATAATAATAATAGGATGGTGGAAAACATAAAGAAAGTATTAGAAGCAGCTACTGTGACAGAGATTCAAAAGATCTGCGTGCTGGGATCTGCGCAAATCCTCAGAAAGGTGCTCAGTGTATGAACAGAATGATTGACTCGAGTGGCTGATGCCCTAGGTGCATGGTTTGCACCTGACTGATACACAAAGAGAACACCAGCAAAGACTACGATAATTATAATAATAACAATAATAATGATAATAGTGGCAATAAAAAATAATTGTAATAGGACTGAGAGGAGTTCAACCTATGGGAAGCGTATTTTTTATCACAATTGGCATTAATACCGCTATCTGATTGGCCAGTTTGCCGTTGTCGATAAGAGGACAGACAACGCTGCATGCGTCAACGTGTAACGGAAGAGTCAAGCAATGATCCCGCAATGGTCACGCACTGAAAGGATCGATTTACTTGTTTCATTTGTTGCAGACTCACTTAGCCTCGCCTCGTGAGTCCACAACATTTTGACCACTGAAAAAAGACGAATATCGTTGTTGGTAAGAGTACAGACAACGCTAAACCACACTCGATTTGTTGAACCGAAAGAGGGAATAGGAGCTTAATGTGAGAACAAGCTCAGTGAGAAGCGGGAGAATAGAAAGTTTATTTTTCGCACCTGATCGGTTGAGACGATGTTCAAGTTTTTCAGACTAATTATCATTGAATGGAGAGCAGCAAAATCAATGCAATTTCTTACTTTTTCGAAACTCAATCGAAAATAGCCCTAATGGGGAAAACAGCTGTTATTAGTATGATTGCTCCGGTGTCAAGAGAGATGCGCGCGCTCTGATTGGTCGAAGATTGCGTCATATCCAGCACTAAATTTCAAAATGGCTGCCTTACGCTTTGTCAGTTTTACCGAGGAAGTGATGAAAGCGGTTAAGAAAATGAAATTCGGAAGAGCATTAGAGATGCTGTTTTGTCTGGAGGAACACTTCTTAAGAGAAAGATATGAAGTCTATACTAATTGAATTGAATTTACCTATCAAATTCTAGTGGAAACTGGCTATTTATCACGATACTAGTGATGAAAACAATTGAAACAGAATGGTTTCAACATCAAAACGAATATTTACAACCGAATTCGAAAACACCTGAGGAATTATACTAAAACAATTATTCGTGTCGAGGATTATTCGACAATATTCACATCGCTAAAAGATAGTTAAATATCTGAAATGATATCCATGTACAATTCGTCAATGAAAGCAGACTTACCAGGCATGAACCAATCACGGCACTTGCAAATTTCGACAACATAACGGGTAAGTTTGTCCAAGAAACATTTGGATTTGCTGTATTTGTCAAAGAATCGTAGCTTTGGCATCCCGCACTTGGTTCGGTAAGGAGAAGGCAAGTTCGTGATCTGTAAAACATTTCCAATACACCAATAGAGAGCAAAATTGCCTGTAACAGTCTAACTCAAATCTTTTGATTGTATTCTGACCCCCTTCACCACCAATAAGCGACATTTTTCAAACAATAATCGAATGGAAAAACAATGGATAAATAAATAAAAAAAGGGATGGGTAGATAAATGAATAAATATTTAAATGAATGTATCAGATTAAACTTTTGAGAATGGTTGAAGTTTGTCATTTCGACTTGAATTCCCTCTTTTATTCGGCAAAAAGCATTATAACATAGCTAGTAAATTTGTGTAATCAAATTCAATTGCGCGAGCGTGCTTCATATTCCTATTGTGCACGCTCATGACGTCAGCAAACAAATCCCTCGAGAAAAAAATTTCCATCGGGTTGAAAATGTTATAAAACAATTGTTTCATACGTCAGCTGTGCGTTCATCGAGATATGACGCACGCGGGAAGTTTGGAGAACACTCAAGAAGCTAGAGTTGCCCTCGGCTACGCCTCGAGCAACTCTTACACATCTTTCGTGCTCTCCAAACTTCCCGCGTGCTTCATTTCTCAATGAACGCACGCTGACGTATGAACCAACTGTTAAATGTCAATGTCAGCAACATTAGATTTATTAAATCAAGAATACTCCGGTTCACTCTAAAGCTACGTTACCGATCAGCCATCTTCCAATTACTCCACCAATTGATTGATTTAGTTTGCGGCTAGCCGCTTCAACAGGATTACATTTTACATTTTAATTAAGAATCGAAATACGAGATCAGGGCGTAATTTCTACAAAAATCTCAAGCACGCAATACATTTCTCCCCCAAAAAAAGGCTTTTTGGATGAAAATTTTTTACTAAATATGGACACCTTGCTATTAATGTGCTAATTCAATTTACTTTCCATTGTTGAAAGGGCAAACCGAAGACAAAATATTAGTATTTCAAATTAAGGCTTTCTTGCTTACGATGAAAAAAATGAGGAAATCTTATCAATAAATCTTTGACTCAATTTTAGAATTAAAAGTAACGATAACGGTGTTGATTAAATAACTTTTACATTTCTTGCTCAATTAAATACTAAGCAATATTTAATCGTGTTGTTCTCAGTAGAGATTTCATCTTTTCAACTTCCCATATTTAAATTTCCTCAGCCAACTTTAACTAGTTGAAAGAAGTATTTCTAAAGGGGGAGAAAGAGTTTCAAACGGCATCGAGATACCGCATTTTTGTTAACGAAAACTTCAAAACATGAATTAGATATAGCCGACGCCATGAAATTAGAAATAGATTTTAAGTTGTTACTTAACTGCAAAAACTATAAGTAAATGAAATCTGAGCGCACCTTTTTCTTCTTTAGTTCCATGTATGTCGTAAACCCAGGAGATACGGCTAAGCCCTGCATTTTAACTGGAGTTTCATCCTGGTCGTGCAAAATTACCTTGAAGCCTGCGCTTTCAACAGCAAAATAATAATCATAATGCTGCACATCGATGAGAAGACGTAAGCCTTTGTCTTCACCCGTTCTGCTCGTCAAAAGGGCCGAGCTATTTTTACCGGAGTTAAACGTAAAACAAACATCTCCATCAGCGTTCTTAAACTCGGTAAAGTTTTTATGGTCACATTTTGAATCTTTTTGCCATTCACATTCCTGAATCATTTCGTCAAGTCGATGGGCGGCATTTGACAGTGTGTTTGTCATTTCTTCTCCTGAGATTTCCTCCATGAGGTGACTGACGTTTTCTCTCTTAATCTCTTTCCTGAAATACAACTCGTGAAAACGAGTTCCATTCATTTTGGAGAAGCGAACATCATTGTAATTGCAAAGAGTTACCGCAGGGAACACCAAACTGTTCTCGTAGACAATAAGCGTGGTGGTGGTAAAAGGGAACTGAAAGTAATTTTTAATACTCACTGTACACTTCTCGAAGAATAACGCGAATGCCCCGAGTAGTAATAAAGTCCATATTACACGGCGCACAGGTGGGTTGCCTGAGAAGCAAAAGTGAAACCCATGCAACGTGCACGAGTCCAGAAAGGAAACCCACAATTCGTGAATCTTATCAGACTTCTTCTTTTCATCCAACAGCTTCTTGCAGCTTTCATAATCGTTGTTCTTCTTGCATTTCTCGTAGTCGTTCTCAGGAAATCCCCCTTCAAACACAGCTGGCCAGTTTGTCTTCAACGTTTCCGTCACGGCTAATTCTTTACCGTTTGTCTCCGACTTGATGTACACGACAGAAATGTCCTTCTTGCAGTGATTGCAAAACGCATACACATTGTTAGTTCCCGGGCTGAGCTTGTCACCACCTTTGATGAGAATCTTAACATCCCCCGTCTCCTCCGCAGAGGAGTCGTTCTCGTTGTATAAGTTCGACATTTTTCTTTTTGCGTCTGCCCCAGCAAACAACGAACCTTAACCAAAACACCACACGGAGATTGCCAAGCCAAACAGCGTCACCTCAAAAGTTACGGAACTTTGCTAGAACGTTGTCATAAATAAAGGCCAGAGAGATCATTTGAACCAAAACCTCGAAACTTTTTCTTATATATATATATTTATTTCTCCATGTCGGCCTCTAATTAAATCTATCTCAGATCTGCTTGGATGAAGTAGAAAAAACCAATCAGATATGGTATTCAGTGCACCATACCTGTTATTCTGCCCATTAAACCTGAATTTGCATGTCAAAGGAAGTCATAAATTTAAATTAGTGGCGTTGTTATATTTCAGAGGATAATTTAGACAGACAGGTGGTAGAATAGCCGAGAATAACCGCACATATCATCCTGTGTCTTATTTCTCCCAGTCTAACGCAATTTAACGATACCCCACTTCTTCTCTCACCACAAAGCACTGACAGGAGTTTCTAAGAAAGTTTTCCCGTGTCTAGTCCATTAAGCAAAATAACCTACTTGCATTTATCATTATTGACACTGCTCTACGTATTTTGGAAAATACGTGATTTATTCGTCTTAACGTATTTAAATTGTCGTCAAGTAATAAATTATATGTCATCCAAATATGATGGCGAGTTAATAATATAAGACCGTTTTTTATACGACGAGATAATTTCAAGCAAAAATCTTCTCTCTAACGGTGCGCTGTCGTCCCCACTGAGTTAGTCCGTAGGACGCTTATTGAGAGGCCTTTAAATTGTCGCTTTTTTATGAGGTAGACGCCCACAAATGTTATTTATTATTAATATGCTTTGTCCAATTTTCACGTAAAATCACCAAGAACGAAGAAAAACACTAAAATAACACGAACACGATAAAAATACAGCGACAGGTTGAGAAAAAGGATGAAATATCTATTGTAAAATTTAATTGACAAGTAGTTTGTTTGGCTTCGCGGCTGAGGACACTTCATGAACTTAGAAAGAAAGGAAAACAGTGAAGAGAAGCGAAAACAATAATGGGACGCTACAATCAATAGATGGTTGGGTGAGATTCCTTTTATCCAATTTTGATCAGAAGTTTCAGAAAAACATCTAAATCACGAGCCAAATTCAAGGATATAGAGGGGAATGTTTTCCTATTTTCAATTCCTATACAAATCCATCAAAACAGGAAGAGGCGGGATTTAAGTAAAACCTCCATAGTTGCTGAGACATGAAAAAAAAACCTCTGAGTTAATTAAACATATTCCACGATAGCATTTATAAAAACATGCCACAATTTCAAGTTGGGAAAGACTGAGGTCATGTTTTACTCAGACCTTTGCAAAATCACCCGCTTCTCTTGTCGATTTTTAAAATGGAAACGGAATGCAAATTGTAAACCACAAACGGTAAAATTAAATTTTTCGGTCATTTTTTCGCAGTTTATATCATTCATCTCCAAATAAGCAATAAACGTCCCACTAAGCTCAAGCTGAAATAGAGATTTCAGAACGACTTTTTTTTTCTAACGCAATCTCTCCCGTCGGGAGCTTTCCTTGTCAAAATTTGGTTTACTAATTGTTTTGTTTTCAAATATGATAGCTAAATTATTCTTCTTGTGGATTAAATGGTTCAAAACATTCTTTTACTGTTGTTAGTATCAACAAGGTCGACAAATAATTTTTTGAATACGTTATTCAGTGTTTTTGGCCATCAGACCTTTTGGGACTTAAAATACAATAATCTGCGAGTTCTTAGATCAGTTACGATTACCAAATTTTCATTTTTTATCTCCCACTCGGATTTAAGACTGTCACAAGAATTTTCCTGAAAGCATGGAAAAAGCTTGGCATCAACATTTAGGTAGCTGGGAACCTTTCCTTTCGTTAGATCACGTTTTTGTCAGCTTTCCAATTTTAGTGATGGCTTTCACAAACATAATGCTACAACATCTTTGGTCCTCAAAGTTTCAAAAGTATCCTAAACCTGATAATGCTGTTAAATTACCAGCATTGTTTCACTTAGCGGAAAAGCACTGCAATGTAACAGTCTTAAGTTTACAGGAACTTGATTTCATAAATTATCCAGGTTTGCGTAGAAGATATCATGAAATTATCCAGCTTTAGCATTTTTTGCCCAAGAAATATTTTGAATATCAGAAGTTGATATTACAATGTTTTTTGCGTTGTAATATAACCGAGAGCTTTTTCGGTGAAATCTCTACAGAATAAATATAATTTATCATAAACAATTTCTTTTCTAAGAAATACTTTTATGTACAATCATAATAGTAATTTCACATAAATTAAATTATACTGAATATTATGTTAGTTATTATTTACTCCAAACTAACTAAGTCCGTCAATGTTTTCTAATCACTTATTGTGATACTTGTATTTGGTGAATAGCACCATTGCCAGAAGATCCAAATATTCGACAAACGTCAAGAGACTGGCGCCGAGAAAGAGACCAATTTGACCTCCCACGTCACCTGAAAAATGACGTAAACTCATAGGTTAAGACTGGGTACAACTTCAGGCGTTAGTAATCTCTGGTGTTTTAAAATCTGGTGGGTCGAGAGGTCTGGGTTCGAACAATGGCCGGTTCTTTCGCTTAGTCCTTTTCACTCACAGGGCCTCTCTCCCCTCAGGAGTATAAATTGATAACCCTAAATTATCAGAGCAACCTGAAGAAATACTGAGGAAGGGCTAACTGCAACGGAATATCATCCCACCTAAGCAAAGTGACAGGCGCCTGGCTGCTTCATGATATTAAAACCGTACAGAATCATGTATGTTGCCCACTCCCCCCCCCTTTTTTTCACCCGAAACCTTTCCTTGATATCAATAAATGGTTTGCCTGGTTGAAATGAGGAGGAGGTTTTTCTTATGCAAAAATAATTGTCTCGGAATTAAGCTTTATGATGCGATGAGTGCAGGATTACGTCCATACATGCAAAGCTTGTATTCAAACTACAAGTTGGTCACAAGCTGAAAGGGAGCAGGGGTGGGGGAAGGGGGCTGGGAGGTTTAAGAAAATTAAATGTTTCAGCATCGTAGTGTTACAGGAGTGGGAAATTCATCGTAGCATCTCGTTGTAAGTATTATATTGTAAGTGATGTACTGTAAGCAATGTAATGTAAGAGAGTTTATGAAATGTGAGAAATGTTGCCGCCGTGAATAATGCAAATATATATATATATATATATATATATATAGTAATAAAAAGGAAATAAAAATTTCCTACCTAACAAACTGTACAGATCATAACTGGGAACCTGTCTCACATCAGAGTAAGTTAAAGATTCGAAATAAATCCTTAACTCCAGAAGGTTATCTCTGAAATTCAAGTAAAAAAAGTCCAACAGTAAGAAATAATTTCATGAATACCGGTGATTGTAATTCATAGAAGAAAACACAAATACACAAGAAAAATAGGTACCAATGTTGAACACGCGATCGTTTGTTTGTTTGTTTTTTTGTAAGCACCAGGCGCTACCCCCGTGTGGAGACTGGAACGAATGATAAAGTTTTGTTGTGAGCACATGGAAAATGTCAGAAGTGTGCTTCAAGCCGGGACCCTGATAGAATTTCCTACGCCTAGGAATCTCCAAATGTTGCATTAAGGTTTAGAAATCTGACGTCACACTACCTCAGGTACTGTCTGTTTTCTTCGGGTGAACCTGTCAAATTTCTCTCTTTGGAAAGAAGCAAATCAGCATAGGCATTGGCCGGATAGCGGGCATATGACATCTGAGCAGAAAATTCCACGCTTTCACAAGCCACGGGACACTCGTCCAATTTCTTGTCCTCGAAATGCACTGAAATTTAAACACAGTGTTTCTGAAAAATATGCTAAAATACAATTTTCGTTTTCTGCCATAGCTAAAGATTAACTGCAAAGGTCATGAAGCCTAACATATGTCTAGAACTGACCATGCACAATGTCCAAGAGCCCACCTGGTATTCTGATCCACCTGATCAATAAAAGCATGCAATTATTTCATCTGGGCTCGCTGTGTTAACGCACACGAACATAAGGCAAAACAAAAGCAAAAGGTTTCGCATTGTCAGGGAGCTTACAAAACTTTTTCATTTTGCTTGTGCTGCTTACATAATAACGTTCCCTTACCAAGTATGATTTTGAGCCTCGCTACTTAAGTAACTGCAATAAGATTGAATCCTTTTCTTTTCTCGTATATTACATTTAAACTTAAAACAAACGCTCTTGTTTGTCTAAATCAACATGTGTGTGTGTGTTTTTTTTTCACTCTCCCCTAAGTCAAGAGACATCTTTGACTTGACATCACTGGGTCTATTCATGAACACTTCTTACCCCAGGCCGGCCACATGCACGTATGACTCGTTTCCAGATCGCAAACAGGAATTCCGACATCAGCTCCTACAGACAAATCAATAGAGATGTCAAGCCCAGAAAACTCACAACGGGAAAACGTCGCCCATATATGGAACGACAGTGAGATTTTTGTTAAAAATTTACAGATCCATAAGGATACACCCTTCGCCAACCAACATCAAGTGTCAAAAGACAGGCCCTCTATCGGAATCCCCAGGGTAAGAGAAAGAGAGGGCGACCAGTGAACACCTGAGGTTATGACCTCGAGGTTGACATCAGAAAGACCGGCCATTCGTGGAGGTAACTAGAAAGGATAGCTAAGAACAGAGGTCTCTGGCGGACTGTTGTTGACGGCCGATGTCGTAGGAGGAGCAATAGGCTTAGATAGATAGATAGATAGATAGATAGATAGATAGATAGATAGATAGATAGATAGATAGATAAATAAGCATCATCTGTCCAAAGAAAAACGGGCACAAAGGATCCTTAATAGGCCAAGTTCCATATTATGCATCAAGCTAGCTCTTTATATTGCAAATTCCCTAAGGTAGCGATAGACTAAATGATCTTTCGCTTTTCCGTTTGAGCTGAAATGGCGTCAAGTTTGCTTGTGATTTCTGTTGTTAGGTTAATTAGGTAGGAAGTGGGTAAACTTGAGTGATGGTGATGTCATTAAGAGGGTCTGAGTGGAAGTGGACGGTGGGGGGGAGGTCATTACGTCAGTTGTCGGATAGAATTTCATTAATTTGTCGGTAGTCAGTTAATCTCAGTTAATGATTAAAAAAATGCAAGTTAATTATTCATATTCGAGTACCAGACGCTGTTGTGGAAATGAGGCCGCGCTCCGATCCGGTCATAAAATAAGTTTGATGAGAGGAAATTCTTTAACTGAAACTTAAACTGTAAGAGGTTACCTCTAAGGCTAAAATTCTCTTTTTAGAATGCAAGTATCGAAAATGTCAGAGCATGTTGGTTAGTACTTACTTGCCGCTTATAAGTAATCTTTTTTTGCGTTTTGGTTCCCATTTACATTTTCGCCCATTTTTGTTGGTCTGTTAACCCCATTCAGACTCTTCGTAAAGGCAAGATTAAGCTCATTAAGTATCATAGAACCAAAACTGCAGAAACCAAAACGGCCAATTGGAGCAAAGGAAAATGTGATAAACTTTGCATCTGATTGGTTGAGAGGATGGCGCGAGTCTTTTTGGACGAATATCACTGAGCAACAGACAGGTCAAAAATCAGTTGATGATTACTATAGTATGGTAACTCGCTCAGTGGAGAGAGAAGCTAATTGCCAATATTTGAAATTACTTTAATGTTGAATTCGTCAACTGAAAGCGAACTTACCTGGCATGAACCAGGCACGGCAATTGCAGTTTCTGACAACATAACGAGTCAGTTTGTCCAAGAAACATTTGGATTTGCTGTATTTGTCAAAGAAGCGTAGCTTTGGCATCCCGCACTTGGTTCGATAAGGAGAAGGCAAGTTCGTGATCTGGAAAACATTTCGAACACACCAACAATGAGCAAAATGGCCGAAGACACTACAGAATAACCATTTTTTGAAACAATAATGTCATTTAATATAGGTTTTGCTGTTTTGCACCTGGAAGTAATAGACTTCCGGTAACTCAAATTTGGAAAAAATTGACAATTGAAACATTTAAGTAAGCCTATTAACGAAAAGTGGAAAATTTAAATAAACAATTATTGCATTTGTACTTGCTGGAACAAGATTAGTTATAGCTAACTCATATCCAATGTACACTCATGGAATAGTTATTAAATGAGAATGCTCGCGATTGTATTTTTGAGAATAGTTGAAATTTATCTTTTCCACAGAGACTTTTCCTGTTGATGCTAACAGCATCAGATTCATTAGAATACGACCAGTCTCACCTTTTTGGCGAAGAGAATATCAGTGGGGAAAAAAAGAAAAAAGAAAAAAAAAAAAAGGATTTGATGCTAGCGCGCCGCATAGAACTTTGGGATTGAGCTCCGCGAAAAGCACTACTTTTCGTGCGCCTTATACCATTAAGCGCTGAAATCAATTCTTTTTACACTGACTTTATTTTACTCGAGCGTCGCACATCGTTGAAAGGCAAAGACTGTTCTACATAATTATTGATTGAAGTATATTCTGGACCCTCTGTGACACCGGTCAAAGCTATCGATTGCCTCAACAGAAATTTTTTTTAGTTTTTAATAAAGAATCAAAACAGATATCCGGACGATCGTTTAAACAAAAAAAAAACACCAGTAAGCAACTCATCCTCTAAAAATAAAAATAAAAACGCTTTTTGAATGAATATTTCAGTAACTATGAACACCTTGCTATAAATGTGCTAATTCGATTCATTTTCTATTGTTGAAAGTGCAAAGCGAAGACAAAACAGTATTATTTCAAATCAAAGTCTGTTCTCGCTTACGATCCGGAAAGTAAGCAATCTTACCATTTAAAGCTTTGAGAAACAATTTTAGAATTAAAAGTAAGGTTATTTTAATCTCTTCTTAACAAAAATTGAACGATAAAAGTGTTTGTTAGATAGCATTTGCATTTCTCCTTTGGTATCACGAGTAAGTAATATTTAATTATGTTGTTCAAGCTAAAGGTTTCATCTTTTCATCATCATTATTTTTTTGTAATATTTTATCAGCTAACTTCAACTTTTGTTGATAAAAACCTTCCTTGAGATAAAAGAAAACTTGAAACAACAACTTCTAAACGGTGTTCCAATACGGCATTTTTTTCGTCAACGAATAACATGAAAATAGAAATTAAATATAGCCGACGTAATGAAATTAGAAATAGCATTTGTGTTGTTACTTAACTACACAAACTACAAGTAAATGAAATCTGAGCGCACCTTTTTCTTCTTTAGTTCCATGTATGTCGTAAACCCAGGAGATACGGCTAAGCCCTGCATTTTAACTGGAGTTTCATCCTGGTCGTGCAAAATTACCTTGAAGCCTGCGCTTTCAACAGCAAAATAATAATCATAATGCTGCACATCGATGAGAAGACGTAAGCCTTTGTCTTCACCCGTGCTGCTTGTCAAAAGGGCCGAGCTATTTTTACCGGAGTTAAACGTAAAACAAACATCTCCATCAGCGTTCTTAAACTCGGTAAAGTTTCTATGGTCACATTTTGAATCTTTTTGCCAATTACATTCCAGAATCATTTCGTCGAGTCGATGGGCAGCCTCTGTAAGCGTTTTTGTCATTTCTTCTCCTGAGATTTTCTCCATGAGGTGACTGACATTTTCTCCTTTAATCTTGGTTCTGAAGTAGAGCTCATGCACAGTGGTTCCATTCATTTTGGAGAAGCGGGCATCGTTGTAATTGCAAATACTGACTGCGGGAAACACCAAGCTGTTCTCGTAAACGATAAGCGTGGTGGTGGTAAATGGGAATTGAAAATAATTGATAATACTATCGGTACACTTCTCGAAGAATAACGCGAATGCCCCGAGTAGTAATAAAGTCCATATTACACGGCGCACAGGTGGGTTGCCTGAGAAGCAAAAGTGAAACCCATGCAACGTGCACGAGTCCAGAAAGGAAACCCACAATTTGTGAATCTTATCAGACTTCTTCTTTTCATCCAACAGCTTCTTGCAGCTTTCATAATCGTTGTTCTTCTTGCATTTCTCGTAGTCGTTCTCAGGAAATCCCCCTTCAAACACAGCAGGCCAATTGGTCTTCAACGTCTCCGTCACGGCTAATTCTTTACCGTTCGTCTCCGACTTGATGTACACGACAGAAATGTCCTTCTTGCAGTGATTGCAAAACGCATACACATTTTTAGTTCTTGGGCTGAGCTTGTCACCACCTTTGATGAGAATCTTAACATCCCCCGTCTCCTCCGCAGATGAGTCGTTCTCGTTGAACAAATTTGACATTTTCGTTTTCGTCTGCCACAGCAATCAACTGTCCCCCACCAAAACACTAACTTATGGAAATTTCTCAGCCAAGCACAGATACCTCAAAAGTTACGGAACTTCGCTAGAATGTTGTCGTAAACTTAGGGCAGAAAAGATCTTTTGAATCAAAACCTCAACTTTTCTTATATATATCCATGTCGGCCTTTAATTTAATCTATCTTGGGTCCGCTCGGATGAAGTAGGCAAAACCAATCAGATATTGTGTTCAGTGTACCATACCTGTTATTCTACCCATTAAACCTGAATTTGCATGTCAAAGAAGTCATAAATTTAGACGAGTATTGTTTTATTTTAGGGAATAATTTAGACTGACAGGTGGTAGAAGAGCCGGGAATTACCACACATATCACCCTGTGACTTATTTCCTTCTAGTTTAACGCAATTTACCAGCAAAGTTTCATTTCTTCTCTCACCACAAAACCATTGTCAAGAATTTCAAGAGAAACATGCCCATGCCTTGTCTATTAAGCAAAATAACCCACATGCCTTTATCATTATTGACACTGCTCTCTGTATTTTGGAAAATACGTGATTTATTCCTCTTGACGTATTTAAATTGTCGTCAAATAATAAATTATGGTCGTCCACCTAAGGAGGTGAATTGACAACATAAAACCGTTATTATACTTCGAGAAAAATTCGAGCCAAAAATTATCGCCCATCGATGCGTTGTCATTCCCACTGAGTTGGTCCAGAGGAAGCTTCTCGAGAGGCATTTAAATTATCGCTTTTCGATGATTTAGACGCACACGAATGTAATTTATTATTAATATGTTTTGTCCAATATCCACGTAAAATCGCCACGAAAGAAGAAAATAGTAAAATAACATGAACATGATTAAACTGCGGCACCAGGTAAAGAAAAAGGCTGAAAGAACGACGGTAGAATTTAATTAACAAGTAGTTTGTTTGGCTGCGTGGCGGAGGGCACTTGTGTGAAATTAGAATGAAAGGAAACAATGAAGATACGCGAAAACAATAAATGAGACGCTAAAATCAAAAGATGGTTGTGTGTGATTCTTTTTTTCTAATTTTCAACAAAAGTCATTGAGAAAATTCTTAACTCCATACCCAAATTTACTAGTATGTCCGGAAATATTTCCACATTTTCAATTTTATGCAAATTTGCCACAACAGGAAAGAGGAAGATTTTAGAAAGACCACCATAGTTGCTACGAGATAAAGAACCTCCGGGCTAATTGAACATATTCCACGAAAACATGTATAAAGCTATTCAAAATTTTGCAAAATCATCCACGTCTCTTGCTGTTTTTAAAGTGGAAACGGAATGTAAACTGTAACCATTACACTAAGTTATCAAGTCTAAAATAATGTTTCTCCCCCAGGAAAAAAGAAAAAAATAATTCTTTTAATTCATATTATTAGGAAATAACCGATTTTAAATTATTCATTCACCAGTGTGTATGCCGCGATTTGGCGCAAGAACCGCAAGTGATTAACCAAGAATTTTACATGGAAAGTTACAACCATAAAAATTAGGACTCCAGTGAGAAAAGTGCTAGAGCAATTTCTTTTTTTTCAAAACAAGAGAAAACAAAGGTCATGCCAAATTCCTGGCACCGGGACACAAAACGTCTATCGCGGAATCTAGTCATTAAGGGCAAATTTATCAAACGAACGATTTGCACCTCAACTTAATGACATTCGGCCCCGATAACTAGTGATTTCCACTTGAAATAACTTCAGCAAATGGGATTAAATTTAAAAACTCTAAGAGACTTATCAAGCACTGTCTTAAATCGCCGACGTTTGACGTTAATAAGTTGTATCTCTTGTGGAAAATAACAAAACAAAAATGTTTTCATGCTGCGAAACATCAAAATTAGAAGTTCCATCTCATTATACAATAAAATGACAGAAGCAGCGGTTCAAAACTTAGCCTTGTGTAAAAAGGGTTACTATGCTCACCAGTATAGTCACCAAAAACTGTGTATGTTTATTCCACTGATGCTGCCTACATTTATCTCGGGAAAAAATAACATAGAAATGAAAAAAATAATAATAAATAAGAAAGCGGCAGTTTAAACTATCCTTGCCACAGAGATAATTAGCGAGTTTTGCACTGGGATGACAGACAAGGGAGATAGGAGTGAGTCTCGATTAGATGCTTAAACCAGAGAAATCTTTACAGAAAAAAAAGTATTTTATTCAATTTTTTCAGTCAATCACATACTTGTCTGTTGCACGTATTTCTTTTGGACAGTCTACTTTACAATAACATTTAAAAAATCACCACAACAGTGGGTTCTCCTTCACATCGTTGGGCTCTCAAATACTACGGCGCTACAATAACAGCATATTTGTGAACAACATTCCTATAACTCATGGAATTTTTGAAGGATGTTTAGGAACTTAATTTATCCCTGATTTACAGTCGGTATATTGCATTTCACTTTTAAAATGTAAGTGTTCAACTTTTTCTTCTAGCATGTTACTTTTCGCGGTGGACTCAACAAGCTTGTTTATAAATAATAATTGATGCAAACCTACATATTTTGACTGTATTCTCGAGCGGTATTTAGAATGCTGTAGCTTTAGGCTGAACTCTTCAGTTCTTAAGTAAATGTCTTGCAGAAGAGAATCAAAACCTTCCCAAAAATACCCTAATCAAAAACTGAACAGTGAAATAGAGTCTTGTTAGACCAGAACAGCTAAAAACTTGATGTTACCCTGTTCATCATCCAGAATTATCACCATTGTTTAGCAACTACTTTTCTTCGTGTTGTTTAAGCTGAGTTTACTGGTTCGAGCAGTTCTATATTTAAAGACTTGGCACGTCGACATGTGACACCACAAGAAGCCAGTCTTGGTTTCTCACCGAAGTTTTCCGAACAATTTTCAACACGAGGATTGTTACTGGAGGGACACTTGATTTATCTCTTGTGCCAGTTTTTTTTTATTTTTTATCCTATAATTTCTGAATGTTTCACTTCTTCAAGCAACGGCACAGCTTTTGATGCCATTAATGGAATGCACTTGTTATTATACATTTTCCAGACGCAACAATACCTCACTCAAAATAATTATAAAGTCACCTTTACCCCATCCATTTCCAAAAATAAAGTAACCATTAGTTTATTTTCTTCTCTCCCATCCGCCAACTCTTTGCACGTTTCGCGTGCGTTTGTACAGTCCTCAACGGATCTGAACAGGAAATCTCCGGCGCGCCCTTGAGGCACCTTCCCTAGCATGCTGCAATTGCCTCCATCTCTCCCCAGAGATATCTTCACAGAATTCCTTACCACCAGACGATTTGTAGATTGAAACAGAAAATATCAACACAATGGCTGGTAAATAGAAGAAACTCGTCACACATCTGTGCTTTTGCCGCCATACTTTGACTTTAACCAACTGACAACGACCATGACAAACAGATCAATAACCTCCAACAACGTGATGAAACTTGCCCCGAGCACGAGTCCCAGCTGGCCACCAGCGTCACCTGTAGAATACGAAAGTTTACTGTTAGACGACAAAGCGTCGACAAGTTTTGACGTTGGGTGCATCGTTCACAATGGGCGTTAATGACTGTTCTATTAGTAGTTGATGGCGATTTGTGGTTGAGGAATAGTTTGTTTTTCTTATGGGTGGCACGCTATCGAATCAACTAAAACGTATTAAAATTACTTGTTCCAGGTACGGACAACACAACGGACAAGATCGCCGGCCCCAATGAAATAAACATGTCGATGTCATCTGCCTTCCTCTGGTAACACTCGATACTGTTTCGACAAGTGTCACAACAAGTTCTTGAAATCAAGAGCTCCAGATCACTTTAAGACTCTATATCTCATTCTTCAAGGCCTTTAAATAAGTTTGCAAGAGTCCGCAGTTTTTTGGGAATTGATCCTTCTGCAGGGTCCAAAATTATACCTTCGTTGAGAAAATGAACTTAATATAAATTTTCCTCTTTTCCTTTCATAAAAAAAAAAAAAAAAAACACAAACAAACAAACAAAAAGTTGCCTTACCTACTAACTTGAAGAAGCCATAGGAAGGGGTTTGCTCAAAAACATCGATTCTAAGCTCGCTGAAGAAGAACTTTAACACAACGTAGTAGTCTCTGCAAAGACAAAGTTTAACAGCTTAATATGTATCAAAGAATTTTTTAAGATAACTAGAAAACTTCGTATCCAAGACGTCTTCAAAATAAAAACACTTACAACATAAATTTAATAACTTCGTCCGTGTCATTAGGTAAGTTTCTGCCTCGTGTGAGTTTCTCGTATTTTTGCTTTACTGGAACCAGTTTCTGTGGCAAGTAAAGAGTTTGAGACAACTGCGCTTTATATGACACCTTCTCGCAGTCTACTGGACAATCAACTGGGCTATTCATCCTGGATTCAAATTCCTCTGAGAGAAGAAAACAACAAAAAGAAAACTAGTGTGAGAAAAGAACTTTGAGATATTTCGTTACACTTTTCTGCAATTTATCGGCTGTTAAACAAAACAAAGCGATTTGGATAGGAACAAACAAATTTAGTTGTGGTTTGGAGCAATTCTTTTATTTTAGCGTTGCAAATTATCTGGGATAGCTTTGGTTTTTACAGTCTGTGATTGGTCCAAAATATTCTTATAACCTCAACCAATCGCAAATACAACTCATGTCAATCGCAACTTAATTAATGGCGTTTAATAGCGCTTGACAACGTTCGTAAGTCTTCCCTTTAGGTTCCTATTGGTTTGTTTGTGACATTTACCTCTTATTCTGGTTGGTGATTGATTTTTTTAATCTTGTTTTGTCTAGCGACGCTTTGTTTCACGGATTTATCGTGGCGGTATCGTGTTGGGTCTGTCTTAAGATCACGAGAAAATATCTAGTTGGACCTTTCTGGTGATGAGGGACTTAACTTAAAGATCTCTTACTATCTATCTTCAAAGGACAAGATTGCTCACCCCAAGCTGGCCACATACAATTGATGGTCTTGTTCAACGAACACAGTGTAAAATTATCCTTCGTTTCTACAAATAAATAAGAGAAAAAGGTTTGGAATTTCCAAGGAAGAGCTCCAGTCAAGTTACGAATTATTATTCCCACAAAGACATTCAAGCTGTATCATGTTACCGTGCCAGACATTAGGAGAGAGAGAGGGCGATCTCCCACAATTCATCGAAATAATTTACTATATAAAGGCGTTACTAGCCCTTCAAATCTCAATTGTTTACAGGTAATTTTAATTTGCTAAGTTTAGTATTTTTGTTGTGTTCCTTCTGGATGGACCTCTAGACGCATCTTTTCTTTCTGGCCAAGCGGGCTCACTTTTACCCATCATGAAACATGGTGCTAAATACATATGTATTGAGTTGAATAGGTTTTAGGTGGAAAGTAAGAATCATCGTAGCTATGATATAACTTATGCAACCGGTACTTTATTTACTCACTGACCTGGCATAAACCAACCTCTGCAGTCACACTCGTGAGAGACATGTTTAGTTAGTCCTTCTAGAAAACATTTATTTCTGGAATAAGCGGGGAAATAATCCAACGTTTTTCCACCACAATTTGTGCTAAAAGGATTACGAAGATTTGTGAGCTAAAAAGAGACGAAGAAATGGCAATAGATTAAGAAAACAAAGTGCATTTTGTACAGCTTGCCTGATCGTTTGGTTGTGTAGCTAGTCAAATCTTTCTTGAGAATGATTTAGAGCCAAAGGAAGGTCATGGAATGCAGAGGAGTATGCGTAATTGCTAAGGGCGCAACAACTCATCGGGCAACAAAGAGGAATGACACTGAGCTGCATTGTAAAAAAAAACGCATCGCACTAACGTTTGCATGGTACTTGGAAAGTATCTAGCAGAAGACGTATGGATGGCACTTAACTGCAAAAGCGTGATCGATAATCTATTTCGCTCAAAAACGTTCGTAGAGCAGAGACCTTAGTAGCGAATTTCCATTTGAATTATTTCGTCATTAGCTTGTAATCAATAACGCCTTTGAACTGCACGGCGAGTATAGATTTTCTTGGAATGAAAAAAATTGCTTTCTTTCCACTAAACATGCGTCTCTTAAATGTCCGCCACAGCGATGGAGGTGAGAGAAAAAAAAAGAAAAAGAAAAAAAAAAAGGAAGAACAACAGGTATTTCGAAAACACGCCAAGGTGCTACAAAACAATTTGATTACAAGGTTTGGTGGTTTTATCGCTCTTACATCTTACAAAAATAAACATCTTCATTAAGCACCCTGAGAGAAATAGGACTCCATTTACATTCCCTAAGATAAGAGCAAGTTGAACACAGTTTTTTAAAGACCTTTTCCCGTTTTCCGTGTTGAAAAGAATAACTGAAAAGTTTCGTTTCGTTGATGGTTTCACCTGCTAAGCGAAATATTTTGAAATGAGGTAAAAAGCGAACGGTTTTATGCAAATAAAGGTCCCTCATCACTTTTGGAATTTTTATTTCCCGAAAAAAAATTACTCTATGAAGATTGGCTTAAAGGATAAAGCGAAAAGCTAGTATCGCAAATTAAAACGTCGGAGAACATTTCTAATCTCTATCCGCGTAAATGAATCACATCAATAAACAAGTATGAGACAAAATGCATTAAAATAATTCAGTACTCATCAGCAGGGACTTTCCAGATTTCTGCGATACGGAGAAACAATTTAATAGAAGTCATACAGAGAAGCACTTACAGACCAAAATAAAAACAGTTACGATGGAAAAAATTAATCGAAAAGTTAGCACTTTAGAAAAAAGGAAAAACATTGTCAATGTACCTCAACTTGTTCGCAATTGTGGATTAAAATCTCATTCGTTTGGTTATTGCAGTTTGATGTTACTCAGATTGAGAAAAACTATCACAAAGCTGTACTAATTTTAAAATAGAAAAAAGCCTTCATGTTCAAAAATCATCAAAAGACCGCAACCAAACTGCACCATTTCCGGGCAAGTAAATATCATAAAAAAACAATGCGATTATTACCACTTTCGATGATGTACCACGGTGTAAAGAAAGCTTTAGTTGATTTTACGATGAAGAGAAAACGCAGAACATGGAATTTGAAATACTGAATTATAATGGATAAAACAAATTTCGTTTTCGGTCCAATTATGTCTTAATTTGATGGTCTCCAAAAATGGTGCACTTAGTTTAAATTGCTGATAAAGATTTTCACTGAAATTGTAGTAAGTCGGTTATAGGATTTTGCATACGGAAAAATGTCGCCACAGATTTCGACTTACCTCGTAAAATATTAATGTATGCGGTTAAGCAATGTTTGTAAAATGCGTCATTCAAAGCAGATCGTGAAATTGCAAATTGAGGATGCACGTTTGGATATAAATAAAAACTAGCTGCGATAAGGCAAATTGCGACATAGAAACACGAAACGTTTCCTTTTTTTTCCAGAACCAAAAGCAAAACTTTCAGTCCGCCTAGAAATTCAAGTCTGACATCAAATTGCAGTCAATTTTACAATTTGACCAAAAATAAAAACCCAAAAACCCAAACTGGGCCTTTTAACAATACATTTACCATTCATTCGAATTTGATGGTTTAATTTGTTTCGGTGGACCAACCGATGCGCTAAGAAACCCAAATAATTGCCCTTGTTCTCGTCTCCAAAACACTCAGCGTGTTATTTTAAGCTCGTGCTTCTTTAGTTGAGATAAGGACTAAATCCGACAATTTTTCTAACGTGTGCGAGAAGTGGTCACTAACTGAAATAGGAAGTCATTCCATTACGAACCACAACATATCGGAGAAAAGTAATAAAAACCTTAAACAACGTCCCACGCAATACATTAACAAAGAGTGTTGTTGAACAGAGCGAGTTTCAACCGAGGACACGTTTCCCTAGAACTATCAAGCGCGCAAATTCTCGGATTAAGTTCAAAGTTTCGTTTGCTGTGACATGAATAAGTCAGTCAATTGTTTGATAAAGAAACCCGCAAGGAGAAAAAGAGAATTGAAGAAAAAATATATATCTACCATCTTTGAGAGGTAAATAAAAAATAACCGACAACTTTAATGTATTCATCTAAAAAGTAATAACGATGCACAATCACTTCGCTCCATAGGAAAAGAATAACTATAAGCTATAACTCCACTAAGTCTCCACAGCGTACAGCTGAAAACGCCCGGGCGCTCGTTACGAAGGAGCCTCTTACACAATGAACGATAACATGGGAGAAACAATTATATAAATTCCTGCCTCTTGTAGAAACTACAAAATTCGCGACAATTCGAACGCAAGCTGCGGGGGTTTACACAAAGCCCAAAACAAAATAATAGAAATTTAACATGACAGAAGAAGACTAAATAAAAATACCTTTTCTTTTTTCATATCCACAAACGTCACGTAACCAGGAGGAACATGAAATCCTACCCGCTTCAGGGGAAGTTCTCCTTGCTGGTGAAGAATAACTTTGACCCCGCTGCCGCCATAAGTTTTCCCCTCCTCCAGAGGCTTCGTGTTCAACACCAGATGTAAACCGTACTTCAGCCCGACATTATCCGTTTCCAAAAGCGTCCTGTTCTCACCCCCGTAATTTAGCGTGTAACATGTGTGCCCATCCGAAGACAGAAACAAGGTAAAGTCTTCGCGATCACAAGGGACTTCTCTACTCTCGTTCACCCCTCGCTTCAAAACGCAAGAAATTAAAATGTCGTCTAAGATCGAGAAAGCTTCTTCCAGAACATCCCCCAATACACGTTCCGGATTATGCTCGGTTGAATTTCCTTGCGCACTTCTCCCCCTCCGAAACTTTGCACTCGTTAGTATAGTTTTTCTGATGTCTCTCAGATCGCAAATCGAAATTGCTGGAAGTACAATCTTATTAGGGTAGTCAACAGTGGCGAGTGTACTGAACGGATACTCGAAATACTGAGTTATACTAGTTTTGACCTCGTTGATAAATGCTCCACCGGCGCTTAACAGTATCGCAATCCAGATAACTTTGCGCCAAATTGACTTCGTGTCGAAAACGTAGTGCAAGCCATGTAAAGTATTATGCAGCAGATAATAATCCCAAACGTGTTTTATTCTTCGTCGACGGTCACCCTGAGGCGTAGTCTCAGCCTCGTTACTGGATAAACATGGTACACTGTCATTCTCGTTCTCGTTTTCATGTTCGTGAGAGAACCCATTGGGTAATGGTTGAAGTTCTTCGGCATCTTTGTCCTCGTCAAAGGAAAATGTATCGTCAGCAATTTTTCGTCGATGCGATGGTGACTGACACGCACAAAATTTCGTAGTCATTTGCTCGCCGTCGAGTGCATTGCACTTTTAAAACGCATTATTCACTCAGCAAACATTGGAACTGGATTCTTCCCAGCGTGCTCGCCCGCGATTGTTACGACGGCAAACGTAAGAACAGGCAACTTCGGCGACTCAGCACTTACAACAAAACATTGATCCAATGCGAAGAGGGAAAAAAATCACTTCCAACTTACAAAACAACAGATAACATCTCAAAATGTTACAACACGCCAACAATTTTCGATTGAGCCAAAATTGCTTTTTATCTCTTTCGTCACTGTTGACATGTAGTACCAACGTTTCCCATTACAACTCGAACACCTGCCACTTTTCAGGAGAGCTCCGGCTATTTATTATTCAACAACAGAACGCTATCTATTATAATTCCACTATCGGCCACTCACAACCTATCTGCATTGTTCTCGAGCGACTGTTGTTCGAAGTATGTTAATTTTGCTTCACATCAGATGAGACCAGCTCCCTTGAACCATTCGCAAAGGCAGAATCTCGCTAAGTACGAAGTCACTCTTTTAAAACGATAATGACGATTTGAGCTTTAAAACATCCTGTCGAGAATAATGTTTGCGACGAGAATCCTCAACCTTTATGTAAACAAAGCAAGTCTACGAATTCGCTTTTAATTAGGCCAAGTACCGTCTGGATCGCCACTAATATAGAAATCCTCTAACTTCCCTGCTGTTCCAGAAAAATTTTACTTCGTGTTTCATTTTTCTCCCTTGGATAAAATCAGCATCGAGTCCTACCTAAAAAGTAATTTGTCTGTCTTTATTTATTTAAGCCTTTCCGCCGAAAACAGATACATCGTTTTCGATTGCTACACAGGCTGTTTTGAATTTCTTGCTTTCGGTGTTCTCGTATCCTCATTTAAAGCGAATTCTATGGACGCGATATCCTCGAGCTTCTTTTGGGAAAATTGAAATGATTTATTACATTCATAATCGAATTAACGAAAACTGTAAATTACCTTTTGAGTCAAAATCAAAACTTAAGTTCCGGCGAAATTGGAATTTCACACGAACACAAAGAAAGGTGTTTCACGCAAATATAAATTTATTCAATATATTTCCTGACTTTTCAAAGCACCACCACAAAACATGTTCCTAATTGGTTTTTGGTATCTTTCCTCTCGGAGCCAAAAGAGAAAGAAAAACGCTGTTACGTTGATTTTACGTTAAGGCCTTCGCAGCGCATTTATATGACTGCGGTTGTGCTCCTTTGCCTTGAAACCGAATAAAGAACCTTGTAGATGCCAAGAAGGGATTTAAAACAACAAGCGAACCTTCATGATGACTCGAGTTCCCCGTTGTGAGGGCCTAATGAGTTACCAGCCTTACTCCGCCAGTTATAGCAGGTTCTCCTATTTAAACGTCTTTCTGTCCCATTTCCTGTGCGGAATTTGATAGGAACAGAAAAAAAAATATTTAGAGTAATTTGACAGAAAATTGATTAATTAACAAGAAAGACTACTTTTCAGTTCTGTACGATATAGTCACCTTTTTAAATACATAATATTTCCGGCGCAAAAATTACTCTCAGCAAGCCCCCTGCCGCGCAGAAAGACAAAGTTTTATCTTTGTTCCATCTATACATCCGCGTCGAGTTTATAGATGCTAAAACGATATATATTTAGCCCTCAGGAAATTGAAATCACAAATGAGAGCGAGGATGGATAAAACTGACATAGATCGCCTGCATTGCTTCTGATTCCGACATAGTGTTGGGGAAGTAAAGAGAGCATCTGTAAATTTTATACCTAGGTTGCCGATATTAGTTTTCTGACGGACTACCGAAGTCCTTTCCGTGATTGCAACAACAGCTTGGCGAACGAAAACCAGTTTTCTGGTAAAAAACGTGAGAAACATATCAGTCGTTGCTCTGCCGTTGTCCTGAAGGAAAATGTTTCGTAAGAAATTGTTTACATTTAAACTTGAGGAAAATACTACAAAGTGCATTTAGGCTCTAGGCAAGGCTATACAATAGGGACGAAAACTTTGGGTTTGTAATTTCAGGGTAAAGATGAACTAATATAGTCGGAAATTTAAGTATGAAAATGTTTCTTGTCACTCATCAAACTGGTTACCAAGCGATAGATATTCACGAGAGATATGTCTAAATAATTGCCTCATGAAAGATGGATCGGCCGCAAAGTAATCAAATTTTCAAAAGTATAAATGGCCATAAAAATGAAATAGCAGTGATTGCCTATTAACCAGACAAAATGTTGACGTATATGGTGAAAATCACTTTTCACTGTCTTAACACGTGTGTCAAAAACGACGAAGCAATTTCAACACTAAGAGCAAACGCCTTGTTAGCACATCCTACCTAATTTATTTTAAACTGAATATTACAGTGACACTATGGCGCACTCGAGAATATACTGTGCAGAATATAATAACAACAAAGTTACTGTACAAAATGCCAATGATCTTATGATTCCGAACAAACAGAATAAAGCCAGTCATTCCCACTTAAGTGTGTGACATGATAGGAATCTGCAAAAACTGCAGCAAAACTTCATGGAAGTTTTCGCTCATTGATAGAAGAAACATCTATTTTACCGTGCTGATTGCAAGCTCAAAAGCACATCTTTCTCTAGATCCAAGGGAAGCTCGCAATGTGCTAGAGGTAACAACCAGATTGGACCACCAACATTTTGCAGGTTTTTCAAGCGGCTTTGCAAATGAAAACTCATAGAGAACCGATGACTGGAGATGTTGCACCCTTTAACCCTTTCAATAAAATGCTACGAGGAGCTGAGGAACAGCTTCTTGGATTCTTCTGACGCAAGCTATATTTACGTTCTTATACTTTGCATCCAATATCCTTAAGTTAGTACAGTACCACTTGGCAAAGGACAGTCAACATCGGATCAACCAGACCCATTCTGCTCCAACGAAAAAAGGTAGTCGAGGATTGTGATAGAAGCCTAACAGTTAAGCTTCTGGAAAAACATGACTTTGCCAGAAACAAACAATAGATAATGTATACTCAGTCACTTCCTTCTCTAGCTCCAGGAAACAGGAAACTAGTCTCTCAAAGGATAATTCTCTTACACTGCTTGCATGTGGGGATATTTTATGCAGATTTAGTAGAAATGAGTTGAGTATATCCTTTTTGCTTACAATATATACTTTTTACATACCAACAGGTAAACCAGAACAATTGGCAAATATTACATTTTATCGTTGACAATAGGAGTTTCTTTCGTAAGTGGTCTGTTTTGAATGTACCCTGGTCAAGCTCGGTTTTCCTTTCTCTTCTTTTAATGTCTAAATTTTCCCACTAAATTGTAAAAACTAAAACAATCTGAAAAAATAATCAATAATGAAGGATTAATAACTGTTACAGAATGGGCTACGAGATGAACAATCGCAGTGAAGGAGCGGTAACATCCTTTCAGTCATCCTCTCAGTCCGCGTGAGAGGAAGGTCTAGTTTAACTTTGAGAACAGTGTTAATCTTGGTACGGTACTCGACCTCAACTTAGAGAGAGGGGAGTGGGTGCAAAAGGGATTGAAAAGACATATAGTAATAGAACTTTAAAATAAGTTCATGAGTGGTATGGATCTAGCTGACCAAAAGATCCGAAGCTTCCGGCACAGTACGAAGACCTGCTTATGGTGCATGAAGTTACTCTTCTACCATATGGAGGTTGTCATCAGGGATTAATTTCTGCTCGAGCCAAGTCACCCTTACCACAGCCTTCCAGTGACAACAAAGACTCGTCTTATGCTTGCGTTCACGCGCACACTTAACGAGTAATTAATTGGGAGAAGATGAAACAGAAAAAAGCAAACGAACAGACAAAACAGGAGATCGAGCACCACCAGCTAGAGAAAAAAGGTGAACCTTCAACTGCGTCTTTCCCCATTTTACCATCAAGCAGGTGACTGCAAAGAGCTTATGCTTGCACGGTCCGTAACGTTAGTGCGAGTCTTATGCTCTGCTTTCAAAGATTTCACACTCTAGAATATTTCTACTTTAAGGATCCAAACTGACATGGAACTGATGTTGTCGGGGAAAGTGTACGTTGCAAACCAAGGAGCCGAACAAGGGGTCGTCTTTTTATGCAAAGATAATATTATAAAAACATGATGAGAACTCCTTTGCATAACTGCTGACTTTTCAAATGTTAATAACAAATAAAGTGAATTATTGTTGGTATTACTTGTTACTCATAGACGGATGCTGCCAGAGGGCCTTGTTTAAATTATACACTGATGATGTTACATTTGACATAAAAAAGAACCCAGAGTATCAAGTGAGAGCTTGTTCAATATACTTTTAGGTTTTGTTTACTTTTGAGATGCCAAACATCATATTTGCGTTCTTAAGCAATTTTAACGCATTCCATTATTTTTCCTTAAAAATGTTTACCTTTTTCTCAATTATATTCTTAGGTAAGACCTTTGGATTCGCTTTTACAAATGGATTATGACAAAAACTCAGAAGCTTTAATTTTATGTGCAAATTGTAAAGCTATGGACAAAATTGACACAGTTGAGAATAATTTTGTGTGGATACCTATAATTAAGTGCATTAATAACTACACTGGAAATTCGCTCGTAGCTGTGTAGAATGAGCGATGAAAACAACAAGCCTTACAATCGTTTTGTATTAGGACAATTAAGTTATTAATAAATAAGAACTGTAAGGACTTTGTATAAGTAGTTAGTAGGTAAGAATGATTGAATGTAACTTGAATCTTGTACATTTTATATCAGTATTATGATAAAATAAAAAAATAGTTAACGCAAGTATCGCGTAAGAGTTGTTCACTAAGCTTTGAGATTCCAGAGTAAGTTTCTTCTTTAATGTATTCAGTATTTTTGTCAATCGTCTGCTTTTTGTTATTTTCCTTGTCCTTGTTTGTGAACACCGTGTTGTAATGAAATAAAAATAAAAACAAAATCAAGCCGTAATTATGACTTATGAGTGAAAAAGCATAGCAAAATGTCTTCTCATACGAAGATTTGCTACACGAAAAGAAGAAAAAATTTTCCTATAACCCTTTCTTGGAAGTGATAAATGAATTCAATTCTATGGAAGCATTATCATTTCTTACCAAAGTACCGATATGTCTCCGCTATAATTATATTAACAAAATTTAGGTACTCTAGGCATCCCTTTGAAACAGAAAATTAACTATACTGGTACAACAACTTACTTTTTGAATAATGTCTACCGTGAGGGTTACTTATTATACCAATGAATGACAGGATATATAAGGTTTCTAAAAAACACAAATTAGCCTCTATTAAGAGTTCATCGGCATCTTTTTTCAGCGGATCAGTTTTCCAGTTGTGGTTATTTTTGCCCTTTTTGTTGCACTGTTTCTTTCACAGTAAATCTAACAATGAGAAATATTTCGCCTATTGTAATCAAAATATAAAAAGGTCTCAGAAAATACAAATATAAAGATATTTATCCCTTTTGGAGTTCTTTCAATTTTCAAGATATTTTGAGACATCAGTGTCTGGGGTTTAAAACAAGAATTCTCTCAACAATAAATATATATGTAATATAAAATTATATTTCACATTTTAAATGTATGAATATCATCTTAAATAATATTTTGGGCCATTAAAAATAAACAAGTGGCGAGATTTTCTCGCCAAAAAGGATACATTATTTCGACCAGGAGGTCAATTTTGTTTGTTTAAGAATTTACTCGTTCTTTCCATTATTCTTGACGCATAGGGCTTTATGAAATTTAGGCAAAGTAAAAAAAATTTAGTGGACCACTTTTGCCAAGGTTATGTGGGGGTACCAAGAAGTTATAAGGAACACTTCCAACATATCTCGCCAGGAGGTAAGGTATCATGGAGACCATTAATTTGTTACCTCTCTACTTGAGAACATCACATCTCTGCAAACACATTTTCCTTTCCATAGCGAAGTCAAGTGATTTTCTTAAATCACTCTTTTTATTTCCGTATTTTTAAATCCGCCATTTCAACAATTACGACCTTTTGAATACTTCAAAACAAGAGAGAGGAAATGTTTTTATCAAATCAAACGTTTTCCTCGCCCTGCGTAGACACCAAGTCCTTTTAAATAGAGTATTTAAGTGGAAGTAATCATGACCGATTTTAATGGCTCGCTTTCATAAAAACCTGAGAAAGTCGCACGGAGGTCATTAATGTGAGAGCCTGCCTTAAAGGCGTCGTCCGCGCAATCTTACGCGATGCACATTCTAGAGTGGCCATGGAATCCATGTTTGGCTCCAAACGTCAATACAGATCGCAGAGGCTCAACTTTATTATTGCGAACAGAAACACAAGAAAACAATAAACAAACTAGCCTCATCAATCCAGCGACGCACTCACCCAGCTTATCTGGCAACATCCTAGTAGTTCGTTACCACGGCATATTCATAAATCTGCCCAGAAGGTCTGAGTTGGTTGAATTTGTCGACAAGCTTCTTCATTCTTCTTGCTATCTTATAAACACAAATTTCATCAGGCACGAGACTCACACCTCTTGCTGAAATGTGTTCATTTAAACCATTAACGAATGGGTAGTAGTGGCAGAAATAGACACCTCGCAGTCACTGACCCTCGATAAGGCCAAAGGATACCCTCAAAATATTCCTGGCGACAAAGTCAATGAACGCAGGCTTCGCCTATCAAACCACTGTGGCAGACAGCCCGAGTTGGAAGCATCCCAGCTGATTCACAGCTCAGTGTCAGAAACTAAGGAAAACAAGTCCGACACACTAACAGCTTTAAGTTGATACAGGTCTGAATTCCAAAGAGTGTTCAGAATGGGAGTCGCCTCAATCAGCGAGCTTTTATGCCATTAGGCCCAATGCACGAATTAGCCTTTTTCTAAAGATCAGAAATTTCCTCTCACGAGATCCTCTTCCAGGCGGAGATACTATCCAACAGGTGTCACGTTGCCGTACAAAGAACGCTTTCGAATATTATATCATCTTTTGTTTTCTTAAAATGTAGCCTTGTTTCGTTTTGATTGCGTGATAATAAAGAGTTATTTCAGTTTAGTCTCCTTTACGTCATAGAAGCATAATAGGCCTTTTTTCACGCGAACATTTTAAGTTTTTAAGGAGTTGTCCCTGGAGCAAAGAGGAGTTTTGTAGGAGTCTTTCGGGAGTTTTTTTTTACAAGTTCGAGTTTTCTCACCCCCGGAGCTAAGATCAGACGTAAGTCACGATCGTTAGTTGTGTTTTCTGTCGTTAGATTTGTAGTTTAGCTCGTTTCCTTAGCTTAGACAGATCGTGCATTCCCTTTTAGTTTTTACCGTAAGTGTTGTAACAAGTCGGCTAGCCTGATTGCATGATTTAGTCCAATAAACGTGTGTAAGAGTCTGCTGTCCGTCCCGTAATTCACTGTGGTTGACCTGGCGGACCCAACTACGCTGCACCCCGTGTCTGCCGTGCTGGGAACGCAACAACAGGCTTGGCGAAATATTAACACAGGACTTAAATCAAAGCATGCAGCAGGCATCTAAGAGAAAGTGTTAGACGTTTCTCCAAAGAAGAAGTTCCTCCAAGAAGAGAACCTTACGAATGAGACCTTCCATCCTTCAGAGATATTACTTAGAGGACGCACTGATGCTTAAGGATACTTCATTAGAATTGTCCTCATGTGAAACAAATAGAAAAGATTAAAGCTCGATGGGTAAAAATTGAATTATGATAGGAATAATCTAGAAAGAAAAATATTTAATTTAACATTAACTTAGTTGCCTTGAAACACTAAGTACCACATAAAATTTCGATTTCATACATTGTAACCTTTTCAATGTTTAGTTGACAAACCAAACAAAATTATCTTAAATATTGTTCTTTAAATAGTTAATTATCATCAGGCATAGAGAGCTTGATCAAATTCCTCTTTTGTAAAAACTTGTTTCCTTTTTGCAATAATGAATTCTATTTTTTTTTTCCAACGGCTTTGATAAATGTTTTCTTACCCATTGCCTACTGAAATTTGAAAAAGGCAGTTCTTATTCGTCATTCACTGCGAATTATCCCAAAAAAATTCTGCTGGAATTCAAACTGGACAAATGCATCCGTGTAAATGTAAAATTTTCGCAAGCCAGCATGGCTGTTACCACCAAATCAGAAATAGACGCCACACGGAGTTCCATCACAAAAGGAGATGGAAACTGTGTATTTACATAGCATGTTCAAAGGAAGATTGAGTTGGTTTACCACAAAGTTAAGGATTTCAGGTTGGAATTGGATTTACCCGTTTAGTCTTCATTTAACTCAGCATTTTTAAAAAACCCTCGAGGTCATAACTCGTGACTTTTCAAAAATGCTTTGGTCCAATTTTAATCAGTCATCAAATCGATTGACACTATGCTTAATCAGGAAAGTGACGATACTCGACAAGATATTGCGTTTTCAGCTAAAATCTACGCCCGTTTACTTTTTGTTCTTTTATCTATTTTACTTCACAGCATGTTACCCTTCTAGTAGGCCTCCCCCTCCAAAAGGTGACTGAAAAGACACGTATCACAAGCTGACAAAACAGTTCTTTGATAAGCAACCTAACAAGGTTCATGAAATAAACCTACAAAAAGATCCTGATGCAACAACAAGGGAACATCACTCAACAGTTGCCCGTTGCAAATCAACCGAGTCTACCCAGCATAATACTTCAACCTTGCACAAAACAATTAAACATTTCAACTCACCACTATGCCACAGTTAGTCCCTCATGCACCGAACTGGCATATGCCAGAAGGTAATTTAGATAACCTGCTATCAATGATTTGACGAAATGCCTGGAATTCAAGCATCCTTGAATTCAAATTAAATCAGTGAATTTATTCAATTTGCAGCAAATTCAAATAATAATGAACCATAAAAAATTACGCGCTTGTGAATGGCTGAAAACGAGAGCATTCTCATGTAACACGAGTGCAAATGACAAATGGCACGCGCATGCTTTCAAAATTTCTTCTGTCTTGACTTTCTGTGATGTGTTTTTTTACGTACACCATTAAAAGTAATAATATGACTTTTCTTGCAATTTGGTGTAATGAGCACGAGATGTCTTTGAAACACTCACTTGTGCTTATCAACACCAAATTACACTCGAAATCATAATATAATATTGCCAATGCATAAATTTTTAACTGTATTAGGGTATGTTTGTGGCTATGCGTATGAGCTGGTTTTAATACTCGTAATAAATATTAAAGTTAGCATCATGTAGAAAACTTGGCTAATTCTCTGAGGGGAGCGTGAGCTGTTTCAACTTGACAAGGAGCTATTTTTTCCAAGGCATCAGAGAAAGAAAACATGGCCTTCAGCTCCATTTTCAACACCGCTGACGAAGCCAATGAGTCCTAACAAAGGCCGAAGGTTAAACTTCAACTGAGTGAAATGAGAGTTATCACCTCTAAAAGAACCTGCAACAAGTGCTCCAAGTAGGTCTTAAAAGAGGTCTTTACTAAAACTGATCACACCAGGAAGAAAGAATATTCAGCACCTCGAGGGCATGAATTTTCTCCCAAGTGAAGAATCCAAACAAAGAAACCCATGGAATCCAGCCAAAGCACTTCATATGATTCAACAACAGCTCTGTGGACCGTAGCAATGGCAATCCACGTGATCACAACCACAATCTAAAGCCAGTTTATCAATAAGCTCTTAGAGAAATGTAAGTGCCTTACTTTGTTAGAGTGTCGTTTCAAAGCTGACATACTGATCCTAACACAAACAACTGCGTACGCTAACTTGACCCTCGACACTTGTTTCTGATACAACCTGGCGAGTAAGAAGTCGTTCATTTTTCTGCAATTAAAATTTCTTCTACAGTAAAACTAACTCTTTGTGAGCAATTCACTCTTAATCAAGAAAGACAGTACACATAAATTCATGACGTCTAAAGAGGCGCCATTTCCAAGACAAAAAGGTCCAATAGGAAATTTGACACAAATTTTGCTGCACGAAGTCTTTGAGAGCAAATTTGCGTAATACACTACCGAACAAAGTCTGAAAAGACGAGATATGTCCCGTTATCTTAAACATTTTCACACCTCCAAAGCCAACCTAGAAGCCTTGTATGTAAAGTGCTTGCATGAGTCATACATAGGTTCGCAAAAACATAGATGGCATAGTTCACCTTGAAGAGAGTTTTCTGACCACCTGACGGCATGCAGAGCTTGCCAACCACCAGTACCACCGTTAGAAGTCAAGTTAATTTTAATTTCAAATGCTTTGATGACAGAGCGAGGATTTAATGACAAACAATCAAAAACCACAGTTTTGCCAGTCTGACCACTGTTGCTGTGGTTACATTGGTACAATATGGGTATCAGTCTTAACCTAAACATCACTGCGCATTGTAGCATAATTACATTTCTCTTCTTCATGGTAAAAGTGCATGAACAAATGCAAATACCTCAAACCAAAAAGATGCATCATCCGCACAAAAAATGGCAACAAAATTTATTAACTTCGAGTAAGATCAGTGTTCATATCCATATACGAAGACAATTGTCTTTTATCCCTCTCACAATGTAGGTGGTTTGATAATGACTCACTGTCTTTGTATAAACTTGGAGACCTGTCAATGGATACTACCTGACATTTCCCTGGAAGGCAGAAAATACGGGGCATCAGCCAACAAAACTCTTTTTAACTGCCTGCAGTGATTACAGCATTCTTACAGTAAAAGTTTTTCACGAGAAAGAAGACTTGTTCTGCTTTCGCGTTCTTGTGTGCAGTTGTTGTGAAGCCAGGGATTGCTTGTCAGGCATTCAACCATAGGGATTGCACCAATGCATTTTGCAGCTGTACTCAACAGCTAATCTGCGCAATACACCCCATATTCTCAAAGAAAGCAAACACGATGATGACATCTTCAATTCGTTCATTAAGGAAAAGAAGTATCATTTTTTCTGCTAAATTTGATGGCAATGTTTTACTCATACCTGTTACCAAATATGTTGTTTACATTTCAACCGAAGAAAACGCACCACTCCAGCTTCCTCCTTTAAAGCGTCCAGTTGTTGGATTGGCGCGGAACCACCTCTTAAGATTCAGGGAACTGACCAAAAGCTATAATAAACATGAGTGGTGATAGGAGATGGGCAAATAATTGATGACATCAGTAACATGAGTACCAAAGACGCTCGTGCACCTTCCTAGTAAACATTTAAAACTAGTTATCGTATTTCCCAGCTTTGCACGAGTCTCATGGATGAAATAAAAACTGAGTGTTTCTGTGTTCTTACCTCTTTGCCTTGTGTTGCACACTGGAGAGGTGGATTGAACTCATCATTCAACACTCTTCTCACTTCTTCAAGCCTGGCGCCGATGACCTGCTCATGCTGTCTCCCCATGTCCCTGGTATACATATTGGGTACCTCATCTGACTTTACTACAACTCTAAGCGGACTATAATCTGAGTCATTCAGTGGATCACTACCAGAAGACTTCGCACGTCGATCAATACACTCTTTCAGGAAATGTAGGTGTCTCTCAATAAAAAGCTGACATTCCAAAGCTGAATAGCTGACGCCCACAACAACAGTAAAAGGATTCTCTGTACTAAAAGAATCGGGATATACGCCTGTGTATACACCCTTCTTAAAGTAAAACTTGGCTTGCCGAACATTTCCTACCTCTCCAAAGCCTTTCACCAACTCTCTTACCAGCGTTGGTTCCCATGAAATGTGTTTATCTTCCATAACTTGGAGAAGATTGGTGACATGATTTAGTTCTTTCTTTGAGATTAGGCTACGAAGGAGTCGATTATACAAGGCTTTCACCTCCCCACCATCTCCAGCTTTATCCAATAGCTCAAACACAAACGCAAATTCTTTGGAATTCATGAAGTACTCACATAATGATACAAAAACTCGCCTCCTCCACCCCGTCTCCTCAGGGGTCATTATTTTTCCATCAGCTGCACAAGCATAGTTTGTACCACGAAGTACTTCTAAGGCACTGCTATGCAAAGGCTGACTTAAACTAAGACAGATGTCTGCTGCTGTAAGTGCCACTTCGCATGAAGTTAAAGGCCTTTTCTGTACTCCAAATTCACCTGCGTATATTGAGTAGTTTATGCTAAAGTTGTGCAAAACATGCAGCACGGAGTACCCTTGATCAAAAAGTTGCTTGAAGTATGTCAAGTACATTATTGCCACTCCTAACTCACCAATAAAGAGTTTGTCATCATCGTCTAAGGAAGCACTTGGACTGCTGTCGGGTTCAGTATTTGGTACTGTTTGCTCGAGGTGATGGTGTATTTTATTGCAAAACTTTTCAAAGTTTTCTCCAACAGTCTGAATATAGTTTGCTTCAAATGACTGGAAAAAGGCTTTTAATACCTCAGAGTCGATGTCAACATCTTCATTCTTCATTGCCACATAAACAAAGCCCAAGTCTTCCCAACAATTCTGTTGACTGGCATGCTGAAACATTAAATTTGTAACGCACGTCTAAATATGAACACTCATTGTATACCAATGGTGAACTAAAAAAGAATAATCCTTCCAAATATCTAAACCAGACTGCACTCTTCGTCCTCGTCTGTACTTTATCTTGATTAAACCCACCGAAATCCATAATTAGTGGTATGTGTTGGCTTCTGGCGCCACATTTTTTTAAACCAATTCTTTCTAAGTCATTATTTTTACCCAGATGACTGCAAAAGCCTATGTTTGACACTTTGAAAATCAACCTTGATGAGTGACACTTATTCTGAGCTTAAAAACCATGTACTAATTTAAAAAAATCCTACCTTGATCCTCGGCAGGTAAAACTGTAGACTCCTTTTAGAGGGATAAGGAAAGCAACTGATACTTGAAGCTTCAGGTAAAACAGGGGCAGAGTGTGTTTGGCGATTATGTTGGTCTGTATTTGAGCTATTGAATGAGCTGTCTACGCTATGAGCTCTTCCCGGCAGACAGGGAGAAAATGGATTTCTTCCGGTAAATTGGTTTGTAGCTGCAAGTTGGAAATTTTGTGCCACACCTCCGGTTGGTGTGCGGACCACAGGAGGGGCTAATCGATTAGAGGAAAACGGTCCACCTAAATGAAGCCCTGCTTTTGTTGGAGTACTCCTTATAGCAGCGTGCTGCTGATCATGCACAGGCCCAAACAAATCTGACCCAGTGGCCGGAGCAGGAAACGTACACGGATCTCTGTATACAAAAGGGTTTCCTGGTTGGGTGTGGTTCAATGCTTCATTGCTCTGTCCAGTAATTCCTCCTGTTGAAAAACATAATCATAAATACACCAAAAGCATACGCGTGGAATGAAAAGGTTTCTCTTTAAATTGGGGAGAGGAGATAGACTAACCCGAAGCAAAACTATTTTAAATTGGATGATTGTTGAAACCAATAATTTATCTTATAATGTAAGTTATCTCTGAATTATCTTTCATGGCCTTTTTCATACACTCTCCAATGAGTGCCCACTAACTTAAAGTCAAAATCATGCCTTGGGAGTAGTTTCTTCAACATTCACAACTTCACCACTACACAGCTCATTCCTAAAAACCAATTTCGTCAGTCATTGTGACAGCTTGTTTTAAATACCAGTCTGCTTCAGAATGTTGGCAATGTTACATTTCAGCTCTTTGAAAAATTCCAACCTTACTCCAAGTAACAATGAAAAATACGGGGAATGGGGATGGTGCAGTGTTGAGAGCGTTTGCCTTCCACAGCTATGGTCCGGGTTTGACTTCCAGACCTGGCCTCACATGTGGGATAATTTTGTCGGCGGTTCTTGTCCTTGTCCTTGTCCTTGTCCCAGCTCCATGGGTTTTCTCCAGGTCCTCCGGTTTTCCTTCCCCAATAAAAACCAACATTCCAAATTTCAAATCGACCGGGAAACAGTGGTCGAGAAGAACCACCGCGAAGAATCCCATTTCTCATTCCCATTTCTCATCCCCATACCCATTCCCATTCCCATTCCCTATTCCATTATCATTTTCCAGCTCTAGAATTCTAATAAACTTGAAGTATGTCTACCTTGAGAAGCGGAATTCACAATTCCCTGTGAGCTATTAGCATTTGAATGGTGAATAAACGAACATTTGTCGCCATTACGGCAGCCCACAGGAGTATTGAAGTAACGGCACACTCTTCCATAACTGCGACCCTGGGATTTCGAACTGGAAAGTGAATAAAAATTATCATTTATAAAATAGTGGAAAAAAGATGGCACCAATAATGAACCAAACTGCTGTATCAGTAAAGTTATATGGCTTATTTAATTCACATTTTCATTTCTTTGAGACTTCATGTGAATAGCAATTAAACGGAAGGTAAATTAAAATAAGGTTCCCATGCACGAGTATTGAATGTCGTTCTGAAAGTAATTAGATGTACTGTACTATACTTAAGAGGAAATACGAATCAACAATTATTTAATTCACATGATAGAGATTAAAATTGACACACCTATTCAGACTAGGAACTTCTTCCTTATCATTGCTTTCTGAATGATTTGTAGGATATATACGTCTCATAGCAGCGTAGGGCTGAATAGAAGCAACAGGATTTTCCACCCACTTCTCCAAAGATGCAGTTATCTGTTTATACATATTCACTGGTAGTACAATTTTAGCAGCCTCAAGCTGTAAATAGAAAAAAATATTTTATTTTAGGGTCAGTATTCTCGTAACAATGTGGGAAATTACCAGATGCAACTAACCAGATGTTCTCCCATGAACTTCAAAATTTTATTAAAGGTTATGCATGAATTCCATGCAACTTGTACCCTGAAAATTCAGTGAGCCCTTTAGCACACCAAGAAATGACAGAGTCATATACCGTTTAACATCTTTTCCAGACTGTGATCTGGCCAAAATTGCAACAAATCCTGACCTCAGACAGTTCCCTTAATGAATTTGACCCATTAAGTAGCTGGACCTGAGAGGGTTTCATATATGTTTTCTCTCTCCTACGTCCCATTACCACAGACAAAACGTGTCAGTGCATATCCAAAGGTACCCATCAGGTCATTCTAAGCTCCTCTTAAAGAAACTTAAAAAGAGTCATTTAATGATACCTGATGGAAGAACTGCAGAACACCTTTATAGTTCTTCTCTTTGTCCAGTATTTCAATAGCGGACTGCAACACACTATCTTCAGGCTAAATAAAAAGTAATTTATACCTCATAGTAAGACCTTTAACATAACAAACCAAACTTTTAACCCTAGAAAGTTCATATCATTTATTTTCTCATCTCCCAGCATAATCAAGTGAAGTAACACTAGTTCTGCTCGATGATTTAGAAACAAAAGTAACGTAATGTACTATCAAGGAGTCTTTCACTATTGTCCTGTTATTTTTGGTATTTAGATATCCATGTCGCACGAAAGCATTTCAGAATCATTAATTCTGAGTGAAAAAGTACACGCATTCGAGTGTAGCAAGTGGCGTACGAAAAAATAAAATAAATTCATTTGTGTGTACCCATGCAATTTTTCCACTGCGCACGCGTAACTCACGCACTGGAAGCATAAACAACTCCATCGCACTTGCAACGTGCGGGAATGCTGCAGTACACACAAGCTGTATTGTACATGTACTTCTTGAAACATAAAGAAACTCAGCACTTAGGGCACTGCAGCTTTACTGTACAGGTAAGAGTAACAACAGCTAAAAGATGACTAACTCACTTTGATCCAAGACTCCAACATGAAGTGGATTACAATGAGCATACTGGCTGAGGGCCCAGCTTTGCTCAAAGCTGTTGAGAGGGCAACCAAACCACTTGCAATAGCATGAGGCTGTTCAAGGACTTTTGGATCTTCCTTAATTGTGTTGAAGAGCTCCAAGGCTGCACTCCAATTGTCGAGATGACATAATGCTCTCATATAGTTATTGATGGACTAAACCATGAAAATAGAATGGAAAGTCCTTTCAAGTCAAGCCACTTTGTGAAAACACTTACTGTAGATTGTCTCATTTTGCGATAAAGGAAAACAAAAACATCAAGAAGGGCCCCAACCCTATAAAGACGTACCTGTGGTTCAAGGGTGATTCCATTCTGAAGCATCAAGGAGCACACATTCTGAGCAAACAATACATTGTTGCCTGGTAGTAGGCAACACGCCTCTAAAAGTGAATTCCAATCCTATTGTAAAATATAGAGCGAATACAAAAACTTTTAACTGATGCTTGCAACCAGATCATAATTAAACTGAAGTGCGAGAACATACGTGTAATATCTGAGTGTTCATGAGGCACAATAGATAAAATTTTTCCTGGCTGCTAATCATAATTCTCTAACTAAATTATGAAAAGCTGGCCTATTCATTATTCTGCTGAGCATCGGTTATGCTGTATAATCTACAATTAAATGTACTTATCAATTTTCTCCTCCACTTCCAAATGAAAGCCCTACCCCTTTGTTCTAGAGTCTGATATATATGTAAGCAATGTGCATTTTCAGAAAGCATTTAGTGTTTCGGATAGGTAACAAAAAATATATATATGTAACACAACAGTGAAGATGAAACTCACATCAGATCCAAGTTCACAGAGGTTTTCTGCTGGAGTCACTCCAAGTACCTCAGTGACCATTTCAATCCATTCTGGCTTCTGAAGTGCAGTTATCACAGCTCCCTTCAAAACCACTGCTGGTGTTGCGAGTGGAAATACTGGTAGTACCGACATAATCTTCTCCCAGTCATTCACTTTTAACAGAGTGCTAAGAGGATTGAATGTAGTAATAAACAAATGACTCACACCTGGGCCAAACACAACAAGCACATTTTTCTTCAAAACCTACAGAAAAATCCAGTCCCTACATGTAAGTTCAAAACCTTTCCGAGCACAGATTTTTCATTGAAATATGAGAGTTGGTAAATTTTGAGCTCAGTAAAGAAATAAAGAAAGATGTTTTTTGTCTTGTCATGAGCATAGGACAAAGAAAAAAATTCTAAGTCCCGATGAGGAATCGAACCTCAGACCTTCGGATTCTGTGCTCCAATGCTCTACCATTGAGCCACAGAGACTCCACAATGAGAGAGGTCTATCACAGATTTTTCATTGTTTCAAGGGTGTCTTCCCAATAGAGGTTTACCTCAACAGACTGAAATGATGTGTAAATTGGCCACTGTGAAGACTTCTTAAAACCAATATTTTGCACATTAGCCCTTCACTTTGACAAAGGGCTTGCCCTGACAAACAGCTAATGCTCAAAACATCAGCTTAAGCAACTATTCTCAGTGGCCAATTTACATTATCACCTGAGTTAATAAAACCAAATTATCTTGTTATGCACCAGCATAGCACCACAGTTTCTTTTGAACTCACCCCCTTTATTCATATGTTAAAGAAGCCAACTATTTCACCAATTTCTTTAGCCAAAAAAAAACCAAACCATTCTAATCAGTCACTTATTTTTTCTTACACGAGCATTGCAGAAACAGCATCATTTGAAAGGTGGACTTGAAACTGCAATGCTTCCTAAAAAATAAACAAAAAAACATGAAATTAAAGATGATACTAGTAATATCAAAAGAATAAAAGCCTCAAGATAAGAGCTTGAAGTGATTCAAATTACATGTAATTTCTTGGGAAAGAACCAGTGCACTGGACATATGGGTGGTGAAGTGTACCAGGGCTCAAATACATTTGCATTGTTACCTGAAAGAGTAACCATGTCTTCTGAATAAAGTGTTCTCCACTGTTACAGCCAAGAAGAATGAGATCACTGCAGATCCTAACAGAAAAATAATAAAAAACGTGTCTATTCGTAGATGTCAATTTACAGAATTATCCAGAGTGAGCTAAATGGAAACTTGTTACATGTACTTACCCTGACTTGAACAATCCTGACTGCTTGATTTCATGCAACAGATTAAAAGCCCTGATGATAAAGGAGTAATTGTAAGGGTTAATAATGATAAAACACAGAAGTCTCTGCTGCCCTCAATATTCATGTACATGTAAGTACATTAGAGAATGGAGGATGCTTTACAAAATCTATTCCATGTGTTTTGATCAGTAAAAAACACTCAACATTCACAGACCATCTTTCCTTACAGGATCCAGTATATTCATGATACAGCATGGACAGGACAAAAAAAATTATTCTTCTGAACACTTGCTAAAAAAAAGAGGCTCATACCATTCAGGGTCTTTAGCAGAAGCTTGGATCAAGTCAAGAAATACTTCATAAGTTGGCATGTGGTTATTCCTTTTCATGACATCCAGCATCTCATACGCTCTGCATTATAAAATCAAATGACATCCTTAGAATTATTACATTAAAATTTCATTTCACTTGAGATTTCACCAGCAACAGATCAGCTGTTGGCCTCTCACCATTTGGTATAAATTTTAAATTGATAAACAGTATTTCCCTGAAAAGCAGCCAAACTCTAATAAGCACCCTCCCTGAATAAGCAACCACCCCCTAAGCCATTACGTCAAACAAGCGCCCCTCTCAAATAAGTGCCCCACTCACTCCCTCCTGTATTCTCCCTCACTTTCTTAAATAGAAGGGAAAAAGGAAAACCTGTTTCTATCACCACTTTGATAACTTTTTAAACTTCAACTACAGCGGAATCATTACAAGCTAATCATTTCTTAATAAGTGCCCCCCCTTTTAACTAAACACCCTTCTTCCAATTAGCACCTCTCCTTTATGCCAAAATTTGAAATAAGCACCTGGGGGCTTTCTCAAGGAACTAGGATAAAAACCCCTGCATCACCATTTAATTTTACATACCATACCTGATATATTGTCCTGCATGACATAATGTTCTGATGAGAACGGTAAAGTCATGACGATGATGCTGTCCACTAACTCTCTTGATTGTGTCAAATGCCTTGTGGGCAACCTACCAAGATTAGAATATCATTAAGTATTACACACACAATTTGCAAGTACAAGTGTTATAGCAAACATGAAAAACATTTTATGGTAACTGTTTATATGTTTAAATTTCTAATGAAAGAACCACCACTGGGAAAAAGGGAGAAAGGGAAAGAAAATTATTTAACATAGCTTAGCTTTGCAGTAATGGAACCCTTTTTAAGCAATTTATTTTTCTTGCATAGCATATCACTGTAAACCAAATCAAATTAACAGGCACATTGTACTATCTGCAGTAGGTTGCAAAGAAAGAAAAACAACACAAGCTCATGTACCATGCAAAGAGAAAAATTAAAACATCAACAGCTCATCCTTCTTTAGTGACAGAGTACAAGATCTATCACTTAACAGACACAAGCCAACATGTACTCTATTTGTTAATCATTTCATAGAATAAAGGACTTATGCACTGGCCCAGGTTGCTATGGAAGCTGTTACCTGGGCAGCAATGTCAGGTTCTCCTTGGTGTTCACTACAGGTGACAAGAATCCTCCTCACAATTGCCAGGTCAGGTCTGTTTGTTCTGCACAGTTTCTCAACCATTTGCCAAGCACCATCTTCACAGAAAAAAAAAGTTTCAAATTAAGCAATGTAGCTGAGGAGCCAATGAAAACAGAGCAAAATCTTCCCTATTCAGCCTTTTAAGGTTTTTACACTCAATCCCCAATTGACCAACATTAAGTAAAAAAAAGCACTATCAAATTCTTACGTAAATTGTTATTTGTCAGCAGATCAGCAATTAAATTGTAGGATGCTGTGGGATCATTCTCTGCACAAGGAAGAAAAGACATTGGGTTAGACAGACAGGTAAATCATATCTCATTCAATACATTCAAAAAGGGTGATACATGTACATGAAACAATAAAACAAAGTAATGAAGGAGGTTTAATTTCCAATGGGAATGTGGTGCTGCATTGGTGAGGTATCACAGGATAATTTGGTTTCTTTAAACAAGTTGATAATGTAAATTGGCCACCATAAAAGGATTCTAAAGCTTATGTTTAAAGCATTAGCCCTTCTTCAGAGCGCATGACTGAAGGCTAACACTTAAAACATCAGCCTTAAATATCTTGGTCAATTTACATTATCAACCTTAGCATAATGACACAAAGTACTGAACCTCATGAAAAAAAGGTTCAGTAATGAGTGGAAGGACTTGCACTACTTATAAGTTCCCACTGAAGTGCAAATACATGTACAGTGTACATACCTTCAGGTTTTATTTCTTGAACAGTGACAGTTTCTTCTGTTTCTAAAGTAGGAAGCTCCTCTAAATCATTCCCTTGGCTGAAAAATTGAGATCATTAAACATTGAGTAAAATCTCCCATACCTTATGAAGTGTTCATTGTGCATTGGATATCAAAGAACTTAAGAGCAGACAAGCAGAATTTTCCATCTAAATTTCAAAAGCCTAAACAACATGGTATTTTTCTTTTACACACAGAGATTGTTCTGTTACAAAGTGCTATTCCCTAGCTACAATGAAAAGTGCACGTGTAAACCCTGAAAATAAGGTTTCTTCTGATTCTATAATGTACTTACATGCTTGTGATACCAGCCTGTTGTACCCCTCGGAACTGCAAAACAATAAAAAAAAAATTCCTTAGATCTTTTGTATGAAAGTCTAAATTCACCTAGTGAATAATGCAAAATAAAAAGGTGGATGGTGAAGTCTGCACTTAAGCTAGGTGGCCCATCTGGCTCAAGCTTATCCCTGTTTCTTTAGCATAAAGTGACAAGGAGTACCTGATATTACCTTCCTCCCCCCCCACCTCTTTCCTGGGATGGGATCCTGGTCCATCACAAAGAAGCATTTCCTTAGGCTTCCCTGAGAATTTGCTATTACACATTTCCATTCCTGAGTTGGAGAGAGGCACTTTGAATGCAAAGTGTTTTGCTCCAAAACACAACAAAATGACCCTACCAGGAGCCTGTTTTTCGAATGTCCCAGTAACTAAACTCACCTGTTAAGCTGTTCTAGTAATAATTCCAGAGGGAGCTTTCGAAAGTGTTGAAAATGATATAGGAAAAAAACTATCAGCTAAAGAAACGAAATGGACTGATTAGGGTACCAGAAACTGCATCTCTATTTCCAAAATTTTGTTTTTGAAATATGGTTTCAAGCCCATCAAGTCACTAAGACTTTCGAGAAACAGGTCTTGGGTCATGAAACCCTGACCTCTACACCCAGATTCCATTAAAAAAAAACTATTAGTCCTCTTCATCTCCCACTGTAATATGACATGAACAAGATACAAAAAAATATGTTGTACCTCTTGAAGCTGATTATGATCCATGTGCACATATTTACATTTTGATTTCTTGCATTTTCCAGTGTTCAGTTGCACAAAACAGTAGCCCTTTGGGAAAGGTTTCCTGGTTCCTGACTTTGCAAGGTTTGGCTGTGGCATCCCATCAGGGCTTGTTGTCACTAAAACCTTTCCTCCATGCACTGTGTCTTCATCAAGGAAAGGATTTTTCCTCTTACTTGATGAAGTTTGTGAATCTGAATCTGAATCTTGCATTGACGAAGAGCTGGTTGGTCTTAAAACAGCTAATCTTGCTTTCTCTATCTCAGTTATTGAGCTGCTATTATTATTGTTCTGAACATCACTTGGTATGGCATCGCGTTGATATGTGGCCTCAGCAGCATAAGTGGTTGACTCACTCTTTGATACTTCTCTTGTAACAGTGTTTCCTGGATTGAATTGACTTGTAATCCCATTACTTGCACTCAGTTGCTCATTTGAGTAACATGAATTTTCCTTTGTTTGTTGCAACCACCTGGGTGACAGCCTGTCTGATGCCCTTTCTGGTTGAAATTGTGATTCAGTGATGGAGTTTTCAGACACTCTCTTATGCCTGACCTCTTGGGTACTACTGTGAGATCTCTTAGGCTGATGTCGCAGAGGTAATTTGCCACTTCGCACAGGAGGTCCACGGCTGTTATACTCTTGCACATCATATGCAACTTCACCTGGAACTGGTGGGGGATTTACCAACATTTCAACAGTTTTTGCTATATTATCTTTCATGGCTGCCTCTAGTTCAGCTTTAGCTTTTAGAATGGGTGGCAACATTGGCGATATTAGCTCAGTCCCAGGTAAAGGGAGGAGTCCATCCCCAGCATTGAACAAAGGTATACCTGGCATCCCAAGTACTGGTTGAACTGGCCCACTAACACCACAACTCCTAGGGCCTAGCCTTGATTGGCATCTACCTCTTCTTGAAAAGCTGTTTCCCAATTGCATCTCACCCTTTCTCTTAGCACCCCTTCCTGCTGAAGGTCTCTTGGTCCTTCTACCATCCTGTTGGCGAGTGAATGATCTGTTAGTTCTTTGTTGTGATCTAGGTGAAGCTTGTTCTTGTTCGGACCTCTCTTCGACAACCTCTTCATTCTTATCTTGCTCTTGAGTTTTATCAGTCTGTGGTTCTTCTTTAGTTTTGACTGAGCTACTGGAACTTTCTTGTGACTGTTTCTGTTTTGTGCCAGTTGTTGAAAATCTTCGATCTCTTGATTCATTTCCTGCTCTCTTTCCAGTACTCCTAATGATAAAATGATTTGGAAAAAATTCATTCCACCATCGCACTTACATCAATATTCAATAGTTATTGTTACTGACGCAAAAATTATAGAATAAACCTTGAAAACATTTATTAGTCTCACTCCACATTTGGATATAGATGTAATACTGTTTTACTAGATCAAAATGCATGTAAACATGTGTTATCGACCAAGTAAGTGGTCAAGATGGCTAGGTATTGGCTGCCTTCTTGTTTTTCTTTTTTTTTTTTCTTTTGCATTTTTATGGACTGAGACGAAGTTTCAGTGCATAAAAATGAAAAACAAAGAACAAGGCTAATATCTAGCTATCTCCACCAAACAAGCTTAGTCAATAGAGAATCTATCCCACAGTATAGCAAAAAAAGAGAATGACAAGTGTTTTTTTTAGGGCTGAAAAAGAAAGCTTACTATGATGACATGTACTTGTTTTTCATTTGACAAATTGGAAAATTAAGTAATTTAATAGGTCTTCTTTACATTCTTAAAGAATCTCCACAAAAGCAAACTCATTTCTTGCTAAGAAATGACATTAATTTCTCTTATCTTGTTTTCCATGAGACAAAACTGCCACTGTGCTTCCATGTAATTTTTTCAACTTTTTTTTTTCAGGTTTTTGTAGCACAATCATCTCACAAAAATCATTTTTATTTTATCATTTAACTGTCTTCTGCTGCTTGAGGATGTTACATGTACATGTATTTCAAAGTAATCAGTATAAAGTCAGTCAATATTGTGAAAGTGAAACTGTCTCAGCAACTTTGTAATGAATTGTTTCTGCTGCCAAACATCACAGTCTCTTCCTTCTCTTTCTTTTGCCCATTATTAAAATATTTTAACATTGTACGTGAGCACACATACATGAACCATTTTATTAAACAGAAGCATTGCAAATGTACAGTTTGGTTCTGGACACATTCATGGAGCCCTGGCATGTCATCAAAATTAATACAGGACAAATTGTGTACACTGCACCTTTGTCTCATTCCATCATTGTTCACTCCCAAGTCATCTTCTTCATCAAACAAGGAATCGTCAGGATGCAGTGATATTTCGTCATCTTCTTCCTCCTCCTCAGCATTATCTTGCGTAAGTGGTACTTCACCAAAGTCCATAGAGGGATGGAATTGGTGCATTTCATCTTCATTATCTTCAAGCAAGAAATCCTCATCATAATAACTGTCAACTTCATCACCATCATGATCATGATCATGATCATTGAGAAAGCCATCAAAATCCATCTCAGAGCCTTGCTTGAGGCTATATAAAATCATGCACAAAACAATATTAATTTGGACTCCCTTGTGAAGAGGGAAATCAAGTCAGTGTAAAACAAGGAAGTTATGTGTTGGTTAAACTTTTAATAAGGAGTGTATCCAGCATGAGGGCTCTTAAAATCTATTATTTGAGTTATTAAATTTAGTATAATAAGAACTTTCTATCATAATTTCCAAGATACTGCCATGTTTTCAGGGGTGACACTCAAAAGCATAATGCTCAAATTTTCAAGCTGAAGCATAATTTATTACCATCCCCATAATTATTTTGATTAACGGATATTGTTCTTTCATGGGGTCTGCTTTGTTACTGACCTAATGTTTACCTTATTACTAGCATTCAATCACAGCTCAATCATTTACAACAAAAAATACACAAAATTGCTTACTCTTCAATTAAAATTGCTTTCATGCAGTAAGTCTACCATAATGACAATCTCACTTAATCAAGCTCCAGTAATTGTACATCGCAGGAGTTAAGATATTTTTGGTGTGTTTCTGTCACATGGGACACTTGGACCTTACAGAGTATGAATCACACCAAAAGACACCCTTCCAATAGCCTAAAATCTTTGCAATCAAACTCATACCTGGAGGATGAGGCACTGTAGGGATGTTTGCTCAAAAAAGTTTTACTTCCTATTGGTGACAGTGAAGCTGGTAATGCTTTGATTGGAATTGTTAACTTTTTAAGTGGCGGTCTGGGTTTCACCACACAGGAAGGACGACTTGACAAAACACTTGACTGTGTTTGGGTGCTGCCAGCTGATTCATATGTACCACTCAACTCAACTTCTGGCCCATTGCAAACATTATCTGCTGAATAATGGAAAAAGTTTTACTTCTTTGCCATTACTTGAGTCAAAATAGTACCTGGGTCAGCGGTTTCCACAAATACCTTGTGCAGTCCATAAGGGTTTTTTTCAAGAACTATGATATGGTGTTAAAGTAATACCATAGTTTCTCGGTTATAAGGTGCACCCCAAACTTAGCAACTTGGTTGAGCCAAGTTCCCAAACTGAAAATTAAGTGAAAATACTTGGCTATAAAATGCATGGTTGCTCTAATGGTAAAAGCAAACAGCCAAAAACTCTAACCAAAAGTCATATTAAAAGATGTTTGACAACTGAATATCAACACGCTTCTGAGGATGCAAGGTTCGGTGCACAAAAAAGGCTGGATGGACAAAGAAAGTGGGTTTTATCTCCAAAAATACTTGGCTTTAAGACACACCTCAATTTCAGCACTAACTGTCCACTAGAAATTTCTTGAAAAAACCATGTGCCTTACACACGAGAAACTACGGTATGTTGGGGCCAGCATATGTCAATTAGTGGTACAAATGATAGTGATACTAGGTCTTCAAAAATGGAAAAAAAAATTTATAATCTACTTAGAAGTATAACCATATACAAAGTCTTATTCATCAAGGAAAAGAGAGGTACAGTATTTGAGTACTGTATTTGCTGCTATCCTGATTTGTCTTGCTAAAACATCTTCAGTTATCCAATGTGACAGATTTTTTCTCTTCAAAAAGGAAAATTATTTTTATGATATTTTCAATTGCTTTCGTGTAATCCAATAGTATTGTATTACAAAGCCTTAGTTCTTAAGGAAGTCCAGCATTTCTATTACTGTATTTCTTTAGCCCCTTAACTCACAAGATCTCATAAGTAATTCTCCTTACTGTCTGCCATACAGTTCTTGTGATGTTAGTTTTGAGAATTTGCCATTGGATTAACTTGATAATCCCCTTATTTGCATTTTTTCTTTATTCTCATCACTTGTCTGCTTGATATTGTATTGATATTTTAAGGAGAAATTACGTCTTGGTCACTCATGGGAGTTAAAGGGTTAACTAAACTGCATGCATGATGGAGTGTTGGGTTTTTACAGAAGTCTTGCCTATTTTTCTTCAATAAATATAAGTAACAGCCATATAAATGGGTTATGGAAACCACATTTAGTCCCTGGTGCTTCTAATCCACCAGAGAGCTTCTCCAATAAAATACAATGCTCATTTTAAGTCATCACTACGATGAAAGTGTGATCGGAAACCATACACGCCTCACTGCAAACGTTGAGCCGCTGAGCTGCAGAATACACTACAGAGTTTTCACATTTCAGAGATTCCAATATTGCTGCAATCAGCGTTAAATGTTACTCCTTTTCAATTCAAAGGGCGAACTCACGTGTCAGTTACACGACAGAAGCTGAAATACAGTGCATACAATAAAAATTTCGCAGTAATGGAGAAGATTTTAAATGCAATGTCCACTTCATTCAGGGAAGTTCGAGACAAATTTCACAATTTGTTCGAAAACTCTGCAGTTTCTTCAAACGCACTTGTTGGTTTTGGATATTTCAGACGTATATGTACGGTTCATACCTGGGTCAATGGCACTTGCTGAGCTGCTAGCACAGACCTCGTCATTCTGATTCACGGCATCGTGGTTCCCATCACAAGCTGCATCTGTTGAAGTGTCCCTGGAAGTGTCGTTCATTCTTTGCTGCTTTTCACGTTTGATTTCATCCAGAGACTTAACAGTAACTTTCTCCAAATCAGTGGATTCTGATATATAAGTGGAAACCCAGCACATGAGAAATCGTGAGCAAAAATTCTAGATAAAACACACAACTCCAAACTGAAAACTATACCAGTTTTTCGGTTGATCACTATCTTTCGGGGCTCACTTGCAGTAACAGGAGGTTTAAGGCGAGATGAGTTACTATTTTCATTCGGCACAGTTACAACTAGGTCTTTACTCTGAAGGTTACTTTCTTTCCTTGTTCCAACAGTACGAACGCTTTTCTTCTTTCCATCACGCGCACTCTCTTCGACCTTCATGTCTGGTTCACACACATGAAGTCGCTATCAACATAAACTCCATGTGACAACGTGCGCCGAAGGGAGACGATGTTCTCCTTATATGGATACTCCTGGGACTCGATATCTTTACGAAGAGTTCCGAAAACATCACGAACACGAAACACACATGACGGACATAGAGCGAAGGAGAGATTGTGGGTTTCTCTTATGATTTGGTTAGTATGAGCTGGTAAGTGAAATTGCTGGTTTTCTTGTGTATCTGATTTGTCGAAGAAAGGTAGTAAAGCATGTCAGTTCTGTTTATAAACCACGGGAAGTCGATTTTCAAAGGCATCTAATTCTTTGCCTTCATCAATTAATCATTCAGCATGTTGAAATCTTGAATCAAATGTTGCCATTAAATTACTGGTATGTGCCTTCCACTGACTAACAGGATGCTTAATTTGCTTTGAAAACAACAGGAATCCATTCAAGAAAGCAAAGCCGTCAGTAAAACAAACAGTAAGTACAAATTATTTCTGAATTTTCATCTTTTCATCCTCGTATCTCAGATGGGGCTGATAAACAAAGAGAGACAGAGAGATATTTGACAAAGTAGAGTAGGCATGATAGGTCAGAGTCCTTATACAAAATTATGTTTGAGGATGATTATGATGGCTTACTTCTATACATATATTTAGCAACGCTTTCTATGTTGAAAAGTCCCCTGGCTTCAAATTTCTTACACTGTTTAAAAAGGTTGTTTAGCAGGTGTTATCAGAGTATTAATCAGTATCAAATAAGACATTTTATCTTATACTATAACTGATTTCTCCATGCTTACTCTACCTTAACCTGGGAATCTACATGTAGATTGTGTCATTTCTTCCAGAATTTGAAATAATCCAGTTTTAACTGCTTGTAGAGGAAACTAGGATCAGCCCTTTAACTTCCAAGATCTAATTAGTAATTAACCTTACCGTCTGCCATACAGTTCTTGTGATGTTAGTTTAGAGAATTTGGTATTGGATCAATTACTAATCCTTTAACTGATACTTTTTTTTTATTCTCATCACTTGTCTGCTTGATATTGTGTTGATATCATAAGGAGAAATTCTGTCTTGGTCACTTAGGGGAGTTAAAGGGTTTGTTGTGGCTGGATGGACCATTGGGCTCCAGTACAGAGTTTTCTTACCTACCTAACTTCTCTTAAAAACTATGGGTTCCCTTAGTACCATTAGCTAAACATGGAAAAGGGTCGAGTATTCCAGTTTAAAAAACCCTAGCTAAGGTGTGACTCTTCTAAAGTTGTTTGAGGCACAAGTGAACGCCTGGGCCTGGTTACTCAAATTGCAAAGACCATTATGATTCAAGTTAGCAGCCCTGTTCCATCACAAGGCACTCTCTTGTAAATGCTCCTCTCAAATTTGTATGTTTTTTTGTTTCGTTTTTACTAGCTCCCCTAAAGTGTAAGCACCTTCATTCCAGTAAGCCCTGAATTCCAATAAGAGCCCTTGTTCTGTTTCAGTGATAGCTCTACTAGAGTACAATGTACATTCCCCTACCAATGTAATGTTATCAACCTGAATATTTGTTTCTTTTTCAGTTTCTGTTATTGTTCCTTTTTTAATAAATATCAAAGTTTCATTATGCACTTTCTACTGTTTCTCAAAAGCTAAGTAAGCATCTTGTCCTTAAGAAGTGCTCTGCCTCAAGTAAGCACATTCCTCAGAGATACTACATGTATTTGTAAATAAATAAGGACATGGGCCCTAAATTAAATCATTAGCCCTCTAAATCCCAGAAGTGATGACCATGTAACTTCTCCCTATAGTATTCATACATTACACAGCAAACAGGTAGTGAGAACACTCAAACTCATCAGATACAATTTATTACTTTGATTAAACACCTAATTCTCATAATCAATCTACAAGGAAATGTGTAGTAGCTAGAGGGGGGAATTAGCAATCAGATCTTGGGAGTTAAAGGGTTAAGTTAAGTAAAACCGGGGTTAAGGTAAACTTCATCTTCAGTCTTATATACTGTACACTTGCAAAGAGTTTCCTTATTCGTTTCTCATTTCCTCTAGTTCTTGCCCTGCAGTGGAAATAACCAAATAGAACATTAACATTCATATGTATTTTTATAATTATATAGGACATCAAAACCAAATACAAATTTGGGAATTTCACAAAGTTTTAGCGATAGAATAAAACTCAGTTTCAACTTTGACTCATTTTGATTCTTCACTGATGACCAAAATTTATACATATGGGTATTTGTGTTGTCAGTAATATAGCCCCTCTTTTTTATGGGTCGGAGTACATGTAGTAAGATTCATTTTCAAATTTATTCCCCATTGGAGGCCATTTATCCAAACATAGGTCATATTAATTATTAACCAGCCAGAATAATAAGTTTGTTTCCGACTTCAAAAAGAGTGTCAATAAGTGTTATTCCAGTTGGAGGATTCCTGGTCTTTTTTTATGATAATTTAAGGACTAAAGCAGTTTATACAAACACAGAGCTTTGTCAGTTTAGTATTTAAAAATTCTAGATATCTAATCTAGAGTGAAATTCAGACTGACATTATTTTGTTTACAATCAAAACACAAAGCTTTCTTCCAATCAGTTTCATTTGAATATCAAAAACTTAGAAGCATCAATATTCAAAGGTTTTAGTACAGGCAGGTGTGAATTAAATTTAGTTTATGAAAATGTTTAGCTGCATTGGCAAGAAGACTAGGGTCAGAAGAAAGTATAACACACTTTGGGTGAGAATTCCTTTATGACAAAGAATGTTTTGTAGAAGTTTTCTTGTGTAGTGCAGCCTACATTTAAGCCTATATCTGGTATTGGAAACTGCCATAAACAACCAAAGAAATTAGAATTCAAGACTTGGACTAAATATTGATTTTAGGTACAAGCGCAGTCTATAACCATGGCTGTTTCATGAATTGTACCATCCAATTTTTCTGGTAGCACTAAGCCTATTGTGAAGAATTACAGTCATCTATATTACATACAGTACAATCATACACATAACCTCTAACCCTAATTATGACAACATCATATACATTGGTTTCAATCTTTGAAAATTTATTCCTTTCCTTAGGGTGACAGAGAATTTGAGAGGGAAGTGGCAAGATTTAACCAGTAAGAATTTCAACAAAAACAATCTTACTATAGCAGAACACAGGCATCAATTGTTATACCTCGTCCATTGTCATATAGTATTACTAAAAACTTTCACATCACAATTTTTTTGAGCCGTACATAATTCCTAATTAGAGTTGATAGACCAATAATTTATTCTATCACCTAGCCACCTGTTTTTGTTGGTAATCTCACCTATATTTTCTTGAGCAGACGAAGAAGCCCCTCTTTAAGTAGTTAGCAATCTTTCTTAAGTTTGTATTTATGTTTTGTGAGTAATTTTTTTATTTACATTCAGATTAGAGGGAGCAACAAAGAAGATTTACAAAGACACTAGAAAACATGGCGATGCTCTTTCAGGTGAATTGAATCATTTGACTTGTACTTACTAGTTTTGGGAATACAAGAGGTAAATAATTAAATTTTACTCTTTCTTATTTTTTTTCTTTTTTTACTTTCTTCTCCATTTCAGCCCTGTCAAAATCTGAGCTACGAATTTACCAGGATCTTGCAGCAAGTCCAGTTTCTCAGGAAGAACTGTTTGGGGAACCTGTAAGACATAGTATTTCACTGCTACTGTTACTAATGTAGGTATTCAAAAGGAAATCTGAGAGCTGCCAGTAATGCCAAAATACAACCAGTCAAGATGACTAGTACCCTCCAAAAAATGTTTGAAACAAGTATCACTTTTGTCAAATAGTTTGAGAGTGTCTTCTTCAGTGAAGTTGTTTGTCAACTAACGCAGTCAAAATAAAGAGTTAGTGATTACTTGAATCCTGTAAAAGATTTAGTTTTTCAGTCTTTATACCAGCCAATTTTCATTCAGTTCAACCTAGTTTTACTTAACGTGTTTTGCAGCTGCTAATGGGGCATTAGGAAACTACAATGTAACAAGTGACTGGTGAAATTCAGCTGTACTTCAACATAACTGTTTCTCTCTTTATTAAGAAATAACTATAATATTCTCTCTCTATCAGTCAAATGTACATATAATTTTTTTTGTTATTTTTATTGTTTGAATACAATCATTATTGTAGTTGTTTCTCAGAAGAATTGTTTAAATTTTAATTTGATGTCTCCTGACTGCTGATGTATGATTCTTGACTGTTGTTTTCAGGTTCAAGAGTGCACAGCCTGTGCAGAAAAGCTGGATGAGCTAAGACAAGAACTGGTGAGTAAATAGGAAAAATAATATGCTGAATGTTATTGACAAATTCTGAACTTATGATTTTTATATTTACTACTGACACTTCTTTTTGGCTGTCTCTACAGCTAAGTACTTCTGTTACATGTTGTGAGTTTTATTCTATTTACATATATTAGATAAACAATCTAAGTTAATAGCATTTCTCAACGCATCCTGAAATTTGTCTTTTTTTATATTGGATTACATCTAACAGGCAGGTAGAAATCAGAAGACTATAACGGATCCTATGAAAAAGTAAGGTTAATTTCATGTCACTGTATGTAATATATTTTTTTGGATGATATTTTTATTTTATTTATTGATGTATCTCCTGATTTTATTTCATTATATTTGCTATTGCATAAACTTGTTTACAATTATTAACTCATCTCATCATAATATCAGTATGCATATTCTCCATACTGTTCTCTATACATTTCCTAAGGTACTGACAAAGAGAATTTGTTTAACAATCGAGAGCTTCTTTAGTTGGTGATCATTTCCTTTGTTCTCATGACCAGGCGTGATATTCAAAGGAGAAATTACTAGATGCTAGTCAATCTAAGGGGTCCGATGCATAATCATGTAGAATTTTACATAGATAGCATGGAATCTAATTAGTTTTGTAAGCCTAGGTACCCTTTATCGAAAGACAGAAGACAGCAGCAGATAACATTTTGATAAGGATTCTTTTCTCAGGACTGATTTCTAGACAATTGATGTTTAGGGTGTTTTTGTAGCATTTATTTCAATTATAAATGCTACAAAGCATTCTGAGTATTTTTTGTCAATGGTTTAAATAACTCAGTGCAGATGTCATTAATGGGTATCTAGTGGTTTCATACCCATGGTCGTTTCTATTAAAAAAATATGCTCTGTATCTGGTGGAAATATGACTTCCAGACCCCACATTTTTGGTACTGGGTCTAAAATTTATCAGCTGTGTATCAAAAATGGGGGCAATATAAACCAAACTTAATTAATGCAGGTGGTATTTCTATTTAGCATAAGGAACTGACCTTATTTTAAACATACATAACAATTGAAAACCTACACCAACCTGTAATTGGTACAGGTATGAAACAACTCAATTGACTGGGTACAAATTGTCCTAGCTTAGTAAAAATCAACAGGGTAGTCAATGATGAAACCTATTGTAAGAAATGACAGGTAATCCAGTATTGTGTGTGAAATTAACTTGAATATATAATGTGTCAAACTCACTTTGATAATTTTCTTTTCAACTCTGACTTGTCACCTGGCAAGGTAACAAATGTGATCAAACTGATGCATTTGCCTTAGGTTATATTATTTTCCTTAAATGAATGTCATTTATTATTTTTTAATGATTTATTTATAATTTATTGATTCATAAATTATAATCATTAAAATGATTAACATTGGTATTAGGCTATTTTATGGAAGAAACTGCACACCATGAAGCTTGAAAGACAATCTTTTTGGAGAAAATAATAGTTTGGAGAGAATTTTTTTGCCCTAATTTCCTTCAAAGTCTTTAATACTGTTGCAGTTGAAGTGATAATAAAGTAATGGCAGTTCAGCTATAGTATAATGAGGATCTGCAAGTGTTATTTGTTACCACTGGAAGGTTAAAATATGAATTATTTTATCTTTTTGTGATTTACCCTATCATGGAGCTAATTTAGTGACCTTTTGACCCCTAAAAGTAACTAATATCTAACTTTTCCTTGCAATATCACCCCTAAATCAAATGCTAAGGTCAGCAGAACAAAGAGAATGATCACCAACTAAAAAAGCTCTTGATTGTGGAAACAAATTTTCCTTGTCGGCACCTTAAGAAATATATGGAGAACAGTATGGAGATTATGCATACTGATATTAGGATTTACAGTTATAGAGTTTCAACTTGAGTGGGTTATTTGAAGTTGACTAGAGGTACTGCAAAATCAATGCCAAATTATAACTCTAAAAACTAACTAACAACATCATATCATGATGGCACGAGGTTCTCTGATTTTACAGTGTCATATGACCTCGTAACTAGCCTTTCATGTAGTTTGTCAAAAAATTTCCTCTTCATCATAGCATTTAACCCTTACGGTACATTCAGGTTTAGCGGAGTGTTCCCAAGTGTGAATGCAGCAGTAAAGAGACGGGATCAAGCCCTTCAGGTCTGTGAGCTCTTTTTCCTCCTGGAACATCTCTCTTTATTTTCCCTTTGCTCTGAAAGCTGAAAATATAGGTTAAAATTCACTGAGTAACAAGACATGTAATTTAAGCACGAAAGGTAACAAATATGATATAGCTTTGTTTTACAATGTAAGCCGTTTTTTGTCAAGGGGTTACATTACCGTTTATAGGGTGTTCTGTATTTCAATATGGTATCTTCAGGACTTGATTCAAAGGAGTTGAAGAGTTACAAGTTCCCTTTTTATATCCTAGTAGATGGTCGTTTTGGTTTTTTTCAACAACCCTATCAACACAGGGGCAAAGTCACGATTTTTCAAAAGGGGGGGGGGGGGTCACATTGTGTCAAACAGAGGGTACTCGCCAGTTTTTGTTACCTGAATATTGTAAGTATTTCGCTTAAAAAAGGCTTACAAAGGAGGAGGATAGGGGTTACGGGCACCCCAGGACCCTCTCCCCTTGCTACGCCTTTGCATCACCATTAGGTAAGAGTAAGGTGAAGTCTGTACTAAAGCCAAATGGCTTTACCATTTCATCATGCATCCCTGGCAATTTGCCGGTACCCATATACACTCCGGGGTGGAGTGGGCACTGTAGGAGTAAACTGTTTTTCACAAGAACACAACATATTGACTCAGCCAGGTTTTGAACCCAGACCTCTGGACCCGGAGTCCACCGCACTGACCAGCAGCCCACTGCAACTCCGCATCGTCACTAGTATCTATCACCTGTCCAAGCGCCACGTAAGGTCTCAGAAGGAAAATGTTCAGAGCAAGTTGCTTTGTGTTAGATATGTAAATTTTTACTTAAATTCGATGAACGTGCAATTCCCGTTTTAACTTTAGGATTATCAGAAATATCAAGCTAAAGTGCTGAAGCTGCAAGACAGAGAAAAAACTCCACAGACTCAAGCTAAACTGGATGCGGTAATAGCCAGCGACTTGTCTACCTTTCACTCTTTTTACCAATCCTTCTTTGTGTAAGCTGTTGAACAAAAAGAATCCATGAACAAATGCTCAATAATAGATCACAAATGACGTCAAAATATGGTAAGAACCAAAAAAAAAAAAAAGTGGCACACGACGTACAACCGAGTGATGTTCTTGCTATATTGTACTTTAACATCGCTACTATGGCAATGTTAAGAATTAATGCCAGTCGAAGATTGGAATACTAGATGACACCGGATCATAACTGAGGTTAATCAATACTTGTGTTTTACTTAGAATAATCAAGCATTAGCAGCAGCCAAACTGGATTATGAAAGACAAAACGCCGTCATGTTGGAGGTATGTCGCTGAGTTATCAAACTTTACATGATTTTGGTTTGGAAAAACGAACTTGATCGTGATATATTCCCCATTCCGCTCCAGATGGGATCTGTATCCACCTAACCAGATGTAATTGAAGTGAGAATTTGTTTTACAATCGAGATTTTTTTATCGGTGATCATTTCTTTTTTGAACCTTTTTTTTAACCTTTATGTGTGAGTCAGGGGTGATGTTGTGAGGAGAAGTAAGATGCAGACTTAAGGGTCTGAGGGCTAGCCCTTTAAATCCCAGAAGTGATTAGCATGTAACTTCTCCCTATTATATCCATACATCATCCAGCAAACAGGTGATGAGAATACTCATACTTATCAGGCATAAGTTGTTATCTTGATCCAACATCAGATTCTCACAAATATTTTACACGGGAATGTGTAGCAGGGAGAGGGGAGAATTAGCAATCACGTCTTGGGAGTTCAAGGGTTAAAACGCGTCCCTGACGCTCGTTATTCATAGGCTATACGTCCCAAATTACTGGTTAGAAGAACAGAGAAAACAAGCATCACCAAACAAACACGTGAAGATATGAATCTCTTGTCCTCTTGGGACCTCTATGTCGACAGATAAGGACAGCAGACAAACGTTTTATGCAGGTGCGCGAAAAAATGTCGTGTTTAATGCAATTTTGTTCCTTTATCGTAGGATCTACCACAACTGATTGATGGTAGGACAGATTACTTTGAACCCTCATTTGAAGCCATGATCCGATCAGGGGTGAGTGAGTAAATGTGTACCTGTTTTAGGATTCATCCCAGGAAGCATAACATGAGGAAACTGTCAAGTCCGAAGAAAAAGAGTAAACGCCAAAAGCACGAAGTAATTTGAAAATAATTGATCGTTTTAATACTTTAAGGTAATTTTCAAATGAGTGTAGAAAGCGTCCGGAAGCATTATTTCGTTATGTGATTAGTCCAGAAATTTCCGCCGCTTTGTCAACCAATCAGATTACAAACCAAAACCGATTGCGACTCGGTCTCCCGCGTTTTCCCGCGCTTTGGGCTGTTTCGGTCTAATTTAGGATGATACGCATGATGTTTGGACGTAAACACCTTTTTATTATTTCGTATACAGGCAAGTTATTACAGTCAGGCTTCGCAAGTCCTTTGCGACCTCACAAACAAACTGGGCTGGAAGAACGAAGAACTCTCCGACGAGGATCGTCAGCAGCAACTCCAGCAGAAACTAGCTGAGATAAAATCGCTGTCCATAGTGGAGGATGGTTGAAAATTAAAAACGAAGTGAAGAAAGAATATGCAAACGAATGTGCGGACTGGAGGACGTGCCGGGTCAAGGATAAAGCTATATACCGAGGAAACGGAACTGGTTTGGTTCATCAGCAAACCTGATTGTCTTATCCACATGTAAAGACATCTCGCGCTAGACTGATGATAATTACCGTCCCATCACTGAAAACAGTTCTTTTTTTCTGGTTTACTCACATCTGGACAACCAGACCACGTGATAAAGAACACATATAGTGAATAAATGAATAAATGTAAATAATGACCTTAAGAGGAAGAAGAAGAAGATTTTTCTCGACACACAAAATTTCTTTTGATTACTCTTTATTTTACTATTTAAACTGCACAATAGTTTATTTTTTACAAAATTGTTTTCTTCCCTAATTTCCTACAGTCTTTGGTAAGATCTAACAAAACCGAAGAAAAACATTTGCAGTAGTAAAACGCCAGGGAACATACTGACAGTACTAGATGGAAACCACATGAGAGAAATACAGAGAAAAAACCTTTTAAGAATAACTATTTCTCGGGCATTGTGGCGCATTTTGCGGGCTAAAATGGAGATTTTTGTGAGCTAATAACTTCTTACTAACCGCGCGCGAGGGAATATTGGCCCCGGGCTCGTGGTAAAAATGATCGAGGGTCATATTCCCCAGTAACGTCGTCGTCCATGTTGTGAACAGTCGTTTAGTGAATTGTTTGTTAGTTCCTATGGCATTTTCGTAGAGTAAGGTGCCAAATACTCATGAAAGTAGTTTCCCTAATTACAGATTCATTACTCGACTAGTTAAATTACAAACATAATTTTGACACGAAACATGAAAAAAAAATTATCATTAGAGTGAAAAATGAAATGAAGTAATGATTCTCATAATAACCAGGAGATTTTCTTTTGTTCTGATCGGTTATTTACGCAGTCGGTCAAATGCGCTCCAACACAACAGAGAAGTTGGAATACTCTACACCTCGTAAAGCACATTCATCTTGATACGTCCTTTCAATATATTACAAAAAAAAAAAAACAATGCTATTTTTTATTCACACACACACATCGTCCAGGAGCAACCTGAACTTGTTCAAGATGCGAATTTTGACGAGCTCGTAGGGTGAATCATAAAAAAAACAACAAGTAAAAATACTCAGCGATACTACACACCCAAACGTCTCATAAGGTATATATATCACAAGATATTATTACTCTATTCGCGCATAATTTGTACTCTAGATCTACTTTGCGTGGTTGGATAACAATGATATGTACGTGGCTGTTTATGATTCAAGTACCTCCCGGACATATCTGTTCACAAGGAATAGTTTCATCATAACCATCATCTGTTGAAAGACAATGGCATTGACTATAACTCTGAAATTTGTTCCAATATAATGACTCCTAAACTTGACCGTTTTTCTTTCTATATCTCCACAGAGTGCTGTAGATCCCAACGCACTTGTCCTTCATGAACTTGGTACATCGCCTGACCCACCGAAAGAGTCCTCTCGGACAATTGAGGCATCCCAGGGGACTTCTTTCCTTTGTTACACGCCTGCGATAATTTCAACGACAGAAATTCTCACATAAATTATTCTTCTCTTGAGAATATCCAGTGTTGTTTACCCCCAAATCGGCTTATTTTTCACTTCAAAATGGCGTTCATACGGGGAAGACGCAACCAGCGACTATCGCGCAATCTTAGAACCGCTGCTGTCTCTGGTCTATTCATCGCACTCGTGTTTCTTTACTTGCTTATCGCCTTGCTAGGCTGCAAGTTTCGTACAAAGGAAAAGGCACCCCCACATAATCCATAGAAGCTCATTATGAATAAAATTGTAAACATAGAGACAAACAAAGAGATAGCACGGGTCGAAAAACAGTTTGTATCCTTTTGCTAGACTGGGAAGACAATTTTGAAGTGGAATTTTACCACTACCGCGGAGGAACGAATAATTGCCCTGATGAGAGCTCTTTCGCCGGCTTATGTTCGAATTGGCGGTACTCGCAGCCACTATGTAATTTTTCAGTCTCGGGGAGAAGAAAAGAGAGAGCCTTTTGGGAAACAAACTTTGATTATTTCCGGCGAAGATTAAGACAGGATCAACCAGATCGCAAACACGGCCGGCCTTAAAGTAGTTTTCGGTTTGAGCCTTATGAAAAGATTCAAAGACGGCTCGTGGGATCCAAGCAACGCCTTAAGAATAATGACGTATGTCGCTAAGAGAAGATATCAATTTGGATGGCAGCTTGGCAACGGTAAGAGAAGGACGCGTAAATTAGCTTATTGCTGCTTTTAATTATTGAAATTGTAACATTACTCATGCATTTAATTGAACCTCACAGTCAGATTTTAAGTTGCACTATAATTTCCCTCTTTACAAGCGGAGACCCATATACATAACCTGCTGAAACGAATGATTGTTTGCTCATGCGCAAGCGTGTTATTTTCTTCTACTTAGGCTCTCCGGCTTCAACAGATTATTAGGACAAACGAGCTCTATAATCGAATAATAAAACAATAAACTTCATCATCGTGATAATACAGCGAATTCTAGAAGATACAGAGACTAAAAGTTTACTTTAAATATCAAAAAGACTAAATATTACATAAACCAAAATACGTTTTATTTTACCCCACCTTTCAAAGGAGTGTAATGAAAATTGTGTACGGTATTGTAGAGGTTTTCATAAGGCCCCCAAAATGTTTACTTTATCTTTCGCATCAAAATGATTAAGACTTTTTCTTTGTCTGCGGCAGAACCTAATCATCTACAACTGCTACCCTTCGGTTTCGCTATTTCGCCTGAGCAACTGGCTAAGGACTTTAAGAAAGTTAGGACGCTGTTGTCACAGATCCATGGCATCAACAACTTTCTTGTTGGACCAGATGTAACACAGCCTCGACTCGTTTATTACCTCATAGGTTTATTATTCATCGTGTACTCTTTATTATTCATCGTTTATTACCTCGTAGGTAATAAACGATGAATTCTGACTCCTCATCTTCAAACAAAACAGGGGATTTCCATGTCCTATCCTGAAAAATACAGGAGATTCGCGTCTCATGTCTTGAAATGAAATAGGGTATTCCAATGCCTTCACCCTCAAGGGGAAAACTCTCCGTCTTGGCCTAACTGGGCTCGTGTTGCATAATGGTTTTTCGGGTTCATGAATCTTAAAGCGAAGTTGGATTTAAACAGAGGAGCATACACCTACTTTTATGTGATTCTAATGTTAAAGACATCAGTCAACGGGAAATCAGGTCACAATTATCCATATCTAAATCTTAGGATTTCAAATATGTTTTCCTTCCATGCTAAATGCAACCACAAATACTGTTGATTGTGTAGTCTGGTCTTCCGGGTTGTTCAGAATGATGTCTGTGACTCTGACTGATGTATCGCCGACCTGACTGGAATTCATCATCAGAGTCCACTGATTTCTGCTCAGGTTGTAGAAACGTTAAACACATGCATTCATGGGAGATAGTCTTTTTTTGTCAACCTCTTACACTCTAATCAGTGTCTTCCGATTTCTTTAATCTGCTGCCTTGACTAAATATTCTTCATTAGGCTGGTACTTGCAGCTAAAAATATTTTCTTTGTGACTGAATAGGTTTCTTGAGAACGGCGGCTCTACCCTCGATTCAGTAACTTGGCATCAGTAAGTGAAAACAACACTTCATGTTAGAGTCATCTCTTTTTTCAAAACTCATGAAGTTTTCCTTTGAAGCAGAGGCTCATAAGTATTAAAAAGACCTCGACTAGGCCGAGACGATCGCAAAATGGTTAGAAACTGAATATAGCTCGTGTTTGATGGTCGCAGCTCTATATTCTTAGCAGAATGAAGGCGAAGATAATTTTATCACCAGACGTTTCAAAATTATTGTTTCCTCATAGGAAATTCGCGCTTTTTGATAAAGTCACCTTTCTTCAAAATAATTGCAGTTTGACTTTGAAGTAGAAGCTCATAAGCTCAAAAGTTATGCCTCCTCATAAGAAATTCCCACTTTTTGATAGTCATCTTTTTTCAAACTGCATGCATTTTGACCTTGAAGTAGAAGCTCATAAGGTCGAGAGGTTTCAACCGGGCCGAAATGACTAAAGACTGAATATAGCTCTTGGTTGATAGTCGCAGCTTTGTGTTGTAAGATAAGGGTGAGGAGAAATGTATTACCAGACTTTTCAAAGCTGTTACCTCCTCATAGAAATTCCCACTGCGTGAAAAGATTACTTTAAGAGAGAACATCTTCAAATTTCTTTTTTACCTCGTTGAATCTCCTTTATAAAAGGTTCAACATAGCGCTCGACCGAAGTGACATTCATTCAGCCAGAGCTCATGAGGTTTCCATGAAGCGACCAAGAGTATTGTATGTAGGCGCAAGAATTTGTACTATCATTTTTTGTTAGTGTTGGTGTTTCATAGTTTCGTGTTAGGTGTTTATTTTCTCGTCTTCCATTAGTGTCCTTTGTCAGTTACCAGTTTTGTACTTGACATTCGTATATTCAGCGTAATTTATTTGGTTAGTTGTCTAGTTTGTGAAAATTAGAGCTCTGAGTTTCATGTTTTCGTCTTTGGTTTGGTCACATTCGTCTTGTAAGTATCCTTGTTTACTTTGTCGTTTTCCAGTACTTTCACTCATACGATGTAAGTTATTTTATGCTCATTCGCGTGATTGTAATTTTGTCATTTTCAGTTACCGTATTCAACAATGTGTCAAGTTTGTTCTAGTAAAGTTTGAAATACGAGTGATTAGCGTTTGCGGCTATATTGTATACTCCCATAGATAAGACTTTGGTGGGTTTCGCTTTGTTGCCGATGTAGCCATTTATACTTTCGAATTGAAGGAGGATATTAAACAATTGTTCTCCTAGCGCGCGTCGGATATGAGACTACGAGCCTCGTTGGCTATAATCATCTCATATCCAACAAGCGCGAGTAGAATAACTGTTTCATTAAAACGCCCCAAATGTATATAAATCTTCCCAACTATATTTTGAAAGAACAAACGGAATGTTACAATGTTCAAAAACACTTCTCGATTAACTCGTCTTCGTGCATGCGCATAGTCTAATGACTCATAACCCATGCTGGCTAAGCGAATGAAAACTCTTGAATTGCATTATCCAATGATCCAGTTTTTCATACAAACTGATAGAAACTTTATTATCATATAAAGAGAAAGATTGAACCTGATCAACAAAGACCCCCGACTTAATAAAAGCGCCATAACTTTCGAGAGGGATCAAGAACTTCACACGAATAAATATCATAAGAAAGAAAAAACAGCTATTCGCTATTTTAGCTGCAAGTATATATATTCCCTTTAAGAAATTCATATTACTCTGTAGGCCCCTGTTTAATTTACTTAACTGATCGAAAAAACATGCCATTTCTTTATTTATTGAAGCAAAACTTGTGCCTGTCACCTTCTTATGCTACGAAATTTAGTTCTCGTAAGAACTCTTGATAAAATGTACTTAGAAAGACTAACTCGCATTTTGGTGTCAAAATTTGGATATGGATACGTAATGAATTTTAAATTTTTTTCCAAAAAAATCGATCAAAAAAGAAACTAAAAAAACTTTTATTTGATATTCTGAAAAATGAAGATTCCTATCTCGATGTTAAGAATATCTAGATTTCTTCATGGAAAGTGCTGACGTATGATATTTACCCACAAGGTTGTTGTCAGAAACGAACGAGCAAGGCTTTGCGAGCAAGTGAGTTGAACTTGAACTTTCTCAAGGGCAATCTCGAGCCCAGGATCATTTTGGCTCGTTGTCAGGGGTATGATCGCCAAATAATGGGCTCTAGGAGAATGGAATTTTTATCCCTGAAATCGTGGGATTCCGGTTTTAACTGCGCATGTCTACATTGTTTAGTTATTGTTTCCGGTTAACTTCTGCGCGTGCTCAAAATATAGCACACGGTCCGCTACGCCAGCAGAAGAAGAGATGAACATAAATTGCTTTTGTGTACTTGAACTTCGGACTCATCGTAACTAATCAAAAGTGTAATTTATAAACCAGAAGAAAACACCGAGACTTTTTCCAATATGCCATCCAGTGCTCCTGGAAGTTTGGTAGTTAAAAAAAGGGATAAGTGATGGCCTTTTACGAAGCTTTTACGCTTTTTCCAGGTTCCCGCGCGGGGTAAATCGTCTGCAAGCTAGTTAGTTGGTAAAGATGGACTTTGAGGGGGTAAATTTCATCTTCTTTAGGGGAACTGGGCTGAGAGGAAATGAAAAAGGAACAACGTCAAACTCTTGAAGCGATTGGTTTAGATTCCAGAGAAGTTCTCTCGCTACTACTCTTGATGCAAAAGCTGATGATTGTACAGGTGACTGCACTTGAGCCGGGATGACTACAAAACAAAGAAAAACAGCAATCTTTTGCAACTCTTATAAAAACACTCATTTTGTTGCCCCTGACAAATGTAAGGAGCTTCACATTTCTTTTGCTTCAGTTAGTCATAAGTTCCCTCCTGTAGTTATCGGAGGAGAGTGCATAAAGGTTGTTACTGATACTAAACTCTTAGGCGTAACTATTTCAAGTGACCTATCTTGGAACGTGCATATCACAGAAGTGATAAAAAGGGCAGCCAAGAGGCTCTGTTTTCTCATCCAGCTCAAAAGAGCCCGCGTTTCTCGGAAAGATCTTTGTCTTTTTTTACATCACGTGTGCGCTCTGTTAACGATTAAGCTGTACCTGTGTTTCATTATGCTCCACCTGCCTACTTAATGCAAGAACTAGAGCGCTTTCAGAAAAGGGCAATGTGAATCATCTACCCTGAAATGGAATATCAGCACGCGTTAGCGCTAACGAAATAGCAAATACTTGCAAGCGTACTTTTGAAAGTATTTTCAATGACAGCGGCCAATGACAGCGGAAATTACTGCCGCCCCCACATGAGAGCAAGTACAATCTTAGGCAGGCGCCATCTTTCAGCATACCCCGCTGTAAAAAACAAACAGATCTAAGAATAGTTTTATTATGGCTTTATGCGCCCTAGTGAATACTGTTTAAATTAATAGACTTTAACAATATGATTTCAACAAAATGTTTATAGTTTTTTTTTAATGTTTTAGATATTACTGTCATTAGCTCTTAGGTATTATTCAATTTGTAAGTTTGTACATTAAATTAGAATTTTAATGAAAATGCGTAAGCTGCGATGTATTTCAATAAGGGATCTATCTATTTTATATATTGTTTTCCAATCAACCAATCACAAAGTTAAATAATTAGTTCTCACGCTGCGGTGCTAGTGAGAGCTTTTCTACAGGTTTCATTCCTATCACAAACAATTTTAATTTATTTTTCTTCATTTTCACATCATGGAGATGGCTTTCTTACGTGGACGACATCAGCTAACACGTTACTGCAAACTTAGCAGCCGTAAGGCTGCCATTCTCTCGTTTATCATCATCGCAGTCGTGATTATCCACTTCTTTATGGACTCCCGGGATTTCAGCAGAGTTAATTTCCACGCACCTTTATCTGGTCGAGCCAAGGTCACTGTGACTAAAATTGTAAACATAAAGATGAGAGAAGAGATTGCGAGAATCGAAGAACACTTCGTATCCATTTGCCTGACTTGGAGGACAATTTTGGAGTGGAATTTTAACTATACCACAGAGAAACGAATCATTACCTTGATGAAAGCTCTTTCGCCGGCTTATGTTCGAATTGGCGGTGATCGCAGCCAGTTTGTGCTTTTTCAAGCCGTGAAAGGAAAAGAAAATAAACTTCTTGGGATAAAAACTTTTAATATATCAGGCGAAGAGTTAGACAGGATCAACTGGGTCACAGAGATGGCCGGCCTCAAAGTAATTTTCAGTTTGAATTTTTTTAAAAGGTTTGTGAATGGCTCATGGGATCCAAGCAACGCTTTAAAAGTAATTAAATACGTCGCAGAGAGAGGATATAAATTTAAATGGGAGCTTGGCAACGGTAAGAGAAAGATATGTTAATTGTCATATTGATCGTACTGCTTTAAAATGCAGGGTAGTCTAACTCATGAGGTTAATAAAACCTCAAAGTCAGATTTCAAGAACTATATCATTACCTGTTGCTTTGTTATACTCCTAATAAGATACATGAAAAAAGTACTCAGTTCTGATTGGTTACGACAAATGTAGTTTTCAGGTAATTCAGTGCAGAAGAGGGTTAATTCAGTGCAAAGAAGTAACAAACCAGACATTCTGATTGGTCAATTATCAAAGAAACCCACAGATATCCAATCAAATGCGAGCCTTGGATGTCGCAACATGTGGCTACGCTGAAAATTTGCGAGCGAAACAATGGCCGGCGTTTTAAGTAGGTTTTATTTCGCCACCGCAACAACAATACAGCAGCTGAAAAACAGTTCTTACAACGAAAACAATGTAAAAAGCATTGCTTTTGGTCGTCGGTTTGGAAAAAGAGGCGTTTAGAGAAGGGAACTGCCGAGCAAATCAAGAATTACTAGCCGACCCAGCTTGAAACTTTGCTTGAGCAATCCTACGCCGAAACTAAAAAGAAACATGGTTAAACCTCGGAAACGACGATTCCATTTCATCGAAAGTGATTCGGACACAGACTGAACAATTCTTTGAACTGTTTAGCCGGACTCTGAATTCTTTTGCGCGTTAAATATATGAATACATGATTTTTCTCGTGCAATTTGGAATAAATAAGCACTTGCTGATTTTTTCAAAGACCGCAGATTGTGCTCGCCCTATGGGCTCGTGCAATTTTGTTAGTCTTTGAAAAAAATTACTCGTACTTATTTATTCCAAATTGCACTCGAAATAATGTGATTACCTAGACTAATTACAAATGAAGAACCATCTAAATGGCCTGCAGAAACGAATAATTGTCTGAACATGCCTACACGTGTTTTGCTGTAATGGATAATCCACGTTGCCCGATTTTTCCACGTAGATCATTACCATAAACTTACGGAGACGATTCTCGTAAATGATTAGGGAAACCAAATTTGGCCATCAAATCATAAAACGATTATTGAGTACGACAGTTCCAAAACGTCGTGAATTGCAAGAGAAGATCCACTCTTTGGAAATTGTCAACGGCGAGGAAACCCACAGCTTGTCAAAGCCGATATTTTGCCTAGCTTCACTTACTAATTATCAAACTTTCTAATGTCTTGCGTTGTGTGAAATAAGGAATCTCATCTGCCAATTTAATGCGACTAGAGTGTTGTTTAGCTTAAATCACGAGTCGCACATTTGGGTTTTGGTCATTCGTTTCTGGTTTCTCCCAATCACTGCGTTAAGTATAACTTTCTCTCATGCTCAGCAAGGCTTAAAAAACTATTTTTAACCCCAGCCCCCCCCCCCCCAACGTTCCAAAGAATGTTTCGGAATTTGAAAACAGATTGCAATGGGTTTCATAGTGCCTCCAAAATGTTTTGCTTTATATCCTTAACATCAACGTATGGAAATGCTTTTTTTGTCTGTGGCAGAACCAAATCACTTGCGTCGCTTTGGTGTCACTATCTCGCCTGAACAACTGGCTGAAGATTTCAAGCAACTCCGGGGGCTATTATCAACAATTCCTGGCGTTCACAATTTTCTTGTTGGGCCAGATGTAACACAGCCTCGAGGAAATGCAATGGGATATTTACAAAGGTGAGAAATATTGAAATCCACTGCACTCAACTTTCTGAAAAATGGGATCGCTATTGCTAAGAGCAATAATTTTGCCAACCTCTTATTCTCCAATCAGCAACTTTTGTTGCCTTGAAAAATAAAGAATGAGTTAGCACTTGAAGCTGATAGTGGTCTCGTACCTAGACCTTTCACAACCAAGTGGTTACATTTCAGTTGTGGTTACACGGTACGATCTGAATACTAGATTAAGCTGATAGATCACTTTTTTGACATTGAACAGGTTTCTTAAGAAAGGCAGCTCTTCCCTCGATGCAGTAACTTGGCATCAGTAAGTGAAAATTATCAAATTAAATCTCTTTTATAAAAGAACTGAGTAAACACTCGAGTCAAGTGAATCACTCTGCCAAAGTTTATCCCGATTTCCGTAGAATGAAACGACTAGGAGTATTACTACTCTCCCCTGGAAAGGAATAGTAATCCATCTCGATCAGGTAGCCCTCCCTGACGGTTCACTGGTACCCATTTATACTCGTACAGGCCCGGGTTTTTCGAAAGGGGGAAGATGTTAATCTTGGATTAAAGTTAACCATGGCTTTTTATTCACATATAGAAGAGCGCGTATAAGACGCCAATTATTGCTTTGTTTTGTCTTTGTTTTATTTCGATATGACTCGAAACTGAGAGGAAAAAGATGGAAAGAAAGAAATCCCTTTGCAAGGCTATGAAACTGAATTAAAAATTTACACTAGCCACGGGTTAGATTCCTCGTGTTTTAAACAACTTAACCTGCAGGTTAAAAAAAGAAAAATGTGAGAGTAAATTGTCTCTTCCGAGAACAAAACACGTTGACACAGCCAGTTCTCCGCCTCAGACCTCTCAACCCAGAGTCAAGCATGCGCACTTGCAAACAAGACTCTGTGTTTCCCACACTAAATTTGGATGTTTGTTTCTAATAGTTACTACGTAAGGGGAGAACATTGTTCCCTTCCACAGTTCTATGTCCCACAAACGTTAGACACATTACTCCGAGACATAAAGGAAGTAGATGAGGTAATCAATCAGTATGCTCCAGGTCTTCCCAGATGGTTCGGTGAAACTGCGAGTGTCAGCGGAGGGGGTGCAGACGGAATATCTGGCAGATTTGTAGCTGGTTTTATGTGAGTAGACTCGTATAAAATCTTAGGACTTAGTGAAGGATCTTAACCACATTAGAAAAGACAAAAATTATATTGAATTTGTGCTGCCATTCTAATTTAAGAAACAAATCTTTAGTAGATGAGTGCTGAGACACTAGAGACAAATTAAGTATTTTCGTACTCTTGGTAGTTCTATGAACATTAGCCTGTACTCAGTAAGATATTTAGTGCTAGAACTATACGTTGGGAGGGCTCGAAAATCATGATGGTAGCAAAACATTTCATTTATTCTTGAGTCAGCAAGTCCTGATTGAAACAAGAGAGACAACCTAAGATAAATATCAGTCTACGTGTAATACAACATGCCAAATCTTAAAATATCAAAATAAGTTACCAAAGGAGGATTCCGCTATGGCCATAGAACGCTGAGTGGGAAAAAGGAATATTTGTAACTCCTCTCGATTCGTAACTTTTTGACGCTTGTTTCCTCTTCCGTCAATTCCGTTTTAGGTGGTTGAACAAACTGGGTATGGCGGCTCAACACGGGTATGAGGTCGTTTTAAGGCAAACGATGTTCCAGGGGCACTACGCGTTAGTGGGACGGCAGGACTTGGAACCAAATCCAGTAGGTCATATGCATTTTAATTTTTAAATTTATTGCAATTCATAAATTTAACCCACGGACGTTAAAGGGGGGGGGTAGGGGTGGGATGAGTACTACCCTCCCTCTCTCTCGGCTTTTCTTATATTTTATAAAGAATGTTATCTAGGCAACTTTAGTCGCTGTTCGTTTATCTTGGAGACATGTTTTCGTGGTCCAAGGGTTGAAATGAGCTACGAAAGAATTACATGTTTTAAGTTGAAAAGGAACGTAGAGCAAGTCTATTATTCATTTTCTGAGTCATTTATTTTCCTGTCAAGTTTGATAGCTACTGTTCTCTTGACAAGCCAAAATCTATTGTAGGAAAGTAAAAAAATCTAAATGAACGTTTTCTGGAAATATGATATTATCGTCCAAATGAATAGCCAGCGAAGCAACTGGAGCTAGCATCGGTCCATTTCAAGGGTGCAAAGATGTCGTTCGAACGTTCTTTCTTAAATTCCATTACAAATATCCAAGAATTAGTTGTTTACCAAGATATAACTTGTTGTCCTTTGAATCTCTTTTAAACTATATAGCGCATCTCTCGATGCCAGTAGAACTGGTATCAATAATAAGAAAACTGGAAAGAGTACCTCGGTCTCCAATCTCTTTTGAGAAAATGCATCCCATAGAAATCCACCGACCACCCCCTAGTTGTCAGGAGTGATTGATATCGCACTCCGCGCATGGATGAATTGTTACCTGATGGAGATTGTATTAGGTCGTGTTAATACTTTTTCTGGCCACTGCTTGGTTACTTTTCCAGTGAATGGACCCTTTAACCTTAAAAGAGATATGCCATGAACATTATACACATAATGTATGGTCCCGAGGGAAACAGTTAGTTTTGTTTTCTTTTGAGTCATGATGTTTCCCTCGACTTTGTCTCGGGAGACATCAGACTCGAGGGAAAACAAAACTAGCTAGTTTCCCGTGCGACCATAAATTAAGTGCTTTGTTATATATATTTAGACTTCCCCTTAAACAATCATACGGTAAAGACATGTCATTGTATTCGGCGCGCGGGCAACGACTACACTATTGTATCCCGGTCGGGATACATTTGAATTTGATCAGATGCACGTGACCAAGAACCAACCAATCGCAGTGCTCGTTTTGTTAAGTGAAGGTCAAGGTATATAACAATTTAGGATGATTCACCTTAGAATGTAACGTTAAAAGCTGCCCAATTTTTCTTGAGTTTAATGCACTTGCAAAAAATTTTTGCACCACTCAGGATTATTGGCTTTCACTCCTTCATAAAAAATTGGTTGGTGCCATTGTCCTTGGGGTCAGGAGCGGTTTGTATCTCCATGAGATGGTGAGAGTCTTTGCCCATTGTACCAACACGAAATCAGGGTAAGATCTCATAAATTGCTTAAAACCTATTTGATAGTTAAACGAGTAGCATGTTACTTAGTATCACATCAATCATTTAAAACATCAGTTTTCGAACCTGAAGGCAGTTTCAGTTCATTTGGAACAAACAGTACATTATATGCGGAAACAACGTATGGTGCGCTTCGGAAGTGACGGTTACGTTAAATGCCAAGCTGATCTCTCATCTTAAAAAAACAGTTACTCTCGTTACTTTTTACCAGAACACCTAGTACTTTCATCGGCAAGTTTCACACTGATAAAAAAGAGCAAATCTAATCATTTTTCCTATAAATTAATTTTGCAGTCTTTACAAGAGGGGTGCAATAACACTTATGGCGATGAACCTACATCCAGAGAGAGAGGCTAATTTAACATTAAAAGATATTCCAGATCACGATATAGATGAATTTCTTTTCACTCCAGATGGAGACATTACTTCAAGGTTGGTTTTTCCTCTCTCTGGACGAAATTTGAATGTAAACCACTTCAACTTAGCAGGAATCATAGGCATCCATTTGATTGATGTAACTCAACTGGAATTCTCTGAGGAAAAATTAATTTTGGGAGTGAATTTCAAATGCAACCTGTAAAGCGCGAGAGATAAACGAGTCGTCAAATAATGATAAGAAGGGGTAAGTTCCCAAAGAAACTGTGGTGCTGCGTCGGTGGGATGTATTACAAGATGATTTGGTTTCATCAACAGAGTTGATCTTGTAAATTGGCCACCACAAAGAGTCTCTTAAGCTGGCGTTTCCAAAGTTAGGGCTTTTATCAACTCAGTTTGTAAAACCAAATTACCATATAATAGTGTTGAACGATCAAACTGTTACTTGTATGAAGTTGAAGCTTATTGACAAAGCTGCGTCACGTACCACATGATGTTTGATCAATGGAGCGTACCATTAATGGCTCAGAACCGGTACAAGTGATGTTAGTTATCAATGCTGGGGAAGAGGGTCGTTGGGCCTTGGATAGAGATCGAATGGAAAGATTGCAACGGTTATTTTGAGTTACCCTTTTCATACAGGAAAAACATCTTTTTGACTGATTGATTGTCAACCCTTTCCAACGGGTCATATCAATTTACCGCCTGCAAGAGAACCTTGTACATGTGACTACTTCTTGGGTTTGATTTATCATGTGAGGGCCACCACAGGGTCAGCTGTTAATTACATCGGAGGCACAGTTCGAGACATAACCATCTCATTTCATTTAGAGAACACGTTTGCATGTACTTTAACGACCACTCACCTCTAGCCATCTTTACCAAAAATTTCTAATTAATCCACCAATATTTTTTCCAGGAGGATAAAGCTTAATGGCAAGGTGCTTGAAATGGGCCCAGGTTCTTTTTTTCCGACTTTTCAGCCAATCAGAATAGCGAGAGCTAATCAGGTGATCCTTCCACCTCTGACGTATGCTTTCTACGTTGTCCCGGAAGCAAATGCTAAAGCATGTTTGGAATCCACAAAGAAACGACCATAAAAATGTTTTTAGAGACTTCAGTGATAGTAAAGTCGTCAAGGTCTACACCGTGGAAATTTCTTATTCGGAAAGTCTAGCATAACGTTTGTTTTTAACCGTTGTGGGACCTTTCACACGCATGATTATCATATTGAGTAATGGAGCACATAACCAAATTTTAATTTGATCAAACTCACGATTAAAATGATAAGTATCACAAAATAACCTACATGCAGTCTTTACATTCTTCCTAGTTATCTCAGTAATTTAGGAACCAGTCATTCTTTATCGTCTGGGGGAGGGTGGGGGATATTTTGAAAACCATGTGATCTTGAGGGGATCATATGGTTTTCAGGAGAAACGGAGCAGGGGGATCAGTCATCCCAAACAGAGTATTAAGGGGGGGGGACAGGAAATTGATTGCCAACTAACTGCCAATGAGGAAGGAATATAAGAATATTACTTATGGAGGAATCAGTAAATTCTCCTATCGTGACACAACCCAAATCCTCCTACCCCTCTCTCTCCCCCCCCCCTCCCCGCGATGACCAGTATCGTGTTTATCCTGCGCTTTAACCTATGTGTTGTACTCTATACAGCATCTTATGTTGAAGCGCGATAAGCTTTCTAAACTTGTCAATCAACTAGTTTTATTTGGAAACAGAATTCTTCAGATTATACATAATAACTGATCATGAATAACTGATTGAAGGAATAGTAAGCATTCATTTTAATTCTAACATTTACAATGGTTTACTGTTTTGTATGGCGAAATATATTTTTTACCTCAACACGTCCGACAAATATAACATTGAAGGAGGATCTACTAAGCTTGCTGGGGTTCGTCTGATTGATTTAATTCTAGTTTCATAAAATTATAGATTAAAAAACTGAAACGGTTGCCTTCAGGAAAAATCACCGTCTCTCCGGCCATTGATTGGTGTGATGACTATGCGTGGAGTTGCAGTCTTTCCTTTCCTCTTAGGACACAAAATGTTTGTGAAACTACGTTTCCTCCGACCAACATATGGATGAAGAACACAGTAAGATAACATGAATCCCATGGCAAGTTCTATGAGCCTAAACGACGTCTCAAATGCAAACCAGGGCCATGGCTTGGGGGTTACAGTCCGGGTATAAACCCCATGAACACCAAATAAAGAATACGCCTGAAGTCCACAGCACAAAATGCTTAGAAGGCTGGTTATCATGGTGATACTGGCGACTTTTTTAACCGCACGCTCTTTTCCTGTCAGAGGAAAAGTAGTATTTGGACTTCTTTGGTTCCTAGCGAGGATGGGCACATGGACTGACAATCTTAAGGGCTTGATGGATTGAACTGCAGCCCCATGGTCACTGGGGGGCCTAGCAGGCTCGATCGTGAAAGCTGAATTTGGATCACCTTTACCCAGATCGGTCCCAGGTTGGTTCTGTCGCTTGGGAGCTTCTTCATTATGACCCCCATGGTCCTTTCCCGGTGGCCAAGGATCAACGGTGGTCTGAGGAAGCCGGGTCAGTTGGTGCCACTCAGCGTTTTCCATTTCGCAGATTTTGTTTCGAATATTGATAGTTGTTATGACAACTCTTGATCCACTGTACATGAAGCAGATGGAATTAAGAAGCCCCCATACGATGAAGAATGATTGACAAACAATCAAAAGTTCTGTTCTGTCTGCTTTGATTGCAGTGGTCGTATCTGACACAAGGACCACAGCAAAATGCACAAAAATTATACATCCCACGAAAAGGGGATTTTTGAGTTTCGGTGAGCCAACCTGAATCTTCGCAACCTCCAAGAAAGCAACGTGCACAAGGCAAAATGCAGACATGAGGCAAGGAAAGGCGATACCAAAGAGGGGTCTCACAACCCACAATGGGCAGTTAGGAATGTTTTCCTCCGATTCGTACGGGTCAATCCACAGATACAAACTTCTTGTAGTTCCTAATGCTATAAGAAGCAAGTTGATTGAGTAGAAAAGATTCATTCCTGCAAAATTATTGATAATTTCGGGAGAGCGTATTACTGCCCACAGGGACTTCAATGCTAAAAGGGCAAAAGCCAGACCCAGTCCTATCCAGTGAAGCTTCCATAGCCATCCCCATTGCTGCTTAGCAGTGATCCAAAAAGGGCCTGGCTCCGGCGCTGCAGTGTCACGTCCTGGAAAGGCCACATCCTCTCCTCTGGGAGTTCGTTCCGTATTTGGCGCTGCGATAACGTTTGGTATAAATATGCACGCGACACATAGAAACTTAAATCCTGAAAAAAAAAAAAAAAAAACAGAAAAAAAAAAAAAATTAAAGAGCAGCTTTAAATGGCTCTTTCTTATCAGTTCCTTGAAAATTGTTGATGAAGGAAAATTGATGATGAAGGACTTAAAAAAGTTTTTCAAGGATGAGGATCTTATCTAGTAGGAGTTTCAGTACTCCTGTTTCCCAAGGAAAACGGGATATTCGTCAGAAGTGCAACTCAGTCACTTGTGAAAATTTCAGTTTTGTAGAAAAAACTCACTAGCCTCACCTTTGAATTCATTGACAATCATTTTCTTGTTGAATTAAGTTTAGGTTGATTGCCTATAACTGCCTCTGTATGTTCAAAGAATGATCTGAAGGAGAGGAAAAAACAAGACAACACAAAACATTCAGGTTAAACCATTTTGAGTGTTACAGCGGCGCACGATGTAAGCCGGTGTAATGCCGTACATCATCCTGAAAACATGACATTATGCCAAGAATCATGCTTCAAATTTTTAATTCAGCTCAATCAGAAGCATGTAATTTCAATTCTATTATTCATGATAGTAGCTCTTACGAGCTCCCCAATCTCCCCACCCATTCCCTCCACTAACGGGTAAACCTCTCTCTGAATAAAAGGCTTACCGAAGTTCAGAACACAACATTTTTACTGGATCAAACAGGTGCAAGCAAGAAAAGCTGGCTCACTGTTGACAGTACTTCAGCTTCATAGTTTGCTTCATAGTTTGTCTTCATTGAACTGTAAAATCAAGGGAATGTCTAAGAATTTTAATTATCGTGCTGCATTATGCTCGATGCTCCACCTATTATTGCATTAAGCCCAATATTATGGCAGCATAATTTATCTGACCCTTGAACTATTCGAAACTAGGTGTTGGTTTGAACAAATATGGAGATTTGAAATTAAGGCCTTCACTTCTGCAAATAATGGCCGCTTGTGACCACTGCTTTATAGCTATGTGGCTTTCAGCTAAATTATTTGCGTACAAATCATGTTGAACATAAATTGAGTCTATGAAAAGATCCCTATGCCTTCATCATGGTTTGTTTTGTTGTTCATTTATTATCAATTGTTTCCGTCTCCTGGGTATGAGGCAAAGAATCTTCCAAATCGATAAGCAAAAAGATACTTTAAATTTACAATGCACGCACGCGGAAGTATGTTATTCCGTGTTCTTTTGGAAGTTACCGCACCCTTACCAAGACAGAGAAGGACTCAAAACTTCTACATGACTGAAATCAAGAATCTATTTTTGACAATACTCTTTGTGTTCCTAGATAATGTTTATAAAAAGTAGTAAGATCAATCAAAATTATTTCAATCTTTATTCAAATAAGGGCGCAAACGAGTATTTTGTTACAAGAGTAAATTTGTATCATTGTTGTATATCACTGGAAATTCTTAGTAATCACAAAGTTAAATCTGATAATGGGTCTCGCTACAAGGCTAGATAGAGACTATTAAATGGCAATTCTGCTAAATTAAGTGACATCCTCATGAAATAGCTGTTCTTTTTGGATTAAGAAAGCTGGATTGCTTTTTTACATGGCACACAATTTTGACCAACCATTAAGTTGCTTTGAGGCTCTCTGACACGACATTTTGATGCACGTTTTGTTGAAAACCCTGATCACTAATACGGTAAACAGCACTTTGCAAGAGACAAAGAATAGTTTCATACTCTAAATCTCCTGGAAGAGAGGTTTCATATCTTTTTACCATCGCAATTTTTTTTAGACCAACGACTTGCCCTTAGGGCGGTCACTATGCCGCCATATGCTCGTATATCGTAGAAAATTATTGTAAACCTGAGTATTTTAAGACATCTCTGGCACATTTTTCTTCTTTCGTGGTCATTCTGCCTTATGTGCTATTTTCAAGTAACAAAAGAACCTACAAGATCCATGGTGGAATGAAAACCAAACACAAAGAGGAAATGTCGGTGAGAGACAAAATTTATGCAACTACAAGAGCTCGTCTGTATCTAAGATGCGTGACTATCTCCTCTTTTTTCAAAAGAACATTCAAGATCAAGTAAAACTGTAAATTAGCTCAGGGGCCTGATTCAAAGCAACCTTTCTTACCACTGTAGTTTTCGTGACAAGCCAAAGAATTTCATCCTCAAACATTTTCATGTGGTTTTTAAATTTTTATTATTTGCATGTAAAGGAAATGAAACCACATCTTGAGATCACATCATGAATTTTAATCGTCTTAGAAAACAACTCATCCGTCGATCTACATCAGAATTTGTCACGATACAGTTGTAAAACTAGAAAACTATAAGAACTTAGACGTGTTGCGATATCATCTTAAGGAACTAGCCTCAATTTATAAATATCATCCATAGAAACTTCTTTGTACCCGAGACTCCAAAAGAATCGCAAAAGCAAAAATTTAAGCGTCAATGTATTTCGCCAAACTTTATCTTTTCCAAGTATGCCTTCTGTCTTCTTCAACAATACCTTATATTCTAAGTAATCGTTAGAACTTTTGGTAATAAGGAATTGTGCGTTCTTATCGTAAACCCTCAAGCCGGCTTAACTTAAGTGCAAACATCACAAATAAGTTATCAAACTCACTTGTATTTAATGCGAAACTGTGGAAGATGTTATCACGGCCGAAGATTTTCAACATATGGCAATATACCCGCACTTTTTAAACCATTCACCAGACATCGCAGTGGAAATAAATATCAGCTACCTTTGTTCCGTGTAGATTTTGCTTTCAGTCAGGAACACCTTTCGATGAAGTGGGGTCTTATCTTGATTTTACATGCGCATAAATTTGCGTGAAAAAGCACTTAGCTGCAATAGGAAACAATATCTATATCGGCCTGATTGTGCCAACATTATCTTTTTAAAACCCTTTTTATACTTACAATAAGTGTGTAATTGTTTGTTATGCATTTTATCACTGATAAATGTTAATTTTGCGGTTATTGTGTTCTTGATGTGTTTGTTTCATCTGAACAGGCGTTCGGGGCTTGCTGAACTAAAAAATAATTTTTCCGCGATGTTGTTTTTCTGCCGAAAACTTACAGATGCGTGCATTTTATGGCCAGTTCTTTTGATTCATGAAAAAAAGTTCTGGGTTTGCACGTCTGATTTTTGTCTTCTCATATTATCTCATCTAAAGGATGTTTAGAGTGTTTATGACCCCCCTTGAGAGCTTTCATAAATGCATAGAGGCCTATTACCCTCTAAACCCTTTAATTCCCAAGATCTTATTAGTAATTCTCCTTACTGTCTGCCGTATAGTTCTCGTGATGCTGGTTTGAAGAATTTGTTACTGGCTCAACTAATAATCATCTGGTTAATATTTGTCTTTATTCTCATCACTTTTCTGCTTGTTATTGTATTGATATTGCAAGGAGAAATTCTATCTTGGTCACTTATTGGAGTTGAAGGGCTATGCAAATACGTTTTATCGCCTGACTGTTTGGCAGCTGGCGAGTGCCATCTTGTGCTGTTCTCTGCTCGCTGATAATTTCTTTTTACAGCTCAAAAAAAACTTAATGAGATACAAAAGGAGAGAAATCATTCTAATGCACATTAAAATACAACAATCCTCCCTTACTCTCCGTTTCCTTTTTTCCATCCATTCATCTCGTCCGGGAGCGTAAAACTATCTTTCTGCGCGTTGATTTTTTTAGAAAATACGAGAACATATTTTTTGATAGCGTATCAATACGCGTCAAACAAGCATGATGAAACCTTTAAACTCACTTAAAATACACTTTAATCTTCATAGCTTAGGTGGACTCACTAAGTTACAAAATAAATTAGAATTAATCCCTTTTTTCGATCTCAGATGTATTTTTTTTCACCGAAGTTTCGAATCACTTTTCTGTTACCTTCTCTAGCCACTCTTGATCCTTCCTTCTGAGTATCCTAAAATTGACAAAAAAATACTGGAAGTACTGTCAGGTGTTACAAGCCTTTTAAACGGTGCTAAGCTAACTACCTCAGTTTTTATTGGACTATGGTTTTCTAAAATGTGCTGTTATCTGTGTTAGTTGATTCCATTTTAATTTGGGATATTATTTTTTTACAGGGTATCGTAGTTTTTAAAATTTTTTTTGTATATTTGTAATTTGTCATGTCATCATGAACCACAAGAGAAAACAATGTCCCATTGTTTGCTCTAGTCAACCACCATCTCAAATGGGATGTATCCAAACGATATTAATTTATTTCCATTCTGCATTAATCAGCTACTTTACTGTCAAGTTCACTTTAACCTCTCGTGCGTTTCACAACATGCAAAATTTTCTGAAGTCTCTCAGTCACTTTGAGAGGATTGGAAGCAACCTTAGTCTTAAGGTCCTCTCTCTTTCGCCCTCGAGAAAGTTATGTTCTCGAGGAAGGAGGAGAAAGGACCCTGGAAACGAGGTTGGATGGGAAGGAGTTTACTCTATAAATGTAGGGAAGAAGCCTATAATGGGAGCCTCCATCTCCCATACTTATCCTTGGAGGCAACCCTTCCCTGCTTAAATCTTAGGATGGCAGCCAAGTGAAGTTTCCAGTTGTAAGAAACAGCTGAAACAGAGCCGTGAAAATCCTATTGTTTTACTTTAAACATCCGCTCAGCGAAATCAGATTTTGTGATTCGCGGTGGACTCAACGGAGATATGATACTTTTCGCGGTAAAGAGCCGTTCTTAAAATGGATCTTTTGCGGGAAAGGGTCGCCGTGACTCAAGGAATCAGTGGAGATAGAGGCTACCGTTGATGCGAAACTGTGTACGGTTAGTTATCAGCGAGTCTGTATTAGGCACCAAAAGGTTAGAGTATTAACCCTTTCTTTCTTAGGTCAAACACACGTCCTCGTTGATGCGCTTGCGCAATAATGGCTTCCTAAGAATTATTGGGAAAGAAATGGGTGGAAATGAAATATGAATGGCGGCTAGTGAGATCCTCCAGTTTGAGATGCGAAGAGTAATCAATATTTGTTTCTGAAATAATCTGAAACCAGGAAATTTCGCATGTATAGCTAGGTTAAATAAAAATACGTACTTCCCGAAAAAGTAAAAAAAAGAACGACTCTCTCGAACAATCCACATCGATAACTGCTCTCAGCTTGTGGTACTTCAATTGAATTAAATCAATTCTTGCAGCCCCAGAACTTCAGTGGTAACATGCTCTCAACTCAGTCACAACGCATACTCGATATTTCGGAAACACTGATATAAATTACACTCGGAATCACAATCTTTAAATGGGTTCTTGTCGGTGAATGGGAATGTCGTTTCGACAGTCTGAGCGGAAGTCATCATCAGAGTTGTGTATCACTAGTCTCTACAAGACAGCCTCGAGCGAATTCACATAGAACAGCAATGGCTTGGTGTATTAATTATTTGTTCCTTAACGCGTAAACTCCTAAGATCTGATTGTTAATTCTCCCCTCCCGCTGCTCCTCTTTTCCTTGTAAATTGGGTGGGATAATTTGTTGTTAGACCTAGTGAAAAACTTCAACCTTATAAGTTTGACTGTTCTAGTTACCTGTTTGCTGGATAATGTTTGCATATTATAGGGAGAAGTTACAATTTGATCTATTTGTGAGTTTAAAGGTTAACCGGCACTGCCATTACACTAAAAAACTAATTTTCATTTATTTGAATTGAAACAAACCGTTAACTTCTATCAAATTATTAGCTTTCTTGTTAGTGGCAAATCTAGAACTCAATTAAGTCTCCTTCCAAGAATCGTTCATTAAAGCGCTGGATTCAAGATACTTTAGTGTGGATATTGAGTCTTAAAATATTAAGCAATCTAAATTCCGTCTTTAAATAACAGATCGACACCATCACGTAGAAGATATTAAACAGCTTAATCTCAGGGTTAAAACCAGTTCTATGACATAATACTTGCGAAGTATGATTTCAAACCAAAGAAAACCAAGTTGATACTATAAGCTCGCTCTGATAAGTACACCCCCCTTTCTTTTGCTACCATTAAGTTAATTAGTCCATTTATAAAGTAAATGACTTTTTAGTGATTAAAGGTTCTGGAAGAGGTCTGTCTTTAGTGAGTTTTGTTTGCCAATTGTAAGTTACACTCTTGCCACTACACTGTCAGGACTTCTTAGAAGCACTGATTAGTCGGCGTAAAATGAAATCGTGGAACTTTTATTTTTTCTCGTATTTCGAAAATAGCCATTTACGTGTACATAATCAGCATAATTTTGCGCGCACCACTAACTGGGACGTCAGGCAGAAAATCTTAACAAGCGAATTAGTCTAATTAGTAATAAATCATAATGTCTATGAAAAGCCTTCTAGCGAACAATGTGCGGGTTGTCACTCTTCAAGAGTGAGTGGTTTTTCGGTTCCTTGTACTATATAATTATGGTAGGAAAATTGACGTCACAGAATGAGCTTTAAAATTTGTCTTTAGACTTTGCGGAATATCTTTCGACAGTCTACGAATATTTTTTAAATATATATCAATACCCTTGAGGGTACTTATTTCTTGTCACGACCAAGACCATCATTTTTCAAATAAGTCATGCAAAAGTTTCCTTTGGAGAACATTGTTGACATGTGTCGAAGGCAGGAATTCGAACTCCAAAATGAGAGAAAAATTGTCGATAAACTCGTAGGTAGCCGTTCTCTATTTCATTTTCGCGAAAGCCTTTGATTTTTATGTGTTTCAACAGGTGGATGTTAGAAGTAAAGAAGATTGATTAGGTTCCAGCTTCTCTCGGTCCTCCAAAAACAAAATGGTGGACGCAGTACTTAACAAATTTCCAGTTACTCTAACAAGGTTTTCTGGTCGAAAGCAGGGCAAATAAACGTAAAAAAATTATTTTCAAAAATAATTTCACTTAAAAGACTACAGGTTAAATTCTTGGATGAAACTTTGTTATTCAAGAACTGAATCGATTCATGGCTCCCATTGTTGTGTTGTTTCGATCACCTACTTCACCTCCCACAGAAGACGAATACCACAAGGTGAGAAAGTTTTTGAAAAATTTGGCTGACCTAAGAGTGACCAACCACTAGTTCTAATTATAATATCACCCCTGAATCACACATTAAGGTTGCGAGATTAAAGGAAATGATCGCCAACCGAAGAGGCTCTTGATTGTTAAAACAAATTCTCCTTGTCAGTAACTTAGGAAATGTAAAGAGAACAGTATGGAGAATATGCATCCTGATATAGGGTATCGAACTATTTTTTCAAATAATGTTGTTGTGTGTTTTTTTTTTTGCAGGAGTTGACTATGAAAGGATGTGAACCATTCTCAATTCCTGTCCTTGCATTCAAGTATGACAATGAGAAAGAGTTGAGTCAGAAACTTCAGGATCCAAATAAATATGGAGGTGTATTGTCCATACAAACGTTCTCTTCTTTCTTAAATGACAGGCTGTCTATAAGGCATCCGACATTGGAGAATCCTTAGGCTCCAATGCAGAATTCTCTTTTCAGATGCATGGCAACAGATTATCTTCTTGTTAAATAGATGTATTCTGTGTAATTAGTAACACTGAGTCTGGGAATGCAGTTTCACTCCTTTATCTCCTTCCCACTTCTTATAAAAATCTCTGTTACTAAACAATCAAATACCAATGGACTTGCAAATGGTTGCTACAGGTATGGTTGTGACAAGCCAGCGTGCAGTGGAGGCTATGGAACTCTGTGTGGCTAACTTTGTATCACATGAAGGTTGGAGTCATTTCATTAATTATGTTTCATTTGCTTTCTTCTGGTATGGTGCTTAGGCAGTGACATTATGAAAAATTTCTGTTCCTAGTTTGGAGAGATGAGGTGGCAAAATTGTGGAAAGAGAAACCAATATATGTTGTGGGAAAAGCTACAGCCAAAGCAGGTTAGAGTGATTTTATAATGCGAATGCTGGCTAAGTCATTGATATCATGTCATCAGCATCATCATTGATCTAGATGGATATTGGACCAGTTAACATCTGCATGCACAAAATACTTTTGCTGTGATGTTTAGTATCCTGTTTAATTTGAAGAGTTAGGACAGATCTTTTTTTTTTTTATCTTTTAGTCAGTGAGAAGCTTGGATTGAACTCTACTGGAGATGATGCAGGGAGCACAGATGCCCTTGTTCCTTTCATTCTTCAGTGTATGGATTATGTTATGACTGTAAATATGTGAAAATCATACATGTGAACTGTGGATAAAGAAGCGAATATGAAAGTGATCTTCGCAGCCTGAACATTACTTAAGCAGTAGAGAAAATAAGGCCTGAAAAAATTCAGGCCTGTACGGAATTTGAACCCATGACCTCTGTGATACTGCTGCAGTGCTCTACCAACTGAGCTAGCGAGCCAACTGGGAGTTGGTCATTATGTTGGTTCCAAATAAACCTGTAGTGATGAATGAATGACTGTGAATATCTGAAAATCTTATAGATGAACTGCGGATAAAGAGGTGAATAAGAAAGTGATCTTTGCAGTCTGAACATTACTTGAAAAATAAAGCCTCAAAAAAAAAATTCAGGCCAGTACAGGATTTGAACCCATGGCCTTTGCGATACTGGTGCAGTGCTCTACCACTTCTCTATCTGCAGTTCACACATATGATTTTCATGTATTCACAGTCACTCATTCATCACCTCACAGTCTTATTTAAAATCAACATAATGACCAGCTCCCAGTTGGCTTGTTAGTTCAGTTCTGCCACCAGAGTCTTATAGCCAATAACATCATGGCTAAATTGACCAATCCTTTTACACCATCCTGATTTATTGCATTCAACTGACAACAGCTCTCAAAGGACTCTGATGATGACTTCCACTCAGGTTGTCAAAAGGCTATTCTGTACTGCCAACAACAATTTCCTTAAATGTCCTTTATCAATTTGATTATCAAAAAGATTGTGGTGGAAATGACTCTAGTAATATTTTGTTTATAATCTACATAGCTTTCACACCAGACAGTGATCCACTGTTGTTTCCTTGTGGTAATTTAAGAAGAGAGACAATACCCACAGCAATGGCAAAAGCAGGTACAGTGGTGGTAGGGGAAAAGGTTTTTTTTTCACCTTTAACCTCACATGAGATGTAACTTGCTCAGATGGGACCAACTTGGTTCTGTTTTTTCCACAATAAGCGCAAAACCTGGAATGAAAGTGGTTGCAGAAGGGTGATTGAACAAATCAGATTTTAACCTTCTGCTATGCAGGAGAGGGCTATTCATGTAATGTTGTCTTGAACATGGGAGGAGAAGTAGATGACACACCACCCCCCTTCCCCTACACCCTTTACAATTAGAGTGTATCATGTAAACTATCTTCTTTTATGAAGAAGGTTGGGGGGTGGGGGGGGTGGGGTTGGCACATACCTTAGACACCTCTCTCCCTTTAGTCATGAATCATTATTACTACCTGATTAACCCTTTTACCCTTAATGAGTGATTAGCATCTAGTTTCTCTTTACTGTATCACTGCTGAAATCGACATTGTGATGATGAGAATGTAGGAAGTGATTTGCAAGAAATGTTTTTGATCTCCTTGCCAGCACCAGAGAAATGTATCAAGAACAGTATGGAAAATGTGGATATTCATGTTAGGCTGCAAAGGATTAAAGCAGCTTGAATATTTCTTCTTAAGTGGGCTGGCCTCCTTCTGTTTAGCTTCCACTTATTGGCGACCCACAACAGCCCCTATTAAGAGGTAAAAGCTAACTGCCAGCCCTGAAACCTAAGGAGTAGGAAGCCTTGTACTTAGAAAAAGAGGCTTGCTGTTAGTGAAGGCTATAAATAACCACCTGCTGTTAATTTCTTGATTTTGCAGGAGTAGCACTTGACAGCATTCATGTATACAGTACATGTGCAGACCCTAATGTTAAAAATTTGTTGGAAGACTTAACAAAAGAGAAGGTAATTTTTTTTTTGAGGAAATATCATAGCACTTGTTGTAAAAATGGAACAGCAAAATGTCAAAGTACATCATTATGCAAAATTGTTACCAATTAACCCTTTCACTCTTAAGAACTCATTCACAATTTTCCTGTATGCCATACAATCCTTATGATTAGAGTTTGAAGAATCTGGTATCGGATCAACTAAATAATCCCCTAATTTATTATTTTGTATATCCTCATAATCTGTCTGCTTAATATTGAGGAAAGATTCTGTCTTTGTCACCCATGGGTGTTACAGGGTTTAGTGACAAAATTCATGTTCGAGAGACAGGGGAAGGGGGGTGGGTGGAACATAGACTTTTCCTATTTGCCATTCCAGAATATTCTGCAACTAATAAGTATTTTCATTTTAGGGTGTTCCATCATATGCTGTATTTTTCAGTCCATCAGGAGTTAACTTCACACAAGATATTCTTTCTGGCATTTTGGAATGGGATAGTGTTAAAGTAAATATTTGATTTTTTTCACATATAACTCTTAGTGATTTTCCTCCCTACATTCTCCCCTAGTAACCAAGTGGTGTCTCAAGGATGTCTTACCAATTGACCTTGATATGGTTTTACTTTACAGCTCATTGCAATTGGTAAAACAACAGCAGAGGCAATGAAGAATAAAGGTTGGAAAGTATTTGCAGTTTCTGAACAACCCAATGCTCACTGTCTAGCTAAATGTATCACGCAAATTGTGGAAGGAGATCATTAACAGCTGCTAAAAAATACTTGAAGCACAGTAAAAAAAAGTGGTTTATGTATAATACCACAGATCTCTGCATTTTCTTAAAAGAAGAAAAAAAAAGTCCTCCTCTTACTTTTGAGTAGTGGAAAATAACAATCTTGAACAAAATGAAATTGGGTTCCTTAGATTTTATTAAGCAATTTTCTTATTCTGCTACAGATAGCTAAGTTTTGCAAAGGATCAGAAATCAAGCCAGTTTGTAGAATGTACCATTTATCTTGCATGCTGGTTACTTCCCCCTTGAATTCCAGAGGGTAATGAATATGCAACTTCTGTTTAGCACATTATCTCTATAGTAACCAGCAAACTGGTAAAAGGAATACCTTAAATTAAGGGTGAAGTCACTTTTAATTACTGCTTTACAAGAGTATTTGTGGCAGAATTCGAACCACAATCTCTGGAGGTACAAAGTTAATAGAACAAAGACATTGATAGTAATTGAAAGCTATGTACAACAACAAGTGTCAAATCAGCAACTAACAGATTTGTGGAGCAGCATACTATTTAACATGCTTAAATGGCCTATGGTTCTTTGCTTACATATTAATGTTTCTATGTCAATAACAAAAAAAAAAAAAGCTTCTGGGAAAACATCTCAGGGAGCAAACGGAGCAAAACCAGTTTTACTTTTTGTCAGAAAGCAACCAGTTACAGATGGTGGTATAATTGCATTTGCAAAGTTCTTCCTTCACATTTCTTTTTGGTTCATGGTTCATTGTTGCCGTTTTATCTGTTCTTCTGTAACCTCTCTATAATCCTCTCCAATACTCGCTTGGCTTCACACATCGGGAAGTTCCTCATGTCATAGTACTGGGGTGCAATCTTCACCAACCTGCAAAAAAATCAAGTACCAAGCTTTCCTAAAACATCTCAGAAGAAGTTGTTCAAGAGGTAACTAGATTGTCCTGAAGAAGTTCCCAAAAGGTCTCTAAAGTGTTATAGGCGTAATTGATTCTAGCCACTGTCCTGATGCACTCTTGTCTCAAGCGCATGGCAATAATGTCATGTCTGGCTTGTTCATGTAATAAACTGAATTACGATTGATTTATTGAAGGACAGACACATAGGTGACATAATTGAAAGTTTTTTCATTTCTATTATACAAAACATAGATTCCATATTGCTGTAGATCACACAATATGTAATAGAACTTATTGAAAATAAAGTAACATCGTCAAGTGTTGGAAATAGCAGTTGACTAGGATTCAGTTGAATTTGTTTTGTAATTGGTTGCACAGGTGACAACATTCAAGAGATCAATCATAATGGGTTATAAAGTAAACACCCCAAGAAATACACTCCGGAAAGTCTTGGGTATCATGAAACTTACCAGTCAGCCTTTATGTCTGTACAGGTCCGAATGTAGTTCTTGGTGGTCAATACAAACTCATTATATAACACCCACTCTGGCTTGTGATCCAAACAAGTTGATGGATGTAGTTGTACAACCTAGTGGTTGAATAATAATAATTTTTAGTCAAATAAATTCAGTTAACCTGCAGATGAAATTCAAATACACCATTGGTCCTTGCAGGTGATCTGTAATTTCAGTCATTGCTGAAAAGAAGCCTGAAAAAAAATCAGGCTTTACCTGGATTTGAACCCAGGCCTCCTTGGTACTGGTTGGGCGCCTACAACCAACTGAGCTACCAAGCCTCATGTTTGGAGTGGGGCACATTTTCGAGGGTTCTCCTTTCAAGTGGAGAAATCTGCTCCAAATATGTAGGTTTGGCAATCATTCACCCAATATTTCAATGTCAGGAATGTCTGGGATAGTTTAGCTTGTTACCAGTCACTTAGGTGCTTAGCTACAGTACCCCCTAATCACAAAGAAAAACGGTGTGCAGAAGAATCTGACAAAGACATCAATCAATCTCCTAATATATCAGCAAAATCTTGGACTGTAGGTAAACAGTGAAATTGTTGATTGCCTGGGATTTTTGTGACATATAAAAACAAAACTTTATCAGTGTTCTGTTATTAATGTAACAACTCAAGACACAGTAATATCCTGCTCTAAGTAAAGGGAATCAGTAAAATTTACTGATTTCCTTTACTTAATATCTCACCTGGTTGTCTTTGACAGTCAGGTAGTGTCCAGACCTCTCCAAATGAGCCACCTACTCATCAGAACAGTTAAGTGGGAGGGATGGGTGGGTAGGTAGGATTCACAGATTTAATGGTCAGTATCTGAAGTACTTCAAATAAGATTACTGAATCAGTTTGGGGAACAAATGCCATTTTTTAACCACACTTCATTTTGACGGGAAATTTTTTGCTCACAATATTTGTACACATTTTTGTGCCTTGTCTGGTTGCAAGATACTAACAGAGTGCATGTTTGTAGCCAAACAATAATAATACACTGCTCAAATTGAAGCTGAATTTTTTCAAACATAAATGATTTTTAGAAACTTGACTGAACTAAAAAAAGGTCCATGTTCCCCTAACTGGTGTCCTTACCCTAAACTTACACAAGTTACAATTTTGGGTCAGTATAAATGTGATAGAAGTTTATCAATTTCATTTCCTGATGATGGTCAGGCTGGTTTGATTGTAAATAATGACTGAGTTTTTACCAAACTGTGCATAAAATAATTGAATGGATGTACTTTACGTTACTACTCTGACACAAATGATATTTCTGAGGATGGCTAGCAAAGGTAAGTGGAATGTAAACGGAGCAAGACTAAAAATAAGTATTGCCACAATCCATGGTCTTACTCTTAAGTATTTCTTGGACCACTTTTGGCCAAACTTTTTCATTCTCAAAATTATTTCTTTGGCTGATTCCCCTTCAAAGAATACTTCGAAATAATGATGCACATCTATAGAACAGACCTTATTAAAAGGACTTCCAACACAGCTTGCTTCTAGGATTTTGTCATGGACAAGTGACTTCCAATTAAAAAACCAGTTTAAAAGTTGAAGCCATTTTAATTAAGGTCTGGAAATTTGTACAGTACCTGCATAAAAAATCCTGTCACCAGTGCCTTCCTGATGTTTACATAATAATCACGACTGTTGAAGTCAGTGCTACGTCGTCCAAGATTGAACCTGTCCATGATCCTGGTAAGTTGCTGTCTCACATTGTCAGCCGATTTGAGAGAACGATGCTGGATGAAGTTATCGTAACACCACTGAGTATCTTCATGATCTGCAAATAAAGATTAAAAAAAGTGTGATTTAACAATTTGACCCCTAAGAGTGACTACTCCTTACAAAATTACCCCTGAATCACACATTACCCTCACAAGAATACAGGTAATTATTGCCAAGTAAAGAAGCTCTTGTTTGTTAAACAAATTTTCCTTTTTAGCACCTTGAGAGATGTAAGGAGAACATGCATGCCGATTTTATTTTCAACCCATTGCCTGATTGAGTGAAAGTTGGGTGCCTGGTGCATCTTTAGGCTTTGACTATGTCAAGCCAGCCCCCAGACAGCATACATGAATCTTTCCCATGGCTGACAAATCTCACAACCTGGTCATGAGCCCCTTCTCTGTATCCTAGTAAACTCTGATGAGATCAGTGGATGGAAAATAAAAAGAGGGAAGGGAAACATTTGAACACAACTGCCACAAAACCCCTGGAGACTGCTGAAAGACAACTGCTGCAACATCTGCACTAAAACCCAAACATAGAGCTACAATCTAAATGCAATAATACCTGTTAGCCTGCCATTGACTGCAAAAGTTTGCTTGAATTGAAATCTTTCCCTTCTATTTAAACCCAGGGATAAAATAAATATCTTCCTAACATTGTTTTCCTAGTTGGTACAGTAAGTTACAGAACCTAGTTTTTTCCTGCTTGGTTTAATGGCCTGCATGCTTCCACTGGGCCATAAATCCAAGCAAGAAAAACTTGGTCCATAACTTAAAGTACAGACCTAAAACTTTGGCTAGTCCTTTAACTCCCAAGATCTCATTGGTGTTTCTCCTTACTGTCTGCCAAATGATTCTCATTATGTTAGTTTGGAGAATTTGGTATTAGATCAATTAGTAATCTCATAATTGAGGCTTTTCTTTATTCTCATCACTTGTCTGCATGATATTGTAGAGATATAGTAAGGAGAAATTCTGTGTTGGTCACTCATGGGAGTTAAAGGGTTAGTAAGAGGTATTTAGTTTACAATGTACAAATATTAACATCAGAAAACTTAACATTAGGATCAGGTTGTAATACTCACTCTGTTTGTATGCATGGTAAACATTCAGCAAGGTCAGATGGTCTCCATCAATGTGAGCAAACTTCATCTTAGCCTCATCAGCTGCCTTTTTAGCTTCATTTGGTCTCATAAACACCTGAGGAACTAATGGACAGGGGCATGGTCACTGTTAAATTAAAATTTAATGTCCACATGGTAAATGGAAATGAGGTGCTTGAGGGCCTGGGGTCTGCAACCACAGTTGTACACCAAGGAGCTAGAACACCTGACTGGCTTGCCTAACCCGCAGTCCAGCCATGAGCCCCCCCGCCAAGCCCCCTACCCTCTATGAGCATTATCACACAAGAGCCAGATGGCTCAATGGAGGAAAACATGAATAAATAAATTAATCAATAAATAAAACAAATAATACGAAATAAACCCCACACTAGAAACCCTACAGTTAGAGTTGGGGGGAAGGAAACGCAAAGAACTGCTATCTTTAAGGACAATGATGCCATGGTGTAGAACAACAAACACAACACAAGCTAATGACAGAAAAACACATGCACTGATAAGGTATACTGCTAGAAGAGGACAGCCCCAGAGCCCCAAAAACCACAGTACTGCTGCAAACGCCACAGAACACAACAAATGCTGCTTGAATGCTAACAGCCAGTGAAAATGCGAACCAAATGCCTGAAAACACTACTGATCATATTTGCTTCTAGTTCTTAACTATGCTAAATTCCAGTTAACTATAAAACAATAACATCAAAAGGTATTTTTCACTCAACGGGTTCACTTGATATAGACATAGAGTGTACCTGATAACATAGCAGTAATAGAGAGAATTTCATTAGAACAGTTATGGTCACAGCTGGCAATCACCATCTTGGCAAGTTGAGGGTCAAGTGGAAACTCTGCCATCATGGAACCCAGTGATGTGAGGTCTCCATTGTCGTCCAGGGCACCAAGATAGTTCAGCAGTTCAAGGGCTCTCATCAGGGTTTCTGGTGCTAGCAAATTGAAAACAAAGAGAATAAAATGTTAGCCCTCTTTGTCTGGTTTGTACATAAACTTTCGCTTGGAAGACTTCATTCCATTCCTTCAGAAAAGAATCTTCTGGGAATCATCACAAATCAAGGGCTTATACATCAGCTTGCTAGCAAGCCCTCAACCCTTTAACTCCCATGAGTGACCAAGACAGAATTTCTTTTTACAATATCAATACAATATCAATACAACATCAAGTAGACCAGAATTGAGAATAGAGAACAATATCAATTGGGGGATTATTAGTAGATTCAGTATCAAATTCTCTGAACTAACATCACCAGAATAATATTCAGACAGTAAGGAGAATTACTAATAACAGAATTTCTTCTTACAAAAATCAATACAATATCAAGCAGACAAGAGATGAAAATAAAGAAAAATATAAATTAAGGGATTATTAGTTGATCCAATACTTAATTCTCCACAATATCATCATGAGAATTGTGAAGCAAATTACAAATGGTGAAAGGCTTAACCTACCAGGAGGATCCATAAAGTCAAAATGCACCAAGTCGTCAATGCCCAACTTCTTCAGCTGTAGCACCACAGTACCGAGGTTGGACCTCAGGATTTCAGGGTATGTATTGTCTTGCATCTCAGTCTGATAAGCTTTTTCTGTGTACAACCTGAAACACTTGCCAGGACGTGTACGACCTGCACGGCCAGCTCTCTGCTGTGAACTGGCTTTAGATATAGCAGAAACTAACAGTGACTCTACACGGATACGGGGATTGTACACCTATTATAAAAAACCAGATAAAAATGACTTTACACTCAGTCAACCTTAGCATGTAACAATAAACTAGAATTATATTTTTGAGCTTGGTAAAGAAAGAGATATTTTTTCATCTTGTCACATATTAAACATGGAACATAGAAAAAACTCTGAGTTCCCATGAAGAATTGCACCTGAGCACTTAAGGTCTAAGGTTCGATTTGTCTGGGGAACTCAGGAGGTTTTCTTTGTCTTGTGCTGATTAAAAGACAAGAAAAACAGTAAAACACTTTGTACAAAGTAGACAGTGATAAATTCTGGAATAAGACAGACCTTCTGTTTGGAAAATCCAGGATCTATTACAAACACCACACCATCAATGGTGAGGGATGTTTCAGCTATGTTGGTGGACACCACACACTTGCGCCCAATGGCACCATTGGGGCGTTTGGCTGGAGGAGCATCAAAGATACGCTGCTGCTGCTGTGGAGGAAGAGTTGAGTACAGTGGGATGCAGCGTAGCTCGCCTACTTCAGGTCCCAAGTTATCAATTTCTTTCTTCAGTCTCTTACATGCTTCTTCTATTTCCTGAATGGAAAGAAAACAGTATAATGTTGAAAGAGTACTTTCAACTTGGTTAAACTTGGTGTAACACATAGAAAAATTTGTTAGAAATTAATAACTAACTTGCATTTGTTACAAAATCTTTCCAGGAATGAATGCTCTTGTATCATTAGGTCAAATGGCTATTTAAGGTCTCGTCATTTATAAATGGGCAAACAAAGAATTTACTACTGGCCATCCTTTTTTGCCACATACAATGTAAGCACCAGAAGTCGAATGAGGATTCCTTTTTCATTTCAGGCCCCATGTTAATTAATAATACTCTAGGGTCATCATCATTGAAGAATATTGACAGTAAATGCACTAGAGGCTTTGCAATATGCACAACTTGAATGCTTTACACCCGAACATCAGCATGCATATTCTTCATACTGTTCTCTATTATATCTCCTAAGGTGCTGATTAGATTTATAAAGAGAACTAGTTTAACAATCAAAAGGTTCTTTAGTTGGTGATCACTTTTTTTTATTCTTGTGTCCTTAATGTTTGATTCAGGGGTGATAATGTTGGGAGAAATTAGATGCCTATCACTCTTAGGGGTTTGAGTGTTAATAACACCCACATTGCGAATGGAGGCTAGGTGCTCAAGGAGTCCGAGGGCTGTAACAACCACAGTACTGCTGCAAAATGCCACAGAATGCAACAAATGCTGCACGAATGCTAACAAACAAGACAGGATCCATGCTACTAACCACACTAACTCCTAGTCATTAACTATGTTAAATTTCATATATCTATAATGATAAAATATACCATTTAAACACAACAGAACATCTAGAACTTTGAACACACCTCTTGCCCAGTAAGAAACAACAAAATGTCGCCCTCTACTTCCTCACACATGTGTATCTGTACCACTGTTCTAATAGCTGCCTCCAGGTAGTCTCGTTCAGGTTCAGGAGTGTAAAAAATCTCCACAGGATGAGTTCGTCCAGGGATTGTCATAAGTGGACACTCATCAAAGTATTCCTGAAATTTCCCAGCATCTAAGGTGGCACTCATGATTATGATCTTAAGGTCATGTCTCTGTCGCACAACCTGTAGAAAAACAGTTACAGGTGTAACATAAGGAAGTGGTAGTAGAGTGGATAGTTTACTAATTAACACATAGGCAGCCAGAAAGTTGGATTGTGCATTTACAGTTACATACTACTACTGATAAAGTTCTTATTCTAAAAAAATATACATAATTTTTTGTACTAAGGATAATAACATCGTAATATAAATACAACACCCAAAATTTGTAATACAAATTTAAAACTGTAATAAAAGTGATCATTAATATAAATGATTTTTTAATTAAACACAAGCTCATTAAAATGTGTTTCTAATACAGTCTGTTTTCCATTTTAAGACTGAGAAAAGCCTATTGCATCTGGGTGAGTACACTGATTTATGTGCTGTGGAAAAAAGATTTTGAAGGCGGCTATCCTTATCAGTCAGATGTCTTCATACAACAATCTTCATCTTAATTAGCTGATGTAAGAAAGCCACCTTAGTCTAGGGCAACAGAGTATTCTATAACTGTAAAGACAATGGCTAACACCCCCTGATGAACATGCTCTAGTTCTCACTTAAGGTGCAATGGAAGAGCATTATGGAAACTGGTACAGTGTAACTTAAAATAGATCTACCAGGGTAATGCAAGTACAGAAGAGGTCGCAGATCTGATAAAAATGATGCCTACAAAGTAGCAGTGTATGAAACCAATGCTATGTCACCTAGCTCTTGTTGGAAGAAATACAAAATCTCCAGGTGCGTGCATACCTCTTTCAGTAGACCCATGAGGATATCAGTAGCAAGAGTTCTCTCGTGAGCCTCATCAAGAAGAATGACTGCATAACGGTCCAGTAAAGGATCAGTCATAGCTTCCCGCAACAACATACCATCTGTCATGTACCTGTAGACAAATTAAAACAAGCTTTAAATTACATTAAGAAATTATTATCTCATTTCTTCAGGCATCTGTACCAGCCTAACTGATACCTTTGCATTTTCCCACATCTTCTTTCTTCCTGTACAGTTTTTAACCCTCTATCTGATTAACACACAACTTCTCCCTTTAATATCCATACATTACCCAGCAAACAGGTAACAAGAATACTCAAACTCATCAGGTAGAAGTTATTATTTTGATCTAACACCAAATTCTCATAACCATTCACCAGGAAATGTGTAGCAGTTAGAAGGGAGAATCAATAATCAGATGTTGGAAGTTTAAGGGTTGAAGATGAAATTGACTTTTTCTCTTACTTCAATATAGTGCGAGGACTTGTGCAATCTTCAAATCGAATGGTGTACCCAACCTCTTGACCTATGGTGACATCCAATTCGTCAGCAACACGTTGAGCGACACTCATGGCAGCAACCCTCCGTGGCTGGGTACATGCCACACATTTGCGTTTGTCAATACGAGTTTCAAGACACCACTGTGGAATCTACAAAAATAAAAAAAGTTCATCAAAAGTTTGTCTTCTTTCACCTTAAACTACATTTAATGCAATGCAATCACCAACATAATAAAATTGAATTCTTCTGTCTTTTCTGCTTCATTTCAGCTTGAAAATCAATCTCAGTTTAATGACCTTACTACACAGATTAGGCATAACTGGTCTTGGATGTAAATATGATAAGGAGGGTACTAAAGCTCAACTTCCAATAACTACTAAGATAATTTGGTCTCATCAACTGAGTTATTTCAAATAGCTTCCATAAACAGTTTCTAAAGCTGATAACTTGAGCATTAGCCCTTCTTCACAGCTAAATACCGCTAAGTATTGATGAATAAACAGGGTTAGTTTCCAAAAGAAACTGTGGTGCTGTGCAGCTAGGGGAGTACAAAAAGTTAATTAGTATTATCAACTGAGGTGATAAGGTAAACTGGCCACTGTAAAGAGTTTCAGAGCTGATGTTTTGAGTGTTAGCCCTTTGTCCTTCCCTCTGACAAAGGGCTAATGCTCAAAACATCAGCTTGAAAGTCTTTATGGAGGCCAATTTACCTTATCACCTGAGTTGATAATACCAAATTATACAGCTGAGTATTACCTGGGTTGTTTTACCAGATCCAGTCTCTCCAACCAGGACAAAAGCTTGTTTTTCTTTCATAGTCTCCATAAATTTTTCCCTGTACTCCCATACTGGAAGCTCAATTCTCTTCTTAAGAATGTCAAAATATCTATCTGAGAATAGCTTCCCATTGAAAGGATTGATCTTTCCGCGAAGATTACTAGGATTACTACCAACAGAAAAGAGAGAAATGTAAACCAGGAGTTGGATATATATACTTCTTAGAATGAGGTCACAGAGAGTTCTGATTAGAATCATCAAAAATAAATACAGTGCGTAGGGGGGAGGGAAAGGTGACTGACAGGTTGGTGCAGGCTACCAAGTGTAGCAGGTAACCATGACAACCCAAAGAGTGACATCTATCCACTGTAATGATTTGATTTAGTACCCAAGGGCACTTATTCACTGTTGGTACAGAGTGCTTATCAGGGACTGGGTGCTTATTTCTTTTTCAAGGAACAGCTGAATATGCAAAAAAAAACATTCATGTTCATTCAAAATGTATCAGAGAAAATGGAAAACAGACTTGTTGTCCAAAGATCCCTCCCAGCTGGAACAACAAGCCAGACAAGTGATACAAAATTTAGAGACAAGATCATTCGTATGAAGGCCCTGTGCAATCATGTAGACATAATAGCTGAGAGACCATGATGAAGACCACTGTTTTTGTAATGAGGCTTTAAGCAAGCAAGTTAAAAGAAGATCGACCATAGTTGATCTCAGTAGACATATACTCTGACAATGCTATCAATGTAACAGAGTAGTGACGCTTGTTGGAATAACAGTGTTTACTCAAAAGGGGCACTTAATAGAAAAGGGGTGCTTATTAACATGTACAAAAACACATTTAGAGGGGGCGCATTTATTAGAGGGGGCACTTACAGGAACGAGGATACTAAATCTAAACATTACAGTGAGTAACATCATACTCACAAACAGCGGAAGCCTGAGTAAATCGACACAACACTTACAAAAGGGCAGAAGGAGATGAATGCAGTGGCAGCAACTCACAAGTTTGTGTTACACAAACATGATGATTCATCAAAGGCAGGCAAAAAACGCCTGGAGAATACTTTAATCTCGAGTCTTACTTAACTATCACCTGAATTAGAGGAAGTACCTTGTGACTTTTTGACTGTAAGAAATTTCTTTTCTGGTGAATGTTTTTAAATTTTTTGTTTTTATCTTTTATATATTTTGTTTCATTTTAGCACAAAGAAATTCATCCAGTGTATATCATGAAAGCCACGACGTATGAATTTAAGCGACCTAACGTGAGTTTCAGACTGGGGTAACAAAGAGAGAGAGAAGTCAATGTTTTTAAGTGCTCTCTTGCTCGAATAGTAATCAATTTGGTCCAAAATTGAAACAACACTTTAAGGATATGTGTGGTATCTTTTATAGCCCTACATATTTATGTAACATAAGGGAGGATTCTGCGAAATAAATGATGATTTCGCGATATTGGAAATACCGTCTTCTTTAATTATCAGCATAATTCGGCAGTGTAGGTTCGAAAAAAAATTGCACATCTAATCGGCCACATTTAAATCAGATACACTTCGATACAAATATATCCAGAGCAACGCTTTCCCGAGGAAAGATTGTGATCGAAGACACAAATTAACTTTAGTTTCTGTTCCAAAAACAGCTGCTGATTGATTAAGATCGGCGATTATTCAAAAATGAAAATCTGCCCTTCGCATGTGAATCACAGCCTACCTCAACTCTTCCTTTATCCTTTTCGCGGTGGTTAACGAGTTGGATGAGCTTCCATCGACATCTAACCTCCTTTTAGACATCTTGCACTGACATCGAAGTCAAATATTCCAGTAAATGCTCCCCAACTGCTACACTAACACAAGTGCCACTCAGATTTCCATTGAATTTTGCCGGCAAGGGAAATGCAGAAGACACGCGTTTTGATCTCTTTATCCCACAAGTCTCTACGATCATAACGGAGACTAAATATGGTAAAATTTCCAATAAAGCCTGGCGGCCGTTGTTGCGCGCGAAACATTGAAAAACATGGCGGATGACATGTTTGGTTCGCGTTTTTAAAAATGACATATTGGTAATTTTAAAATCCATGTGTAGAAACATGATTGTCGTGGATACACGTTCATAAGATGGCAGAAATTTCAATCACTACAAGGGCGTTTTATGGGAGCAATTCAAAGAGGTTTGTTCACGGAACGGCTTTTCATGTCATCAGCTGTAGACTATGTAGCTGATAAAGATAATTTTCATAGTTATTTAAATTTTCTGGCTGTAGATTGAATAAAGCTTGGCAGCAAAAGATGAATAAACTGGAAAAGTGCGCCAGGGAATATGAAGATAACCCAATTTTACTCAAACGTCAAAGGTACACAGTTTTATACTGTATTTAACATTAGCCATTAATTGTCATTAAATTTTCCAGTTTACCACGTGAAGGCAAAAGTGAGTTATCTAAAGAAAATTTTTAAGTTAGCCAAATATGTTTCTTATGATAACAAAACCTAGCATGCCTCTGATCTCGTTAAAATGCTGGGGAAGGCTCCTATATTTTCCTTCCTGAAAAGTGCTGTTACCGGTAATACTCTTCGCTTCAAAATACAACACAACTCTGGGATGAGGTCACTTGTAGGTAGAACCAATGTTGCATGCATTGCGATCTAAACTTTTTAAATCATACAATGACTGTTGGAATAAAGCCCTTCCCTTAGTTTTACAGCTGCTGAATGTCTGGAATATAATTCTGTGATTCCAGTGCCCTGTCACTTCCCCTACTCTGCATTTTAAGCTTTGCTCCAGTTACTACTCAGTCTTGAGTCGTGTCCCAAACGATGTTGATATTTTTAGGATAAACGACCCTCCACCTATCTTTAAAACATTCCCAAGACAACAAATGGCCTTTGATTACCTCAAGACTTGTCAAGAGGTAGGTGAGCTACAGTTCAAAATTTCTAATTACTTTATTCTCATTTCTGGAAGCAAACATCAAGTTTTTTTTTTCGTCATGTCAAGATTATTTACTCTTTCTCAAAGCTTCTTTTCAACTACATTGTAATTTACTGTAACTAGCATGCATAGGCCTAATATCACTCTGAAAGGCAATTTTGATTAATCCTCAAAGAAAAAAAATGCCTACACTTTTGGGGATCTCAGTGGTTGATAAAACATCAGCTCATAAAGAACAAGAATTCTCCTTAGACAAATTTGTCATAGCTGTTGTTGATGTACACCAAGGGCAGGCAACAGCTAGCAATGTGTTCTTAAATATTTCATATTAAATAGAGTTACTTCAACTATATTTTTATTTGTTTTTGAAAGAATCTCTTGGAATTTAAGTGATGTAACTGGGTTTTTTTCCTCAGAGTAAGAGTATCTTGGATCTGTTTTTCTCTGTATACTCTACTTTTTTGTGTTCATTTTCACAATGAAGCAAAAATAAATCAAGGAAAGGAGGTAATAAAATAACTTAGCACATTTTATAGTGATATTTCATTTTGTTATTGGATAGGATGTTCATGTGTTTGCTAAAGAGAAAGACTGTCATGGAAAACGTGGCTATATTGTTGCAACTTTGCCATACTTTTGGCACAAGTATACAAGGTCAGGTATCACATTTATTTTACTGCAATTCTTAGCAAACTTAACCCTTTCATTAGTAATTCTCCTTGCTGTCTGCCATAAAATTTATGTGATGTTAGTTTGGAGAATTTGGAACTGGATCAACCATTAATCCCCTCATTGAAATTTTTCTTTATTCTCATTACTTGTCAGCTTGATATCATACTGACAGTTTAAGGAGAAATTCTGTCTAGGTCACCATTGGGACTGAAAGGTTAAATAATTCAGAAGGGCTTCTGCCAAAGTAAGGGTGGGTCAAGAACTTTTCATAGGAGACTTTGTGACCTTACTGATGTCCACTCTGACAAATAGAAGGGCTATTAGAAAGAGCAGTGCCAAACTACCATTCTTATAACATGTAACAAACATTCTTTAACCAGGTCTCATGTTTTGCTTCAGTGCAAATGAAGTATAGGTTTTTTTTTTATTATGCACAATAAAGCTACAGGTCATCTCAGGGGGAGAGGTGTGCATGCCCTGCACCCCTTCCCAAGATCTGCTCATCTGCTCCCTGTAAAGTGTGGTCCTTTGAAACTGCTAGCTGTGCAAAAATGAAAAACACTTGTTGGGAAGGATCAGTGAGGCTAGCCAGAGACTAACTGACACTTGTGCAGATCCCAAATTTGAAATGATCAAATAGCTCAAAATGAAGAAACTTGATGCAAAAGCACAAAAAAACAGAGAACATTTTCTTTACTTGTAATTTGATGTCACCCTTTCCTTATATGCCTTTTCTCAACTTGGCAGGATATGTTCATCAGAGGACAGAAATTATTATGAAGTTATACCAGAGGGTAATCTTAAATCTGTGTATTATTTAGCTGTTTATATATTTAATTCTCATTCTTCAACTTCATGCTTTCATTCCCAAGATCTTATTAGTAATTCTCCTTACTGTGTTGCCTTCAATTCTTATTATTTTAGTTTGGACAGTTTGGTGTTGGATTAACTTATGATCCCTGAATTGATGTTTTTCTCTACTCTCATCACTTGTCTGCTTGATACTGTATTGATGGTGTAGGGAGATATTCTGTCTTCGTCACTCAATTTGGAGTAAAAGTGTTAATTAGGAGTGAGACTGTGTTGAGAACTGAGATAGGAATCTATTCTAGATTACGGTTTTCCCCCAAACATCCAACTGATCAATTGTTGTTGAGATGAAGAAGGTGGTGGTTGTAGTCATTGATGCCAAAATAGGAGTCTGATGTTGTGAATGATTGATGTCTATAAAACAGGGAAGTCTGGTTGCAGCTTAAAAACCTTGGATTCTGTTGCAATATTTTTTATCTTTGAATAATTCTAGGGGCTGCTTGCCGACTGTATTTTGACCTGGAATTTAAAACTGAATTTAATCTACTAAAGGATGGAGCCAGTATGGTAGACATTTTCATCAAGGTGAGTCCAAGGAAATTGATTAGAGGCAAGAGAATAAGGCAGATAAACAAGGAAATATTTTCCATGTCTGAGTAGATATGTTATTTACTGGGCAGGAGGTCTTTAATGAGGAAAAACTGTGTTGGAGGTCTAGAGTACAACGTAAGGCCTCAGGTCTCAGGTGGTACTCAAGACCTAGGGCACAGTTTTTCTCTTATGGACTGATCTACATATGTAAACCTGTAAATTACTTGTTTATTTTTTCTACCGGCTTCTCTTTTTTCTGCTGTGCAGCAGATGGTGGAGAGCAAGGACTGGACTCAGTTGGCTGTGTTGTATTATGGGTTGTGATGGTGAATTCTCCAATCTGTTTGCTCAAGTAAAACCCTGATATGTTCTTCTTAATGAACATTTAAGGAAGGAAATACTATGGAGTAAATATGAATGATTTTTCTGTTTCAGTATGTTTGTCACCACCTGAAAAATATGTATGGTGTTGACTGTGACAGGAAATTTATTATAGATTTGGATTCAAGGTAAGTTACTAGTAATGAATGATTATATCCATGCCAAGAAATGATTCAGATAAGAACTCTTATTATCCCTGGGGATTTTTATATGTCCGTGATATACTAGTACTTAAAAATGAATGAAATAAAATTGGTCATTGTTAATTTCTTTCTTCAATCCAAGTGAAATTATTCCTGAGTTCTCCCACACTTGGGAGCTCAACAATTGTAATAATTATTATGATTATATTAGCCTCCTTGTTATTTCTGTCAAAATAGCTTCTCTTATTTTCCTCTTTGACTTTTTCCATCACTGTTCTTTGTCTAAGATTGTGACATTCATAGTCACAATATCCAAAAGAACCAAACCTTCATAGTCACAATATCCAAAAGAACCAAAACCAGACTTTAGTAAAAGGTATCTCATTATCTCTATTCACCATGCTAGGGTTGTGAGACAACTTCCTTTCTATAAAATTATTATGGTTTTGCTTTGTTTCGATCTACTGAATTATTCAATTACGTGAAGCTTCAATCCCTGGATCATTAACAAGTATATGTACATTGTTGTTGATTTGATTTCAGCACTTCTTCTAAGTTTTCAAGACATCTGATATTCCACTTACCTGGTGCTGTGTTTAAAGATAACATTCATGCTGGTAGAGATACAGTTATTTATGGCACAGGAAATATTTACTCTGTTATGCTACTTTAAGCAACATACAGTCTGAAATTCTTCAGATAATTTTCTAAAGCTATTGGTGATAGGATTGTTTGCTGTAGTCCTGTTTTTAAGTGGTAAAATTTTAAGGTGTTTCATTAACCCTCAGAAAATGGGTTTTACTCTCATTGTCAGATACTCCAGCTGAATTTCAAAGGCCCTAGCTGTGTTTAATTCAGATGTGAAGTTGTTACGTACTATTCTACAGAATTCTCCATTTCCTTTAGACAATTCTCATGCTGCTTATGACAATTTTTGAAGAAAACCTTCAATTTTGAATGTTGAGAATTCTAATTTTCAGGAAATTTTGTCCGACACATTTGCACATTGCTGGAAATGAAGCTCAGAGTTGGTTCTGAGTTTTCTGTAAACAAAGGCATGGGTTCTACATGTAACTCTCATCAACCAACAATGTCAGGGAGTGAGGTCTCGACTGGAAATGCCCCCGTACCTGAAAATGCTGAAAAGATATGTGAGGAAAAAGAATTTGAAAGCCTTACCTCAGGTGCAGTTTTGGGTTGATTGTGTGGTGTTTGCATTTTATTATAGTGTTGAGTTAAAGTGTGGCTCAAACTCATCCCTCTAAGACAAAGAATAAGTGTTCAGAACATTGTGGCCCCTTAATGTCAGAGCTTCTCCAGGTTTCTGTGGCCAGTCTTTGACAGGTAAACACAGCTGTCAAATGACAGGCATGCATAAGGGAATTAATTCTGACTTAAGGCTCTCCGATTTGCCTTCCAAAATTTTGTAGGAAAACATAACAAACAACTGCTGTTTTGCAAAATGATTGAAAGGAATATGAAACATTTGTAGAAATTTCTTTAAAAAATAAGGGAAAAGAAGAACATTCTATTTTGAGGTTTACAAAACAAAAAAGGTTTTACACGTTGTGTGGAGAGAATCACTGTTGGAGCTGAGCCTCTTGCCGAGAACACCAGACCCCTAAACACACACAAAAAAAATCAAATTTGTTGAGAGGATAAATTCATAGCTTTCATTTGCCTTTGCAGTTAGCCTACAAGAACTACGAGAACTTGTTGTGAAGGACGGAAAAGGTGAAGTGGGGATTTTCTGTGATCAAGGTGTGTGAGAAAAAATCAAAAGTCAGTACATGTGAATGACACATTGATCTTGAGCAGAAGGGAAAATTTTTGCTTGCTGACTTTATCCGTTTTAATTTTCAGGTGTTTATACAAAAAATAGAAACTTTCGAATTTTCAAGTCAACAAAGATAGGAAAAGATTCTCATCTGATTCTCTCCAGTCAGAACACCTACGAGGTATGTAATAAATGTATTCACAATTTTTTCTTTGTCCCACGCTCATGACAAGACGAAAAACATATTTCTATATTTCTTTACCGAGCTCAAAACTTACCATCTCTCTTATTTCCATCCACGAACATTACGCTAGTGCCATTACTGGTCCTAGCAGTATGCAGGACGCGTGTCATATGAACTTCGTAATAGACCTCGCTCACCGTGGAGTCTCTGTGGCTTAGTGGTAGAGCATCGGAGCGCGGAATCCGAAGGTCTGAGGTTCGATTCCTCATGAGGACTCACAATTTTTTCTTTGTCTCACGCTCATGACAAGACGAAAAACATCTTTCTATAATGTATCCTTTGTTGTCCCTTAAATATTAACACTTATCAGATGGAGAGAGTTTGACCACATTTTTCGTGTCTTGTTTGTCATGTGACAGCCCAGCTTCAAAGATGTGAAAGGAAGTTTCTCCAAAGATCCTGAGTACTTGCTATTTCTTGATTCACTAGTTTCCAATGTCAGGTGAGAACGCAACTCGTTTCACAATTGTGATGACAAATTTGAGTCTTCACGCGGTATAATTTGTTCTCACTTAAGTCCATAGTTGGTGCTTCTTTCTCTATTTTACACCTTTTCTTTATCAAACAGCATGCAAGTGGGTGGAAAAGATGTAAAAGTTTTAACATATGGCAACTGTGAGAAATCTTGCAAAAGATCCTCTCGAATGAATGCACGCGATTCAAGTATGTTTTTTAGTTAACTTTCTGTTTAGAATGTTTGTGGAGATGTAATTTTGAAGTAAGTGCAGTGGTAATTTCCCGCTCGTGGGAGGATTTGAAACGAGTTGGGGAATGGGTTTGCGAGGGGTCTGGCATTCAATATCAGTGCTGAACTCCTTTCCAGACCTATCTCGCGTTGCTCATGGCCTTTTTTTTTCCCGTGGGCAAGGAAATCCCCCGCGTTAATAACGATGACCTTCTCGCAGGTTAGATAGTCATCGGATAATTGGCTTGTACTCGGCCCATTTTCGGCCGACAGCCGACAGCCGACAATCAAACGACTGTTAGCCGACAATCAAACGACAGTTAGCCGAAAATCGACCGACAGTTTGCCCACTGTCGATCTGCGCGTTAGGTGGAGCAGATTCCATACCCTTCCGGTTGTTACCTTATTCAGTGATGTTACAGAAAGTTAAGCGCAAGAAGGAAGTTTGTCTCTTCTCAAGTTCTTCTCCTTGTTGTTAGGTTCGCCTTCTCAGCATGGATATGAACACTCCCCTTATCCCGAGATTGACAACTTTATCTTAAGTGTTCTCAACAAGGGTGGAGTACAGGGTCAGATCAGGAGATGGGTTTATTTCCCACAAGGTACCGTCTTAGAAAGAAGCTATTGCTAATAAAAGATAATTGTATACATAAATGAATTTACATTTGTGAGGAGTATGGGTAACAAAAATCCCCGAGATTGACAACTTTATCTTAAGTGTTCTCAACAAGGGTGGAGTACAGGGTCAGATCAGGAGATGGGTTTATTTCCCACAAGGTACCGTCTTAGATAGAAGCTATTGCTAATAAAAGATAATTGTATACATAAATGAGTTTACATTTGTGAGGAGTATGGGTAACAAAAAGTGAGTCATCTTTGAGGATTGAAGTCCCAGTTAGTCCCGCTTTCGACATTAAGCCACTTTACATTTTTTTTTGTTAGCCAAGTAATAAACAAGGTGATTACAAAGGAGACTAGAGACAAACATGCGTGATCAGTTGAACAACAATTTCGGAAATACTTTTTGTTTTAGCTGAACCTTCAAGAAGGCTTCCAAGCTTCCAAGATAGATCTTTTCTTCTATTTTTTAAATATATTTTTTTCTCCAAGGATTGACTGCTGTTAGTTATGTTGACTTTGCAAGGGGATGGTACAAATGGATCACTGATCCCTAAAGAATAAGAACATTTAGGAACATGAAATGAATATTTATGTTGCGTAGAAGTTCTGTTCAGTCTGAGGAATACTCCTGGAAAAAAATGTAAGGAACAGGAGATCGGCCATTCCTTCAAATTAAGTGGATCAGGCTTTAATTAGCTGAGGGAATTGCTAGGGATGAAGTCTGAGCAAACCAATTTCTTTTTTTATTCAACAGGAAAGTTAGTCACTTATGATGTTATTAATAACCGTTGGTGTGAAAACATTGGAAGGGCGCACAAGAGTAATAACGTGATGTAAGCCAAAGAGCTGCTCTCTTAATAATGATTATCAAGCAGATTCCATGTTACCTTTACTTGCCTCTGTTCAGTAAGAGATCACCGGTGAAGTTAAAACGTGTTAAGAACAAAAAAGTGGATCAAGAGGTGCAGCCGAGTGTGTCACTGCTGTTCTTATCACATTGCGACATCTTCTGTGATCTGTTGCTGTCCATACCCACGGCAACATGAAATCTGTTTGTGTAATATTGTAATAAAGCAAAAGGATGTTCATGGTGACGTCCTCTATGCGTCTGTCCTCTAATAGATCATAAGTAAGGACCAATTAAACCGCTCGTGTTCTTCAGCTTATTATACATAGAGAATAATACAAGGGCGCGCGTAGATATGGAATTTCTCTTCGAGTATTTAACTTGATAGCTCACAAGTGAAAAGTTTGAACGTCACTGTTTGTGAGCGGTACGGAGTTTTAAGTGTTTTAACCGCCATAATCCGAGAAAGTTCCGACAAACGGCCTTGTATTAAGAATCGTGAGGGCTTCGCTGTTCATTCATCAACCTGACCGAGTGGCGCGAAAGGCGAGTGACGTGTCAACAGCTGATTGGCGATATCAAACACGTGAAAACATATCGTGTTATTTTCACGTATGTTGTTAAGGCTTTTCTCATGGCTAGAAATCCTTGTATAACACCGTAGTTTATATGATAAAACTATTATCGTTTGCCTCTCGATGTCTTCACTCTCGGTTTGGATCGCGACGATTCTACAGCATGGTGCTTATGTTGTTCACATGATTAGGTAAACTTATAACCGTATGTAGTTGGACGTGGTGATGATGGTGGATACGAAACCTTCCTTTAAAGAATATAATGTTGATAAAGTAATATATAATTATAATTTCCATGAATTTTCCTTAAAAATAAATCAATTATTATTGAATGCGAAAACACCTAGTTAATTTTTTTTTCTTGCATGTTAGGATTGTGGCAGACTTGAGACTTGGTGTTTATTACCAGAAATGTCACGATCCCGACTGTAGAAGGATTGACTATCGTTCCCCTGGTATGTGAGTATTAGCTGTAAAAAAATACATCAGTTGGTAGGATTTCTTTGAGTGCAGGCTTAAAATGGAGGAAGCGGTGAAACGGATCGCGGAGAGTTCTCGCACAGATTCCAATCGTAATTCAAAGTATGGCATTGTCAGGAACTGGAGAACTAGCCTTCAGTAAAACTGTTCTGGAATTGAACCAGGGCTAGATAAATCTTCATATATATGTAATTTTTCTTCAAATCTTTAAAAGTACTGTTCCAGCTTTGTTCAATTTTATGGATCCTTTAATAAGGTAGTCTAAATACACTCTTTTGAAATTGTGAAAAGGTGTGAATTTTTGCGAAATAATTTTTCAGAATTGGCATCAGATAGAAGATAAAGATGAGTCCTTACAAAAAAAACCAACAAAAAATTGGGAAGAAGTCTTGGGTCTATTCTTAGCGGTGGCGAGTGCAAAACTTGAATTTCACATCAATCAATAAATTGTGGGAGTATTGACGCCGTAAACATCTTCTTATCATAGTGTAAGCCAGTTGTTGGATATATTCGAAAAAAGCAAATTGTATACCATCTATCTTTTTGTTACTTTCAGAAAAGCCTATTCCACAGGAAATCAATCCATTGTCAAGTTGGGAGGTAATCGAGTAAAGATTTGTATATAATTCTTCGATCTTGAAGAATTTGAATACGGTTCATGAAGTATAGCTTACGCTAATTAATCATAAATTGAGAGTTTGTCGAGTGACAGATATGCTCTTTTGTTAATTTATTTTACAAAAGTTTCAACATTGATTTTTTTCACCTTTTAGTTTGGTGAATTTTTAACTGATGATTTTGATGATCAAGAGCTTTGCAAGTTATTGTCTGAATGTGAGCAGAAGCCAAATGATTCCGGGAATGATGAAATGGAAGAAATTCTAAACACGAATGAGAACAACATGAACAAAAATTGTGTCTCAAGAACTAAACAAGATGTAACGCAATTTGACATCAGTGGTTATGTCACGCAACATCAAGTTAGTGATTGTGACTACGATAATGACTTGGACGATGAATTACTGCTTGAGCTTCAGATTCCAGAGCACTGTTATGATAACAAGGATGCAGTTTCACATACAAAGAGCCTTAAGGATCACCGCAAGTATGTCTTACAATCATGTCACGATAATGACAATTACACGAACGAAATACTGAAGTTATTGCATGGGGAAAGTAACCAAACCAAATTAAGCGAAACGGCTGCAATGGACCTTTCATCAAACTATGTGATTTGTCAGGATGAAACACACGCCAGGATGAATGGAAAATGTATGTGTAGTGGAGTATTACCTGAAAATAATTGCGCTGATGATGTGGGGGTGAAATTTTTAACAAATGAGGAAGTTTCTGAGTGGTTAGATAAAGAGTCTCTTGATGATTTAGAGTTGTCCCTGGCTGCGGAGGAGGCCGAAAGTACAGCTTAACTCAAATGTATCCCACTAGTTTGGCAAACTAGCTTGTTCCGATACCCGACTCTTTGTCAGGGAGATTTTTGATGATTGTGTTACCTATTTCTTAAATCCAATTCGACTTGTAGAGCCCTGATTTTAAGGTCGGTTTGGACAAGTTTTTTCAAAATACTTTAAACGAGTAATAAACAATATAGCACTGAGACATATCGGTTGTCAAATTCGTGTTAAGCTGGTTCTGGTGGAGAAGAAACCAGATGACCAAACCTCATTGAAAAAGATAGCTTTTTTCAGGCGTTCAGCTAGTAAAACGAAACGCGATTAGTAAACGGTGCAATATTAGCGGGGTGGCAAAAAAACAAACAAACAAAGGAGGATTGGGATGCAGTCGCTGATCTGGCCCTTCACAAAATTGACCATCACATCTGGCTCTTGGATAGGGCATTTCAACACAGTTCTCGCACAGGGAAGGCGATGTTGAAGCTTCGACTTGACTGACGCAAAACATCTGTTAGTTACGTGTGATCTCAAAGACTTAAAGTCTAAATTATTCCACGTTATTGTAGTTGTTAGTAATAAGATGTAATGAATGTGAAAGCGATCTTCGCAGTATTGAGGACCACTTAGGCAGAAGTGAAAAACAGTCCTGATAAAAACTTCAGGCCTGTACGGAATTTAAACACGTGACCTTTGCGATACCGGGGCAGTGCTCTACCAACTGAGCTAACAAGGCAACTGGGAGCTCGTGATTATATTGGTTCGTAATAAAAACGTGAAGTGATGAATCAGTGACTATGAATATATGAAAGTCATGTACGTGAACTGCGGTTTAAGAAAAAAATGTGAAAGCGATCTTCGCAGTAATGAACACTACTCAAACAGTAGTGAAAAAAAAGCTTGAACAAAGAATCAGGCCTGTACGCTTTCATGTTCATTTCTTAATCAGCAGTTCACGTATATGATTTTCACAGTCTTTAATATGGTGTCACGTTCTCTTTTGTGATCACTCTTTGCTACATTATGATTAAGCCTAGAACTCGATCCTTCCCCGTTCCCCTCGTTACGGTCAGCGACATTTATCGGAGAGAACTGGTGCAAAATACGTACGGCGACTTATAAACTGACTGATCTAACAAAACTTTTATTTGCCTGTGTGCAATCTGTTTGAACGTAAGCCAAGAAAACTGGGTCTTATTTATAACCTCGGCTTACTTCTGGGGTATAATAGAGAATAAAAGACGTAAAATCTTCATTCACGGTGAAATCTTATCTTTAAAATGATCAATTCAATTTCTTTAGTGAAAAACACATTAACACCAAAATTAGCGAAAGTTTTTTGGTTTTAGTGTGTAGTTACTATTGATGTGTTTCCTAAGTTACTGTAAACGTTCTGGGGAAGCCCCCTTTCTTCAGATAAAGTGACGTTTGCTTTTTTTGGGGGTCAAAATATATGATGTGCTGTAGACTAATGCCGTGTAAAAATGGCAAAAACGTTTATATTTATAAGAGTACGAAACTAGCTGAAGGTACAGTTGCTGACGTTTCAGCACAGATGTTTGAGAATGTTGTCTATAGTGACTTGAAATGAATGGAAAACTCATTCATAAGAATATTCCTTTTGAGATGATGATCTGGAAAAGCTGTATGCAACCGGCTTTCCGTATATGAATTCGAAGCGAGGGAGCGGCGAAATATTTTTCAGGTATTTCTTCCTTTCTGATATTCAAATTGTCGATGGAAGGAAAGATAAGATTAAATTCAATGAAATATGACACAGAATGAACCGAGTGAAGGGCGGATCTTTCAATTCTAAAGGAAAAACTGGTATATTCCTCACTGTTCAAACATGGCAATTATGAATTACTAGTTGAGTGCATTTTTTCATTTGAAGGGCTGATATAGGAATTTATAGTTGCTCAGGCCTCTCATCAAAAACTGCGACTAAGCTTCAAAAAAAAAAAGGACGACAAATTTTAAAGCTGATTAATGTTTTCGAAACAACTTTTTTTAGGTGACACACCTTTGTTACAATTCAAATAATTTCTGGTTTAAAAGGTATAAATGGAAATAACACAACTTGTGAATGAAATGAAGACAGTTGTTGCCGCCATATTCTTTATCCATGTGTTTAATTATGATTAAAAGCTCTCATTTTAGGACCAGAGGGGTAAACAGGGGGAACATCATCCGTATAAAGATAACATTTAAAATGAATTTAAGAAAAATAAGTAGTTAGATAAAAGAGAGTTTGTCTTCGTGTCGTGTTAGTTTTGTGAGGAAGTGTAATATATATTTTTATATAATAAGCTCAGTTATGCACGCATTCTGATTGGTTCTCACTTATGATCTATTGGAGGACAGACGTATAGATGACGTCTTCATTAAAACTTTTTTTAAATTCTTTATTATATAAAACAAATAGATTCCAAGTTGCCGTGCGTCTGTTCAGTAATAGATTACAGAGGACGTCAAAATGTGGTAAGAACACCAGTGACACACTCAGCTGCGCCTCGTGTGCCACTTTTTAGTTCTTACCACATTTTCACGTCATCTATACTGAACAGACGCACGGCAACTTGGAATCTACTTGTTAAATAGAATTTTCGTAACCACCTGCATCCTCTTAAAGCCGTTGCTCGGCGAAATCATCAGTTATAGCGCCCAATTCTCTCTTTCTCTGGCTTCTGTTTTGACCAAATTAATCATTAGATGCAAACGATTGGCGAAAACTACTCGACTCGAATGGAACAATTCCTAAAATTAATTTCCCGAACAATTCGTACGGCTGAACTTTTTTTTAGCGGCAAAACTGATATTCTTATCTTAATTTCATGACACAAACTTGAAAAAGCTTCTTTTAACGTTCCAACCAACATTTTTTGGATTGGCTTGGTAAAAATTTAAGGGTTAGTCTTAAAGTAATTACTTCAACAGAAGTTAAGAAACTACACATTTAAGCACGAAAAATAACACTGGTCATCATTCCACTAGTATGTAGAGCGCACGCAAAATTTGCTACGGTTTTAAAGTCCCCCCACATTAAAGTGTAGAACAGGGAAAAAAATAAGGGGCAACAAAATAGCCGTACTGAATGATCCAAACTGATTTTTTCGCTAGTTTTTCTTGGCTTGACTTTCAGAGAAACGAACTTTTAAGCGCGACAGATTTTTTTGTTGATCACAAAGTACAACTTTGATGGTTTCGTACAGGTAGTTTTCGTCTATCGAGTTCTCCTCATGCGATCGATACGATGCACAGCTGAGACCGTAGGATGTGTTTCGCACACCAAAATCAAAACTTAAATAACGGTGGATAATAATAAGCCTTCGGGGCTCGAAAAAATACTGCGTAACTCGTAAAATATCCACGCGTTTTATATAGGAAAATTCATTACCTGACGGGGGAATTCCGCGTTAAATTACACGCGAAAACCGATATTGCACGAATTATGCGATTTCCTTGAATCGATTAATTGAACAAAAATAAGGAAAAAAAAAACAGTAATAATATTCTTTGTTTTTATCCTGAGCAAGCGCCCCAGAAAGCCATTTCAAAGTCTACTGTCAGAGCTGTCATTGCGTTAGCGAATGAGAAGCAAGGTCAGTGGTACATGTTTGAATCTTCGACAACTTTATTTGTACCTTGTGCTTGCTTTTAAATTTGTTTTCAAACTTTTTAAAAAAAACTTCACACTATCTTAAGGGTAATATTGCTATTTCACTGAATTTACGAACCGTTTATCTTTAAATTCTTTTTTAAAATTTCGAAATCATTTCCTCGAGAAGGAAAATAATTTACACCTTTTACATCTTTGGTGGCAAAACTGAAAGAAATGAAGTGTCCAAGCGAAAGCACTGAAAGTTTAACATCGCGATTGAAGGTATTTATTTCTTTTCTGTATATATGGCAATTGACCCTGGCACTTCTTCCGTTGTCGCTTCTTCGTTTTGTTCGGTTGAACTTTTGCTTGCCATTTTCTGGGCCGTGTTCACAGAACTTTCTCGCTTTCTCGTTGTCGCTAGCGAAAGAGGTTTTTTTTATCCCTCTCCAAGAATTTGTAGTTCATTTCATGGCTCATCAGAAGGTGAAAATGGTTTTGTAGAAAACTTTGTGACAATTTGACGATAGTTGTTACGGTTACGTAGAAGCGAAACAATATCACTTCATGCACAAGTGCAATTCCACGCTCTATTACACCCATTTTGAAATCACTAGTGGTCCCTGTAGTCTGATTGCCTCTTTTTCCCAGCCAACGAGGAGCCTACACTAAAAACAAAACAACCAATCAGATTTCAAGGCTTGTTTAAATTAACCAATAAAATTGCAGGAAAATGAAAAATAAAGAGTACAATGTGGCAATTTCAAATCAGCTTAGTACTGCATTAATAAAATATTTGAACTGACCAAGGCCTGTATTTGGGCAATTTAACAATGGAGATAATAAAGTGGTAATTGAACCTCGTGTTGTGAGATTTTGGTCTGAAATCATAGTTGTGATTTCAAACCGAAATCACGCGTATGATTTCAGCTCAAATTGCACTCCACTCAATTCAATTACGATTATAGATACCCTCTCCTCGATAGCCAATCAGACCGCGAGTTTACCTTTAGCCATGCGATTCTATGTTAAACCATCGAATAAGGTGTACGAATTTTTTAGGGACGTAACTCATACATATTTAAAGAGAATTCTTAAATGAAGCGAAAAGTTAATTTTTAGTTTGGTAGGAATAAAGATGAAACAATGATAAATATGAAGTACTCCCGAGGTGGCTATTAATTATGAACGTGGAAAAAGTTATGTTAGCATCAGTTCGTCGTACTGTGAACCTGTAGCTATAGGAAAGACTTTTACGTTATAATCAAAAATATATTTGATCAGTCGCCATTTGAATGCTCTACTTCGCAAGGTGTATATTGATAACAACTGTCCACTCTGCCTGAGGTATGATGATTACAAAAATTATGATGAAAAAGGTTTATTTACGAGATCCCCACTAGGGGCCTCTTCGTGTCGTTAAAGAGATTAATGTGGAAATCACAAGTGAAGGGAGTGTATTTCCTTTTTATGTAATTAAAAAAAAAAAGATAATTATTGTACAAGACCTCCCGAGCGCATTCTTTGCGTATTAAGAGCGTAAAGAAATTGCTGCAAGCTATTTCTTCCCTTTAAGAATTTATTTTCTCCTGCTAACCTAACTAGGTCGTCGCTCAAAGTCAAAGAAATTTCCACATCAGTTTACGAGAAAAGCTTTCTATGGAGAGTAAACATGTATCTGTGGATATTTAATCTCGTCTGTTCAGTTGTGTACGGAATAAGCCGTATTTCAGGGCCAAATTTGAAAGCTGTTAACTTTGCCAAAGAGTTAGAAGGAAAAAAGCTGAACGGAAGCCTGATAAAAGAAATAGAAGTGGATTCGGAAAGTTCTTGTCGATTTGAGTGTGTCAATAAAGAGCGATGTCAATCCTACAACTTTGGAATCGTAGAGGGCAACTCAGGGAAATTCAAATGTCAAATAAGCGACTCTGATCGATTTGTTGGATTTGCTAACTTTATCGAGGATGAACATTTCATTTACAGAGGAATAAAGGTAAGCTGAATCTCTTTTAGTTTATCAAAAATTACTTGAGGCTCAATGGTTGAATTTTATCTCTAAAATCGAAGCTGGATCTCTTTAAAATGTTTTCTAACTGAAATGCATCAACCTTACTCTGCCTAATATATGTCGCTAAAGTTTTTAAGAATCTAGGATTCTTGCGCCAACCTGTGGGAAATTTGCCGATGTTTGTGTCACGGAAAGAAGCCTGGTAGAGCCAGGATAAACAGAAAAAAGTTAGACCTTGATAAAAAGTACTAAAACTATTTTAAGGAAATAATTTTTGCAAACGATTTTTACAATAAGGGAAATGAACCTTACTTTACTTTTCACATAAATCCTGCTGATGAAGATTCAAGCGTTTTCCAATCCGTGCTTCAGTCGATTTATGGAAGTTTTGCCCCGTCACAAGTTCGCCCCCTTAAAGCAAAACAAGTTTACCCTAAATCTTTCAACTTAAATGCTTACCACATCCCTTATATATCACACAATTTAGGAATACAAACGATTTCTTGCTGCGTGTGATGTGTTAGAAGGAGTAAACTTGTCAACTTTTGAAAGTTTCGATGTCGCAGGAGATTAAAAAAGGGACTTTTGCAGCTTTGATTATTGAGAGCTTTTA